GTTCCTGGACCAAGTGGGGTCGCAAGGTTTTGGCCTCCAATTGTACAGCTTCAGAACGACAATCATGGGACTACAGACACCACTCCAACACGCTCGCGCGTCTTGGGGTTTGACTTGAATTTTGCTCCTTCAGATAATGAGGAGCCGTAGTATGGGGACAGGGCCCAAAATTGGTTTTGGCCCACCCTGACTTATCAGGGTTTAAGGCCAGCTCTATCCTGACTCATAGGGTAGAAATTTTCATACCCTGCCAAAAACAGCCTGAAAAAATGATTGTAATTTTTATGATCCCCTGAGTTATGGTTTTTAGTAGTCTTGAGCTAACGGGTTGTGTCTCAGATGGTTAAATGTGAGATTAGGTCTTGAAGGATCGTAGGTTCGAATCTTTGAACCATCTCAATACTTCGCCGCATTGAATGAAGAAACCTCGCTACTGAGGATTTGATGTCAGTGTAGAATGTACACTGACACCGCTTGGATTACCAGAATCTCTATCAGTGAATACCGAAACTTAGCCTTTTTGCTATAGGGTAAAAAGTTTGATACCCTGTTTTGAAAAGGGTAACTGGGAAAAAGCGGCCGCCCATCAGGGCAAACAGGGTCTTTTACCCTGATAATTTGGGCCCTGTATGGGGAGTCCACAGACGAGGGGGCGAGGGCTGTAAGCGGTGGATGTGTTTGCATGTTTTTTCTCCCCTCATGAGGGGCGGTTAGTGCTTAAATAGTATGTAAATAACTAATGTGTTCTTTGCCTTGGGTGAAGCTGTATAAGGAGGATTCGATTTCAGAGTACTTTACATAATGACGAGTTTAGAACTGCAACTGTTTTTTCAGCTCGAACAACTCTGAAAAAAACCAACTCACCGCACCTTTGCACACACCACCACGGGTCCCAGCTGGCAGCCACACTCCCACCCCATGCCCATAACCTGACGCCCCGAATGTTGGCATCTGGTGATTCAGCGACATCGCGACGCGATGTTGCCACTTTCTGACCAGATCAAGCCATCTTGCCACATCTGCGACGCAGATGGTCTGTTCGATCATTGACGAAACACATATGGGTGAGAAAATAAATGCGGTGCGCCTCGATCAACATGCAACGCAACGGAGCAAGCGAGCGGTGTCACCCGACCCGACCCGATCGATCACATCTTCGCTTCGCTTCGCACATTCACATCACACACCATTCGCTTCGCACATTCACATCACACACCATTCGCTTCGCTTCGCACCACTTTTTCCAAATCGCCCCCATTGAATCCCATCAGCTTTCCACCATGCTTGCAGCACGACACATGTTGCTGCGGTTTCTTTGTATCCTATCTACTACGTACGCTTGCTCCTTCACGGGTTCTACTCACCCCTGCCACTGCCGTTCTCCTTAGTATCTGACAGACGGAATTCCAAACGTTTCTCTTGAACCAACCAGCAACAGAAAAAATCACGCCGAACGTTCCTCCTCTTATTGGTCGCGGAGATCCAGTTTTCCACCCTGCGACCTGTCTACGAGTCTTAGGTCGCAACTTGCGACTCGCGAGGCGGCGCAACCTCACGCTACCGTTACGTGTAGGCGATTTCCTGCGTACGTATTTGTCATTTGATTTTTCCACGCCTGCTTCCATTGACCATTAGAGGTTCAATAGGTTTTCGAATGCACCGTACCGCGGAGCCGAATAGCCAAATAGCCGAATGCACCGTATCGTTAGAGAAACACGGACACATGACTCCCAACAGCAATCGTGGATAGCTACCCAGTTGATAATTAGTAGCCAGTGAACCTCACGAGCTCCGCCATTGGGAGCTCACAGGCTCGACCTCGTGGTACCGTGCTCGACCTACTGACACGCCGGACGCACTAGCCCAAAATGGACCGTTTGTAGCCCCAGATTCGGCGACTAGCGGGGTTGAAGCTATCATGGCCACGAGCCAACCAGCGCAGAGAGCTGCTGCTGCAGCATCAGCCGCAGCGCCTCCAGCAGCAGCAGCGGCAGCAGCAACATTTGCAGCAGCGCCGGAGCAGCTGTCAACGGACGCCGCAGACGATTTTCTGGACTCAGCCCGCGGATCTTGGACTCCCGAGGTGCGTTCCCCGCAACAAAATATAACTTCCGAGTTTGGTTCTGAGATTTCTAACGTACACATTTTTCCCCTTGTTCGATTAGTTACTGCCTGCGGAACTTGGACAGTCTGGGTGCGCATTCCCTGCACGGAACAGCAGCACCAACTTAGCATCTGGCACCAGGCAGGATAGGATGGGCCGATCCTAAGTAAACTCTTCCACTGATCAACAGGCAATCTTCAAGGCACCGCTTCAGTTCCCCTCCCTCCCCCTCCCCTTCCTCTTTCTCCCCTTCCCCCTGTTCCCCCCACTCCTTCCTCGTTACCCACAACAACAGGAGGACGCCATTTTGCTGAGGATGGTGCGGAAGCTAGGCGGGCGGCACTGGAACAAGGTCGCGGAGAAGGTTCCGGGAAGGAGCGCCAAGAGCTGCCGGCTGCGGTGGTGCAACCAGCTGGACCCGGCCGTGAAGCGCGGTGCTTTTAGCGCAGAGGAGGATGTGATTCTCGCGCAGGCACACACGCGGCACGGGAATAAGTGGGCGCGGATCGCGAGGTACCTCCCTGGGCGGACGGACAATGCGATTAAGAACCACTGGAACTCCACTCTTAGACGGAAACGGCTGGGTGGTGGGAGTGGCGGTGCTGCTGCTGAGGCGTGCAAGGAAGAGGACAATGAGATAAAGAACCACTGGAACTCCACCCTGAGGCGGAAAGGACTGGGTGGTGGGACTGGTGGTGGTGGTGCTGCTGCTGCTGCTAATGGGTACAATGCAGCAGCGGAAGCAGCAGAAACGGAGGGATTAAGTCTTCGTCCCCATTGTAATCAGACTCGACAACACACGGAAGCAGACGCTGCGTTTTCCACAGCCGAACTCCCTTCGCATCCCCACATCCTGCAAGCAGGAGCGACACTTGAGTCGAGTCAGAAATCAACTTCTCCCCACACCTTACCAGGAGGCAAGATAGAGCCTGGCGACCAACATCAGGTCCTTCCAGGTGCCATTGGGCCAGGGTGGTGGGAATCAGATCAGGAGAAAAGAGAAGCTAAGTCGATGTTTGAAGCGCCTCAAGGGTCGTGGGGAGCAGAGCAGGGGAGAAGGGAAGCTAAGAGGAGGAAGGAGAGGAGCCATGGGTCTCAGCAGCAGGGGAACAAGGTTGCATATGATCCTACATGTGGAGTGATTCGAAGCGCTGAGGATGAGGGTGATTGTGAGGAATGGTGGAAACCAAAGAAAGAGGCTCAGCAGCAGCAGCAGCAGCAGCAGCAGCAGCAGTGGCAGCAGCAACAGCAACAGCAACAGCAACAGCAACAGCAACAGCAACAGCAACAGCAACAGCAACAGCAACAGCAACAGAAACAGAAACAGCAGCAATCACTGGCATCGTTACTAGCCGGCTCGAGCACACCACAGATGTGGGACTCGTTTGAACGCGCACTAGGGTTAGGCGACGGTGCTGGATGTCATGAAGAGGCTGCCAATAACGCGTATAGGTTGCCCAGCAGCTTTGAGGAGCTGGGGACTGGCTCAAGTGCGATGCAAGAGATGCTCAGAGGGAGGTTGGAAGCTGGAGAGGCGGAGGAACAGGAGGAGCGGATGAGAGGCGGACGGGAGGAGGGGCAAGATGGAGGATGGGAGGGCGAAGGTAAGAGCGCGTGGACTGGAAAGAAGACGAGCAGGAGGAGGAGGAGGAGGAACGAGGATGCTGCAAAGGAATCGTCATCATCAGCTATCATGACTCTCGCGCTCCTCCTCTCTCGCATCCTCACGAAATCCGAATGCCCTCTCGACAGTGCTTCCACTCCAAGTCTTCCCCTGGTTGTCCCTCCTTCCACCACCGCTGCTGCTGCTGCTGCTGCTGCCGTCAACTCTAACGCCACTGCTACCTGTTCATCTGCTCCTTCTCCTGTCCTCTGCTCGTCTCCAACCCCTTACACTATGCCTCCCATTGCCACTCCACACGCCAATCCACAGACCTCTCCAGACACCTCTTCACACCCCTCTGCACATGATTCTCCACCCGCCTCTGCGCATGCCCCACCCCAACCTCCTCCTCCTGATCTGGCATCCCTTCTCGCCCTCCTCCATCCCTTCATCCCTTCCCAGTCCTCGCCCCCCTCTGCTCCTCCCCTTGCTCCGCCACCTGCCTTCCGAGAACCTTCCTCTGAGTTGCTTAGCAGACAGGAAGGCTTGTATCCAGAGCATAGGGAACATGGGGATTACCATTATGATTACCATTATGATTACCATTGGCATCAGCAGCCAGACGAAGAGCAAGCGGAGCAGCTGGAAGTGCAGCCGCCGCCGCAGCAAGTGCAGCAACAAGTGCAGATGCAAGTGCAGCACAAGCAGCATGAGCAGCAAGTGCAGCAAGAGCAGCGCAGGCACAGCCGGCGCTATTCGATCACTGAGCTCAAGGCTGACCTTGGCCTGTCCCCAACCGACCTCACACACTCCCCAACCGACTTCACACACTCCCCAACCGACTTCACACACTCCCCAACCGACCTCAGACACTCCCCAACCGGCCTTAGACACTCCCCAACCGACCTCCGCCTCTCTCCCACCGAACTTCACCACTCTCCATCGGACCTTACCCTTCCACCTACCAGCATTGACCTTCTACCCACCACGCTCGACCTTCCACTCGCTGATATGCCCATTGAAGTTCCTGCGATAGACTTCATGTGCCAACTAGTGAGCGATGCAGACCAGTGTACTGCGGTTGCGATGGGTGTAGAGGAATTTGGTCTTGAGGCAGCACAAAACCAGTGTGATGTAGGTCGGTTGGGTGGAGAGGGGTTGAAAGTGGTGCAGCTGGTGGGAAGTGCAGGTGGGGAGGTTTCGGCAAATAGTGCGGATATGGCAGACAGTGAGCATGGGGAGGAGTGTGATTGTGAGGAGTGTGTTTGTAACGAGGAGAATGAGATAGAGTTTTCAGAGGAGGGTGAAAAGCGTGACCCTGATACACGGGTAGTTGGGTGTGACACTGGCGGGTGTGACAATGGCGGGTGTGACAATGGCGGGTGTGACAATGGCGGGTGTGACACTGGCGGGTGTGACAATGGCGGGTATGACACTGGCGGGTGTGACACTGGCGGGTGTGACAATGGCGGGTGTGACACTGGTGGGTGTGACAATGGCGGGTGTGACAATGGTGGGTGTGACAATGGCGGGTGTGACAATGGCGGGTGTGACAATGGCGGGTGTGACAATGGCGGGTGTGGCAATGGTGGGTGTGACAATGACCCAGACTGGGCAGAAGAGATGGAGGGCGTGGATCTGCTGCCAGACAAGCTGTCAGAGGAAATCAACGGTGATGATGATGATGAGCAGTTGGTTCCAACGGCACATGTTTCAGAGACCTTTTTCCTGCCAAGCAGCAAAGGGGAGCAGCTTCGCTCTGATACCAGTGACCTGCTGCAGCAAGTGGACTGCCTGCTGGCTCTGCTGCGAGCTGCCAAGGGCTCCCCTTCTAGCTGGCTGCCCCTTCTAGCCGCATGCCCCTTCTAGCCGCCTACCCGTTTTAGCCATCTATGAGCCAAAAGTCACTGTGATGATTGCTCTGCTGCAGCACGTGGTCTTCCTGCTGGCTCTGCTGAGAGCTGCCAAGGGCTCCCCTTCTAGCCGCATGCCGCCACGAACACCAGTCTTTCTCGAAGGTACAGATCGGGACAAGGACCCAGGTTTTTGAATCAGACAGTTGCTATTTGTAACAGTAAGGATACCACAACATGGCAATATTCTCTTGTTACTACCACACAGGTGTCACAGGTGTAGCACACAGGTGATACCAACTGCCACGTGGTATGTATATGTACTCAATGAAGCACCATTTTGTCATCTTGTGCAGTGTTATCTTCTCATACCCGTTATAAGCTGCCTTGCTGTGCCAAGTCACTACCCGGGCTGCTGTTGGCCGAGTCGACTATTTGCAGACACTTGTCAATAACGCCGCCTGGAATCAGATTCACGTTCCACAGCTTCACTAGAAAGAGCATGAAGCACCTTTGTGGGAGTGGGGAGGGGAGAGAGGCAGGAAGGGGAGAGGGAGGAAGGGGAGAGGGAGGTGGGGGGGAGGAGGGGGGAAGGGCGAGAAGAAAGGTGTCAGCCGTGCAGGCAGTTAGGGAGTTTCTAAATATTATGAAGGGTATCAAAACAAGCAGCAGCTTTAGGGACGGATGGGGCGTGGAAGTAGGTAAAGCGAGGGAAGGGGAGTGGAAGTGAAACTTGGCATTGGCAGCAGCATGCATGAAGGAGACGAAACGAAAACCACAACTTGGGAGTGCAGTGAAGGGTGTGTGGCACTCACATACGGGTGCAAGGGGAGGAGGAGAGGAAGTCCTTGTGTGTGATGGTGAATGCCTCGCATGTCCATGGCACATGCCTATCCGCTATCACCCTGTTGCGAAAAGACCCACGCATAGGGACAAAGAGGGTTCATCACATGCGGGTGCAAGGGGAGGAGGAGAGGAAGGTCTTGTGTGTGATGCCGAATGCCTCACATGTCCACGGCACATGCCTGTCCGCTATCACCCTGATGCAAGAAGACACGCACACAGACACATAATTAATGATCACATGCACTTAGTCACATGGCTGTTGAGGTCAGGAACGGGTGAGATGGGCATGAGCCAACCATCAACCGAACCGAAGTACAGAGTGAGATGTAGAGACAAGAACATGAGAGAACCAGAACGAGAGATGAGATGTACACAGACTGGGGACGTGGACAATAGGTGACCCAATGTCTCATTCTGTGTCCACATTGTGAAGTGACAAGCCTAAGTGTGACTCAGCCAGAGGGAGATGCAAGAATAGAGAGAACTAACAGTGCCGAACAAGAAAAGGCAGCCCTCACCCCCACACAGTGATTGCTCACGTGTGCAGGCGCACAAACGCCATCCAGCGATGCATGATGATCCGGCGACCAATGCTCACCCCTCCACACTAATCCACCTGTGCCGGTGACTCTTGAGTCGACTCAAAAGCATGGTACCTCAGCACTCCCACACACCAACCCCTTCACCTCCAGATGCCACGCCCTCGCCCCCACACACCAACTGCTCACTCACCTGTGGCGGCGCACAAACGCCATCCAGCGGTGCATGATGCCCTTCTCCTCGCCCAGCACGTCCTCAAACTCGCCCAGCAGCTTGCGGTCCGCATACGAGGCGGCAGCTTCATCCCACTCGTCCTCGCTGTCTGCATCCTGCGCCATCTCCTGCGCCGTGATTGGCTGGCAGCGGGGTACGGCATAGTGGGGGGTGTGGCACAAAGAGGGTTGCGGCACGGTGTGTTGGGTTGGGGGCAGGGGGAGGGGTGGGGGGGAGGCGGCGGCTTCATCCCACTCGTCCTCGCTGTCTGCATCCTCCACCATCACCTGCGCCGTGATTGGCTGGATTGGGGAGATACGGGAAACATGTAAGCAACAGGGAAAGGCACGCAGGACTAGAAGTGGCAATAGGTTAGTCTCAAGAGCCGCCGTCTAAGAGAACGCAAGCAAGCAGCTGATGTTGCGAGCGGGAGTGGGTTTCGGAAGGAGCATAGCGCGGTCGGGGGGACGTTTGAGTGGAAGAGAGTAGTTTCCGACCGACGGTGCTGCTTGTTTGAAGTAGTGTTATGAGACGTCTCAAAACGCTACTTCAAACACGTTGAGTGGAAGAGAGGAGAGGAGTTGCCGCCCGACAGTGCTGCTACGCGTGGTGTCTGACAAGTCGACTCAGGAGCCCTTACGCACCTGCCATCGCTGCGAGTGGTAGAAGGTTCTCTGCAGGAGCCCTGACGACCTGCATTCAGCGAGTGGGGAGGGGTGGTGAGTGGGAAGGGGTGGTGAGAAGGAAGGACGTGAACACATATATGCAGCCTGTGGAGCTAGGTTCACTACATGTCTTGTCTGTGGTGAGCTGTCGAAGTGGAGCCGTGGTGAGACGTCTCAAAATACAACTTTTATCAAATGGAGCTAGGTTCACTACATGTCTTGTCCCAGACAAGCCGGGTGATTATGCTAAGAAATGGCACAGCATGGGCCACCCACCGGCCTTCAAACCACCCACCCGGCTTGCACCCACCCACCCGGCTTGCACCCACCCACAAATGCATGCACCCACCCACCATTTCCTGCAGACCTCCTCTCTTGCCTCCTCTTCAGCCCGCTCAAATCGACGCACTGACAACAAGTAAGGTTGGGGTGGAGTGATGAGTTGGGGGGGAATGAAGAAACCGAGAGTAAGAGTGAGTGTGGTGAGAGACGATTTGACATAGATTGGGTGAGACAGAGAGGAGGGTGGGGCAGGAAGTATTTTTGAAACGTCTCGAAAACACTCTTCTTTCACGTGACTGTGGTGAGAGACGATTTAACACGGAATGGGTGAGACAGGGAGGAGGGTGGAGCAGGAAGTAGGGGGAGGATGATGGGAGGAAGAGGGGCGGTGGATTTGTAACCGAGGGTGAGTGAGTGCTGTGGAGTGGGAGAGACAGAGAGGAGGGTGGGGCAGGAAGGAGGAGGTGGTGTCAGAGGGATGCAAGAAACACAAAGGTTGGTTTCTTTTTCATCACACGCAGCAGTTCAGCCACGTGATATTAGTGTGCTTTTCAGACGTCTCAAAAGCACACTTTTATCACGTTTCATCACGAGCAGCAGTTCAGCCCGTTGTGACTACGTTGCATCTCCCTCGTCGTTTTCCTCCCCTCGCATTCTTCCCTCACATTCTCCCCTCCTCCCTTCCTTTTCTTCCTTACACCTTCTCTACCAATACCAATGTGCAACCCACCTCTGTCTCTTGAAGCCTTCGCTTCTGTCCGCATCTCCTCAGCAATCCTTTGAGCCACCTCCAATGACATTTCTTCTCTCTTCTTCTCCTCCACTGCCTCTGCTTTCCCCTCTGCCTTCTCCTTCCCCTTTCTCTTCTCCTTCTCCTCTCTCTTCCCCTTCCCCTCTCCCCTCTCCTCCTCCTTTGCTCCCTCCTCCTCTGTCCCCTTCTCTTTTAACACCCCCCCACCCCCGAAATCTACTCTACCTTTTCCTTTTTCTCCCCCTGCTTCTCCTGCTCCTGCTCCTTCTGCTGCTGCTACTGCGCCCGCTGCTGCTGCTGCTCCAGTTGCAGCAACACAAACATCACCTGCAGCAGCCCAACCATCCTTTTCACCACCCACACAAGCGCCACTGGCATCATCACCATTGCGATTATCTCTGGCAGTGATGGCATCATTATCATCAGTCTCATCGTTACCAGCACCCCATACACCATTGCCACTATCCCTGGCACCACCACCACACGGGAAAACCTCCCCACGTCCCTCCCTTGCTCGCATGATGCAAGGCGTTTCCTCCCCGCCCACACGCTGCTGCTGCCGCTGCTTTCCTCTGCCTCCTGCTCGCTTGTTCCGATGCCTGATGGTGAGGGCGAGTGGTTCAAAAAGGGGATAAGAGTGGTAACTGAGAGTAGTAACAAAGAGTGGTAACTGAGAGTAGTAACAAAGAGTGGTAACTCAGAGTTTGAGAACGATTTGAGTGCGGAATCGGAGCAACCACACCAGCTGCACCAAGAGTTCAAAGGTGAACGACCCTCCAACCCTTCCCAACCTTCCCACCCCTCCCGAACCTCCCAACCCTCTCGGCCCTCCCCACCCTCTCGACCCTCCCTCACCCCTCCCAAACCCTCCCAGCCCCCGTCCCACCCCTGCCACCCTCCATGCTACTGCAAACACAGCATCCTCTCGAACGGTCCTTCGTATCAATAGCATCCTCTCGAACGGTCCTTCGTATCAATAGCATTCTATCTCTTTCTCACCAGAAGAATGGTGGGCCTTTGGCTTGCTGCCGATGGACTGATGCCGATGCCGTGACTGCTGGGCGCTCCAGATCCTGCAGACGAAAACGGATCCACAATTTTATTGCGTTGGCACAAAAATCTCGTGCTCGTGCTCGTGTTGCTCGTGCTCAAATGTGCATCTATCTGCTTGGGCCAGCGCATGTGGTTACCAGCTGAGGTTTGCAGGTGACGTGGACGACTGGCAATGGCTGCTGGAGCTGAGAGGATCAAGGGGAAGGGAGGGAGGGGAAATGGGGAAGGAGGTGGGCATTCAGTTTGAGCATGATCCTTAAGTAGTTGACTAGAAAAAGAGGAAATGGGGAGGGAGAGGGGAAAGTAGGGGAGTGAGACGGGGAATTCATAAAGACGACTTCTGAGGCGCCTTCTAAAGCATGATGGGTGAATCGTGGAATGAGGGCGATGGGATGGGAGGGATTTTGAGTTGACTCGAAAATTACTATGAGGGCGATGGGAGGGAAGCCGGCTTGAGAGGGAACAAGAGCTCACATGGAAAGTGTAGTCAAAGCGGCTGTGAGAAGCTTCCAGGTGATTCCTGAGACCCTGATGGCCAAGGGAGGAGTAAGAAGCAGAGAGAACGAGAAGCAGATATTAATGGGCATAATTCACAGATGAGATGGGCAAGAAGGTTAATGATTGCATTACCACAGCTGCGGCTGAAGAATTCTTCCAGGTGAAGATGGCATGGGAGAGTCTGAAGACGAGATGGCATGGCATGTTCCAGCTAAAGGCAGCAACAGAGGCCCACAACAGACAGTCCAAATGAAAAAAAGAACCACACCGTCATCAGTTCAGCACAATCGAACATGCCATGCACAGGTAGCACCACACCGCACGCACCGTACCTTACCAGACCATGCCACCAGCAAATACAGAGTCACAGAAATTCTAAGGCTCACCCCTTTGTTGTTTTAAACCATACAGAAGAGATCGAGGCTCGAAAAAAACATCAATAAAATTCACTATTTCTTAAGTGAGTGAGTCCTTCCTTGAGAAACATAACGTATGGAGGACACATATGGTACGTCCTAACATACGGTAGAGGCGGAGACACACCTTGGTGGTGCCACATGCAGTGCGGCAGATGGGGCAGCGGGAGCGACGCACGGCTTGCGACTTGCGCTGGCTGCCGTGGCCGAACCAGAAATGGAAGAGCACAGAACCATCTCCACATAGCTGGGGGGAGTGGGAGGGGGTGGGTGGAGTGGGAGGGGGTGGGTGGGGGGGGGGAGGAACACCCCTCGCTGCTGACAGTGTTGGCAATGCTGGCAGAGTTGCATGCTTTAACGAATTGCTGCCACAGCACATGCTGCCACAGCACATGGTGCCACAGCACATGCTGCCATAGCACATGGTGCCACAGCACATGGTGCCACAGCACATGGTGCCACAGCACATGCTGCCACAGCACATGCTGCCACAGCACATGGTGCCACAGCACATGGTGCCACAGCACATGCTGCCACAGCACATGCTGCCACAGCACATGCTGCCACAGCACATGCCGCCACAGCACATGCTGCCACAGCACATGGTGCCACAGCACATGGTGCCACAGCACAACTCAATCTCACCTGAGCGGGCAGCAGCACTCTGCCTTGCAGGAACACCCCTCGCTGCTGGCAGTGTTGGCAGGGGGACGACAGTGCGAGCATGGCGCATGCAAAGCACAGTGCTGCCACTGCCCACCCACACGTCAACCCACCTGAGCGGGCAGCAGCACTCTGCCCTGCAGGAAAACCCCTCGCTGCTGGCAGGGCTGGCAGGGGGACGGCCGCACATCCACAAACAGGCGCTCGCTCATCTCCTGCCACACAGTATTCACCAGAGGGATTTCTTACACCCAAATGTCAATAGGAACCCTCGGGTAGGGATGAGCATGGAAACGACGAACCGAACAGGATTTTGTTTTGGCTAAAAATGTTCGGGGCGAACGTGTTCGGTGTTCGCCCCGCTACTGCTGCCGAGCCGCGTCGAACACGAACGCGTTCGTGTTCGTTTCGGGGCAAAAACGAACACGAATGTGTTCGACGCGACTGTCCCGCGATCTACAATTTACGTTGCGGGACATTCTGTTTGAGCTCAAATTTGAGCTCAAACTTAGTCGCGCTATTCAGCAGCAGCCATTACTACCACGCCCCCCACACATCACGCCGTTATCACCTCATTAGGACTTAGCGTGATTAAGTAGTTGCCTTAGGTTAGTCTGTCTAGACTTGGGTATGCGAGATTTAGGTTTTCGGGAAAAGATTAGACAGGGATACCGCAGAATCTCGTAAGTTGAGGGTTGACGGTAAGCATTCGCAAATTTCGTATGCATGGGATTGAGAGGAATAGCGTTCGCATATTTCGTGAGTTGGGGGGTTGTGGGGGGTTGGCGAGCAATCGCAAATTTCGTAGATATAGAACGGGGAGAGCGTTTCGCCTTACATGGGGGGAAATTCAGGTGGCGAGCTGGATAAAAAAAACTATGGATCCGTAACTAGATCTCGCAAAATGCTGATCCGGCCCAATTTCGAGCGTAACAAAGGATGCCCAGGGGCGAACATGAACGTGTTCGCCCCCAACACGTTCGTGTTCGCCCCCAACACGTTCGTGTTCGCCTTACCATGCAAGATGTTCGCCCTCACAGGCGAACATCGAACACCCTTTTTTGTAAAAGGTGTTCGGCGAACCGAACACTGTTCGGTTCGCCGAACGGCAGTGTTCGAGCTGGGGCGAACGCGAACACGATCGTGTTCGCCCCTTGCTCATCCCTACCCTCGGGTATCGATCTTCATAATACCCATAATAACAAGGGCTAGGGGAATATGCGATGTGATTAGAGCGCACAAACCCCTGCCCCATCCTCTCTGCCCCACCCTTGCTGTCTCACCTGTCCTGCCTGGTCGGCGTGTGGCAGAGGCTGGAGGAAGAGAGCGGGTCGCTGCGACGAGCTGTGCGCTGAGCGTGCTGGTTGATCCTGATGGGGTCATGAGAATGTGACGCATGGAGGGAGGGATATGTGAAGCATCAAGTGATGTGTGATGCATGGGATGATGTATGAAGCATGGGATTGAGTGTGACGCATCCCGGGAAGTGTGGCACATGGGATGATGTTTGAAACCACTAAGAACTCACCACAACCATTCCCAGACGTAAGTTGATGCAGCGTTGCCGCCAGAACCAAGCTCCAATGACTTGGTGGTTCGGCAACTGGCTCGACTGGGCAGATTCGGCAGAGGCAGGTTCGGCAGCAACAGGCTCGGTCGACAAATGGCCCCAGAAGACGATTCTAGGCTCGGATGCACCATGACCAAACATGGCTGAGAAGGCAGGCTCGTCGACAAATGGCGACATGCCATTGGCTACCGAGGGAGCTTTGGAGACATGTGGCACAAAGCCATTGGCCAGAGGACGCTGGGAATGTGAATGTGGTTGTGGTTGAGATTGATGGGATGATAGTCCGTTCACACTTGGGCTGTGCACGCCGCGTCCAGGAGCTGCAATGGGGAAGAAAAAACAGCATCAGGGGAAAACGATTCTTGATTTTTTACTGGAATAAAAAACAGACTCATTGATGGGGAAGAAAAACGGCATAAGGAGAAAACGATTTTTGAGACGCCTTGAAGGTTGTTGAGGAGCGGTGATGGGAAAGAGAAACAGCATGATGGGAAAACGGCCAGGCAGAAGGTGGGTTGGGAAGCAGAGGCAAGGTTGGGAGAGAGTGGGCTGGTTGCTGGCGAGGAGAGGAATGGAGACACAGTGGGCAGACGGATGTCAGAGAGACCCCACACGGATGGGCAGAAGGAGGTCTATTCTTTAGGCGCCTATAAATTTGACCTCTATCGGAAGAAGCAGAAGCACAGATGGCAATCGGCCGCTGCCGTTTATTATTCAGAAGCCTCAATATAGACGGAGAGGAACGAATGAATGAATGGAGAACAATGGGTGGGTGGATGGATAGAGAGATGCAGCACACTCACGGATGACAAGCAGAAGAACAGACGACGGCCCACCACTGGCGTCCATTGGCAGCACCATGCGCCTTGGCAGAGAGGATATGTCGCTCTCTGCTGACCCCTGCTCATGCGCACTGCCATGCTCGTGGTGATGCTGCTGCTGCTGATCGTGGTGGTGTTGGGAATGATTCGTTGCTGCGGCTGCGGGATCGACAGCTTCCATCCTATGCAATTCCCCTGTAGTCCCGTTGTGCGCGGCACCACTGTTGCTGGTACCAGCAGCAGCCACAGCAGCAGGAGCAGCAGCAGGAGGAGGAGGATGAGGAGGAAGAGCAGCAGCATTGCCATCAGTGCCAGTGCTGCCAGCACCCCAGGTTTCGAGCACAGGAGCGCACAGCACGGCAGAAGAAGCCCTCACAGAGTAGTGGTCCCATGTGCCAGCTGCACCATTTGCACTGATCCCATTCGCAACAGCACCATTTGCACTGACAGCATTTGTTGCAATAGCGCCAGCACCACTGGCACCCGCACCATTTGCACTAGCACCTGCTGCTGGGGTGGCAGCAGCAGCAGCAGGAGGAGGAGTGCGTGTGAGTGGAATTGCAAGCACCATGAGGTGAGACAGCAGGGGATGGAGGGACTGGGACAACAGAGGAGGAGGAGATGGTGGGGGAAAGTGGGAGAGAGATGGGGGGCAGTGGGGGGAGGAGGGGAGGGAGAAGGCGGAGGAGGAGGAGGAGCAGGAGGCCATTCGAAGAGTGATGGCACAGGAGCATGGGGGGAGGTCGGATGGGTGAGCGGATCGGGTGGTGGATGGTGGAACAGATGAGGGTTCGCAAGGCCTGCAGAGCGAGAGGAGGGAGATTAGAGGGATGGAGGGATGTGAACGAGTGAACAAAAGTCCTGGGCTAGAGAAAACAGAGGTTCGGAAAAGCAGGCAAGAGAAAAGCTAAGCTAAGAATCAACGCGGCGGATCTTACAAGCTGAAAGGAGAAATGCCCTGAGAAGGAACGTGACTAAGCTGCCCTTAGAAAAAAAAAAAAAAAAAAAAAAGATTCAGAAGCTGCCAAATTATAGGACGTCGCAACAGACGTTTCAGAAGCTGCCAAGCTAAACCAGGGAGCTTGAAACAACAAGCTGAGAAGGTGTCAAAACACCTCACCCTAACCACCACCACCACATCCCCCCCACTATCCAATCCAACCCCACCCTAACCAATGCTGTGTGTTTTTATAACCCATGCGCCCACTATCCCTCCTCACCCTCCTGCTGTGTGCTTCTCTAGCCACCTCGAAGCCCAGCCCACTATGATCACCGCACTGTACCTCCCTGGATCCCTCCTCACCCTTCCACTGCATGGCCCAGCTGTTGCTGCAGCTGTCGCCGCTCCTCCCTCTCCTGCTGCGCTGCCGCTTCTCGCCGATACCTCAGGGTGCGTGGCAGGAACACACGCTGCAAGAGTGTGGAATGAAAGGGTCAGTTGAAATTGGGCGGGACTGCTCAATTTCTACAGAGTCGACTTAGCAGGCATCTGCTGCCTCTCGGCGGTACCTCAGGGTGCGTGGCAGGAACACACGCTGCAAGCGTGGGAATGAAAAGGGTCAGTTGAAATTGGGCGTCACTGCTATGATACTTCAGAGTCGATCGATTTACCATTGTCCATCCGAACATCCGACGCTCACCGTTCCGTGGTTTTGCAGACCCGCGTAGAGCTGCATGGTTTTCATGTAGGCAGGTAGATCTGCCACGCCATTCCCCCACTACCACTCTCCACCGTACCGTTGTCCATCTAACCGGCGCTTACCGTGCCGTGGCTTTGAAGAGCCGTGTACAGCTGCATGGTTTTCATGTAAGCGGGCAGATCTGCGACACCAGTGTCGCCTGCGACGCCGTTCTCGCCTGCGACGTCATTCTCGCCTGCGCAGCCATTCTCGCGGTGAGGCGACTCAGAAGTAGGCTTGCCGAATGCAGGTACGTCGCCATTTTCCCCATCGTTGCCGCTCGCCATTGACGCGACTTAGGAAGCTAAGTACAGGTAACAGACACAATCTGGTCGACGAAACTTGAGGCGCCTAAGATAGAGCCGTTGCTCGCTTCGCTACTGGCGCGACGGAGGAAGCTAAGTACAAAGAACAGACACAATCAGGTCGATGAATCCTGAGGTATCAGTTTGACGACCTTGAGGCTCTCATATGAAGCTGCGGCTCGGCATTGACGTGACGGAAAGGCAAAGTACAGAGAATAGAGACTCCCAAGTGGACGGAATATGAGGCGCCTCGAATTAAGCTGCAGAGACTAAGGAGAAGAAATAGACGGAATCGACGACACGAAGGAAAGTAGACGTACGGAGGCAACGAACAGCGAGGGCTATGCATTTATCCGTAGAAGTAGCTGAGAACTTGTCAGGATCAAGCTGCAGCTCAGAGTTCGGCAAAACCAAGGGAATGGATTCCTGGCGACTTACATCGTTATAAACATTTCCAGTGAAGGGTTTCTTCGATGCCATAAATATGGAATGTGCGATCATATTATCAGTTATATTTCTCATATTTTGCACGTTTCTAACAAAAGAATCATTTTCACAAGCAGCAGACGTCATCGAAATTAAAGATCGCACAGCTCTATATTCCTCGCAATCTGCTACCCAGACCCAGTTGCAAATCTGAAATACTGGATGCATTTGCGCTTACGTCTCCTTCCCTCACAGACGTACCCTCCTTATCATAATCCCGGTTACCACCAATCAGGGAACTCTCCAACCTCTGCCTCCTCAATCGGAGCTCATCTTCCTGTGCTTGACCCCCTAAAAGCTGCTCCTGTAGCAGCATCAGCTGACGAAGCTGTTCCAGCTGTGCCAATTCCTCGTCGGCCCCTCTCCCCCCTTGATCTTGCAATAGCTGCTGTGCGTGAGACTCACCCCCCTGCTGCTGTGGCAATGCAGCTTCAAAAGCAGATCCAGGCTGTGCCAAGGAAGGAAAGGAGTGGTGCTGAATCGCTGGAATGAAACCACGAGTTGAAATGCCACCGGGCCAAAAACCACGTGCAGGAACGGCTGGAGCAGGAGTAACTGCAGCAGGAGCCATGCCATCAGCAGGTGCAGGAAACCCAGAGGCGAACTGAGGGAAACGCAAAGCAGCCTGAGGAGCAGTCGCAGAAGGCATAGTAAGGTCACTAGGAACAGCCACTGCCTTTCCCATGCCTGCCTGTGCTTGTTGACCTGCCAACACCAGCAGCCGACTCAACCACTCCTGCTGCTGCCGCTCATACACCCTCTGCTGCTGCTGTTGATCCTGATGCAACATCTCCTGCTGCCTATGCCCCTGCTCTTGCTGCCTCTGCCCCTGGAGCTGCTGCGGCTGCTTCTCCAGCGTCTGCTGCTCCTCCTGCTGCTGCCCCTGCAACCGTGGTGGCCTATGTGGTCGCAGCCATGCCTTACTCCCTGCTGAACCCTCACCTCCTCTCCAAACTCTACTTCCACCACCCCCTCCGCCAGTCTCCAGCATCGCTGCCAGCTCAGCCAGGCCAACATGAGGACCATGAGCAGCAGGAACAGGGATGGGCTGATGCAGAGCCACTGGCAGCCCAGATTTCACTGCCACGTCGCCCTGCTGCTGCTGCTGGTGTGACTGAAACTGCTTCTGGTGCTGCTGCTGCCTCTGCTGCTGAAGCACCTCCTGCTGCGCCTTTAACTCCTCCTGCATGATCAATCGCTCCTGCTGCTGCTCCTCTGCTGCCACTACCACAGGAGCAGACACAGCACGTCCAGGTGCATCGTCAGGTGAGACCTCAGGTGTAACAGCAGGCTTAAAATTAGAACCAGGTGGAACAGCCACTGCCTTGATAGGGGCTACATATGGAACAAATGGGGACCATTCTCTACCAGAGGCAAAAAACATCTGCTCTGGAGCAGCAGCGACTAGCGGGAGGGAGGGAGGAATAGAGGCAGGATGAGCAGGAGTGAGTGAAGACGCAGAGGTAACTGCATGAGGCGTTCCAGCAGGGTCAGCAGCAGGGGCTGTTTCAGGGGGGGAAAAGTGGGAAAGAAGAGACTGGAGGAGCTCGGGGGAGAGGGTGGAGAGGAAAGGGTCTGGGGCGGGAAGAGGGAGGAGTGGATGGATGTGTTGCTGGGTGTTGAAATTTGGCATGGTGGGAGGTGCTGCTGGTGCTGAAGGTGCTGCTGGTGCTGAAGGTGCTGCTGGTGGTGCAAGTGATGGTGGTGGTGGTGGTGATGGTCTAGGTACTGGTGCCAGTGCTGCAGGAAAGGGTGAGGGCAGGGCTGCTTGTAATGCGGAGTGTAGCAGAGCTGATTTAGGATCGCGGGAGAAAAGCTGTGGATGCTGCTGCTGCTGCTGGAGAAGATTCTGAAGCAGGAACAGCTGCTGTTGCTGTTGCTGTTGCTGCTGTTGCTGTTCCTGTTGCCGCACAAGCTGCTGCTGTTGCTGTTCCTGATGCCACACAAGCTGCTGCTGGTGCAGCATATTCTGCAATGCAGTGCTCACGTCAATCTCCATCTGCTCTTCTCCTTCACTCCCCACAACACCACCACCAACACCACCACCAAGTCCTGCCACAACACCACCACCAAAACCACCACCAATTCCTGCCACAACACCACGCCCCGGCGCAAACCCATGCAATCCAGCACCCAAAGTCACAGCAGCACCAGCAGACACACCCCGGTCAATGCTAGTGGAAGACCCGCACGGCACACAGGCTAAAGCCTGAATGCCTGACGTTGACCCGCACTGCATGTCAGCCCAAGCGCTTCTTCCCGTGGCGGCTGTGCTGGTTGCTGTGGTTGCTGTGTTGCCTGCTGTGCTGTATGTTGCAGCTGTGCGAACCAGTTGCTGCTGCTGCTGCTGCTGCTGTAGAGTAAGTTGAGGCAGGAAAGCAAGTGATGACTGCGCAAGCATATCCTGCTGTTGCTGCTGTTGCTCCAGATAATGCTGGTGGTTTGCTTCTGCTTGCTGCAGCTGTTGCAGCTGCTGCAGCAGCTGTTGCTCGTGGTTTGGCTGTTCTTGCTGCCATTGCTGCTGATGCTGCTGCTGTGGAATTTTCTCCTGAAGTTGATGCTGGTAGTCTGCTTCGGCTTGTTGCAGTTGTTCCAGCTGCTGTAACAGCATCTGTCGCTGATGGTTCCGCTGTTCTTGCTGCCATTGCTGCTGCACCTGCTGTTGCAGCAGCAGCCGCTGTTGCTCTGGTTGCTCCTGTGATTGCTGTTGCTGTTGCTGTGACTGCACATGCTGCTGCACGTGTTGCTGCTGCTCCTGCTGATGCTGCAGTAGTTGCGTTAATCTACTCTGGGCTTTCTCCTCTGTCCTCTTTACGAAATCCTCAACTTTGCGCTCTGTTTGGCAGGGCATAATGCACGCAAAGGAGAAGGAAAGAGAGAAAGAAAATCATAAAAATAAGTTGAAAAAAGAAACAAGGATTCGTACAAGCAGGGGGCTCTTTGGGACCAAACGGAAGAGCCTTAGGTATATAAGCAGGACAAAAGCCATCATCATGACTCACCTCGCCTGTGCAGATTCATGTGGCCTCCAAGTGCGCGGAACGAACCGAATTCCTTGCCGCAGAATCGGCACTCATGACTCGCCTTCACGTCTGTGCCCGCTCCAGATTTCCCTGCGTTTTGTGATTCCCCTTTACCAGGCACAACAGTTGGTCCAGACTGTGATTTGGATGGCTGCTGCTGCTGATGATGATGTGGCATCATGAGATGCTCCTCTTCCGTACGCTGTGCTTGCTGCAAGGTTGTCCCTTTGTCTTTCTGCATCACACCTGTTGCTGATTCCAACCCCCCCTGTCCTTGTTCTCTTGCTTGTCCTGCTCCTGCTCGTTCTGCTCCTGCTTTCTCTCCTGCTTTCTCGGCTCCTGCTCCCTCTCCGCCTGAACTAAAACGTGCACCCTCAACTGCATCCCCACCCCGGCCCACCCCAAGAGCTCGTCTCAAAGTGGCTCCAAGCGTTGGCCAATCAGCTGCAGCCGCCCTCACCTCGTCCTCGCTTGGAAGAATACGTCGCTTCTTGGGGTTACCACCACCTCTCCTGTTTCCGCTGCCACTTAGCAAAGAGCATCTCTGAAAAGGAAAGACTTCACGTCCAGATTTTACCACCAGATTCCCCACTTCCCCTCCCTCAGCCTGCTCAATGAACGCAATAACCCTTCCCCTTTCATCCCCACCCTCTCCTGCCAAGTTGATTTGACTTTTCTCTGCAGCCCTGTTCCAAGCCATTCCTGCACCTCTTCCACTGCCGCTGGCCTTAAAGCCCAACATTTCCCTCTCCCCCGTTTCTGGACGCTCCTCATATTCCACGTGTGACTGTAGTGAAGGGTTCTCACGCGCCCTCCTGCTGCGGCTGCTGCTCAAGCTTCGAGCCAGGTTACTCTCGGCAGTACAGTGCAAAGAGGCGTCTGGCGCTACAGCCATAGTGGGGGGTACTTGTAACGGGGATGAACGGTGCGCTAGACTGAAAGGCTCGCGGAAAACAGCAGTCGGAGCAGAGAAAGGAACGCATTCGTGTAACGACGGAGGAGCAGAGGAGCGATCCAGAGATGCTTGGGGTGCTCTGGAAGGGGCACTCGCAGCAGCAGCAGGATCACCAAAATTGGCAGGTCTAGCTGAATCTGCCATTGGAATTGCAGGTGAATGAACGTTTCGGATCCCTTTTTAGCGGAGAAAGCTCGTGTAATACAGCAAGAATCACATGGGTTGATTGGCAGCTGAAGAGTTCTGGAGGATGCGAGAGTCCCCTGCAAACTGGAACAGGCATCCAAGTAGTCTGCTACCTCATCTTGTTCTGCTCTTGCCAAGAGCAGAATTAAGTGGTTCGGCCTGCAGCCGTGACGATCGCATGCCGAAGTAGATGAGCAGCCTGAGATCGCTACCTGAAAGCCCACCCGCGCCATTGTGCCGGAGCGAAGGCCACCCACGCGGTTGCGCTGCGAGCCAACGGTTCTCCCGCGCACTTCAGGCTCCTGCTGACGCATGCCTGCTTTCAACTTCCTCCGAAGTTGCCTGCTGCTCTCGAGATTTCTGCTGACGCTTGGGCCGTGTGGCGCTGTACGCTTGACCCTTCGTCCGATCAATGGCTGCCTGAATTGGGTGAATCGCAAGCAACTGCCACCCAGCTGGCCCTTCCCCCAAAATGATCTGATCATGTGAGAAAGAAGGTGGTTTTCACACGCAAGCCATCTTCGAAATCTGGTGAACGCCGAGGTAGACGGGATCTTACAGGCAGCTTCCAGACAGCCGGCTAAAGGCCACAACACGCACCCTGATGGCGCACCTTGGAAGTTACGGCGTTTACATTGTATACTACGTCACTGGCCATGCAGCAACTTGTACACGTGTCAGGCGTCAATGCAGAGGTCAGCACAATGTCGCGCGGTGCTGATCGCAGCCTTTTCACCATCCTCCCGAAATGATATTGCGACAAAAGTGGAAATGTAAAAAACTAAATCTGGAAACAAGGGACTCGCAAACTCACTCCTAACAGTTACGCGACTGACAGTAAGTCTATGCAGATGACCTGGCACCTAGAAAGTCACTCCCACATGCCACGCTTTGGACCCGGACGCGTGGTGAATGCAGATTCAATGCACAACAGCTCATGCAGTCGACGACGAACAACGGCACAAATCTAGTTCCCAACCGAGATGATAGAGTGGGTCATCTCCCTTGGTGACTATACTCGATTATATAATACCTGAAGTGTAAACCACATATTAATAGTCAGTCCGAGAAGAATCACACTGTTTACCAGAAACGCCGCTAAACAGTAACATACTTGCATATATGACCAAGCACAATGCCTTTTCATTAGCCTCTTTCTGTTGTGTAAGTGAAACTTCTTTAACCTTTTCCACCATGTGAGACATAATTCGCTGGGTTTACTGTCTATCCATGTACTTCATTAGCATGCAAAATCTTTCTGTTACTATACAACCAAGATTATATGTGAGATTTGTAGAAATTATTTTTTTCTATTGCAATAAAGCACAATGCCTTTTCATTAATCGTGGATACATTACCTTTCAGTGTTACTGTACAATCATAATATGCAATACAAGTGATATCCTAATATAGGAAATTTTGTTTAGCAAGTTTCTCAAATCAGTGTTTGATAAATTTCGTGCCTCAATCTCCTCCATAGCCTGCAGTGGAAGGCACCCAAACCCAAGACTTTTGTTATTATATTCTCTGAAACTCTATAACGCAGAAACTTCATAAACTCTAAGTCATCTAGCCAGTCCGACCATATTAGTAGTCAGTCCGAGAAGAATCACACTGTTTACCAGAAACGCCGCCGTTTTTTTCCAGCATCTGTAAACCTAGCAGCATAGATGCCGTTCGGGCAGATCGTCATCGGCCCGCCAGGGTCGGGGAAGACCACGTACTGCAATGGCATGCAGCAGTTTATGCAGCTTCTAGGAAGGTTCGGTCGGGCTCATTCCGTGTCTTCCGTCGTCGGACTGCTGCCCGTCGTTTGCCACCACGTCGCACACCGCTCTTATTGTTACGTCAGAACAGCTTGCTCAACTTGAAAACGTCTCGCACGAAATTCGATCTCCTTCCAGCCATCACAATAACCCGTGATCCTGTCCCGTTACAATTCTCCATCCGCTATAATCATATGCCGTTATACTTCCGTGCCGTTACAATCCCCATGCCATAATAATGCCGTATCAAATCATCATCCCAGGAAGGTGGCAGTGGTCAACATGGATCCAGCCAATGATCGCCTCCCGTGAGTCACAGTCCATCATATGTACCCCGTGCCGTCCCATGCTGTTCCATGCCATGCCATCCCTCACCGAACCATGATAACCCCCTCAGCTATCCCCCCTCGCCCTGCACCCCTGCTCCCCTGACCGCGCAGGTACGGGTGTGCAGTGAACGTGGAGGAGGTCCTTCGCCTGGAGGACGTGATGGGGCAGCACGGACTCTTTGTGAAGCGCCTTACACACACAACCTGCAGCTTATCGCCTCCCCCACCTCTGCTCTGCCCCTCGGGTCGTGCAGGTACGAGTGCGCAGTGAACGTGGAGGAGCTGGTTCGCCTGGAGGACGTGATGGGGCAGCACGGACTGGGGCCCAACGGAGGTGAGCTGAGAGGCGGAGAGGAGAGGGCTGGCAGTTGAAAGGGAGGACGTGTCGGGGCAGCACGGACTGGGACCCAACGGTGGTGAGGTGAGAGGCGGAGAGGAGGAAAGGAGTCTGCTGGCGGTGGGGAGAAGGGGGGAGAGGGTGGGCGCATTCCTTTCTTTTATTTGTGGGGTGGGTACATTTGTGTTCTTACTCAAGGACGTGATGGGGCAGCACGGGCTGAAACCCAACGGAGGCGAGTGAGATGAGAGGAGGAGAGGGGACTGGCAGAGGAGAGGGCCGGCGGTGGGGCTGGTGGGTATGTTGTTTGTCTGTATTTGTTTACTCGAGGATGTGATGGGGCAGCACTTGCTGGGACCCCAATGGTGGTGAGCTGATGAGATGAGAGGGCTTGCAGAGAGGAGGGCTGGCAGTAGGGCAGCAGTATTCATACGAGGTTGTGCAAATATTTACATATATATATATATATATATATCTGCTGTATGTGTATATATATTGGTGTGTCTACATGCAGGTCTCGTGTACTGCATGGACTACATCGATAAGAACTTCGACTGGCTGCAGAGCAAGCTGAAGCCCCTTGAAAAGGGTCAGTCGATGCTTAAGCCCCCCTTTGCTCCATTCATGCCTCAAATGCCTCCTTCGAGCTGAATGGCTGTTCGCGCATGTTCGCTTGCTTGTTTGTTTGCTTTAACGGCAGCATTTGCTAGTGCTTCTGCTTTTCACCCTATCATGAGATGCTGTCTTCTCTTACATGCACTCTGTTTCTACTCACAATCGCTTTTCTTTCCCTTCTCACCCACCCTCTGCCAACCAACCCACCCATCCCCGTTACAAGCAGACCACTATTTCCTCTTCGACTTCCCCGGGCAAGTGGAGCTCTTCACTCTGCACTCCAGCGCTCAGAGCATCATCAAGCGCCTCACCGACAAGATGCACTACAGAGTGAGTTTGTGGTGGATGGGTGGGGTGTCAGCCACGCAGGCAGGCAGGCAGCTGTTGAGTTGAGTGGACTGTAGAACAAAAATCTAGGAGGAGCAGATCTAGGGCGTCCTCTTAGGGCGTGGAACATTTTTACGACCACGCTGATTTGTCGACCATATGGTTGGATCTGGCGAAAGCGAAGGGTGTAACAGCGATGCGAAGGTTGCGAAAATTCTAAGCTATTCTGCTCGCCAGCACGTGGGGCACCCATTAAAAACCACCCCCCACTAAGCAGAAACATCTGTTCCCAGTTTAAGCAATCGAAACGGGTGTGGGACATTGGGGGGAGCGGGAACGAGTAGAGTGTTAGGCAACCACAATCGGAGGTAAATACTGGAAGCCAAACAGTATCCTCTTTTTAAGCGATAGCGTGTGAGTAGAGGCTCTAAAATATTTACGAGAATACGAGTGAATTTCGGTCAAGTCAGGGTGACTACTACACATGCCAGTCAATGGGGTTTCCTTAAATTCTTCGCAATCGCCAGAAACAACCATCTTTCCGACCATTTGGTGTGTTCGTTAAAATGTTCCACGCCCTTGGACAATGCCGACGGGCAAAACTGCCAGTCCAAAAGTGAACAGAGAGGTCCACAGCCCCAACCGGGCTGGCCAAAAGGCATTGTGCCAGCCGGGAATCGAACCCGGGTCTGCACCGGGCACGTGGCAGGGTGCTATTCTACCACTAGACCACTGGCACTATCAGATGTCAGTGGCTCATCACACACTGACAACAGTGAGTGCGGTGGATGGGGTTTCGGATCTGTTCATTCATGCCTAGAAGTCAGCCCCTCACTCTGCTCGGCTCTACACAGCGCTCAGAGCATCATCAAGCGCCTAACAGACAAGTCATAAGATACACTACTGAGTGAGTCTGGTGGATGGGTATCGGAGAGCCTAGCAGATGGGGGATTCAGGTCCGCCAACCTCCCCACCCACCACGCACACCAGCTAGCGGCTGTGCATCTGGCGGATGCGCATCTGTGCAGCGTGGCACACAAGCACGTGGCGGCACTGCTGCTGTCGCCCCAAATGCCTTCCTGTCCGTTTCTCCCCTTGTACAATGTGGCTACCTGTTCGTATATGCCCCCCTCCCTTCCCACGCCCCCTTCATGCACACCAGCTAGCGGCAGTGCATCTGGTGGATGCGCAACTGTGCAGCGAGGCACATTGCTCCTCTATGTCTATCCCCATCCTCCCGCACACCTGCCACTGCTCCCCTCTCTCTTCCCTTCATGCACACCAGCTAGCGGCAGTGCATCTGGTGGATGCGCATCTGTGCAGCGAGGCACACAAGTACGTGGCGGCGCTGCTGCTGTCGCTGCAGGTAAAGGGTGACCTAAGGCTTCGCGTCCAGTAAGGGGTCTCCGCAGGCGCTTCCCTGAATGAAGCTCTGTCGATTCGGTTTTTTTTTTTTTTTTTTTTTTTTTTTTTTTTTCAGCTTCAGCTTCAGCTTCAGCTTCTCCTTGTCAGTTTCGGGTTATTATCTTCAGCAACTCGTTCTTGGGTTTGGTCTGCTCTGTTTGCTATATGGGCAGGCGATGTTACATTTCGAGCTGCCACACGTCAACGTGCTCTCAAAGATAGACCTCGTGGAGGCATACGGGCCCCTGAGTGAGTGGATCTCTTCCGCTCCCCCTCTCGTTCTGTGACGAGTTGTGAGTCGACTCAAAACTCGAACATTTCGAGCTTAAACAAAGGCCTCGTGGAGGCATACGGCCCCCTGAGTGAGTGGATCTCCTCGACCTCTTCTGCTCCCCAGCTCTTTCGGTGCCCCGTAGCCTTTAATCTGGGTTGCTTTGCTACACGGATGTGCAGGAACTCTTGTTCTTGCAGCAGAGCAGGCGTCTGGGGCGACTATTCGACTTTCCCCGCCCCCTCTTGCCCACTCCCACTAATCCCCCTCTCCACACCCTTCCTCCCTCAGCATTCAACCTTGACTTCTACACGGACGTGCAGGACCACTCCTACCTGCAGCCGAGCATCAAATCTTTCCCCGCCTCTGCCTCTTCCCCTCTTCCCCGCCCTCAGCATTCAACCTCGACTTTTACACGGACGTGCAGGACCTCTCGTACCTGCAGGAGCATCTCGAGAGCGATCCTCGCAACAAGCGATACTCGTGAGTGCACATTCCATTCGCCACGCACATTGCTCCACTCTCATTCCATTCCGCTGTCCCGTGTTGTCAGGCCAGCTGATATAGCCTGGACACTGTTCTTCTGTTTGGTTTGAATCTGTCACTTCTCCCTGGTCCCTTTCCCGCTTCTCCCCCAAAACCCTACACCCTTCCACCACTCCCCCCCTCCCCCGCTCCCTTCTTCCCCTTCCCCTGTCCCCCTCGCCCCCTCGCTCCCAACGCACATGCCAGCAAGCTAACATCAGCAGTGTGTGAAGTGGTGGACGATTTCGGGCTCGTCTCGTTTGAAACACTTAACATTCAGGTGGGCTGACCATGGGGCGAGAATGGGGTGAACATGGGTTGAGCATGGGACGAGCATGGCCCTCTCTCCCCCCGCACATGCCAGCAAGCTGATGTCAGCAGTGTGTGAAGTGGTGGATGGTTTCGGGCTCGTCTCTTTTGAAACCCTCAACATTCAGGTGGTCTGACTATGTTCCTCCACCCCACTCACTCACTCACTCGCTCACATGACCCACATTGCTCACTCCACGCACCCTATGCTCCCCAACGCCCCACTCGCCCCACTCGCCCCACTCGCCCTAATCTCTCCTGGCGGCATTTCACTGCTTGCTGCTGCTGATGCCCCTGCTTGCCTGTCAGGACAAGGAGAGCGTATCGAATCTGATCCGCACAATCGACCGGGCGAACGGCTATGTGTTTGCGGGGATAGAGGCGAGCGCTGCTGAATACTCCAAGATTGCCACGCGCTCCATGCAGTGGGAGGAGGAGAGATATCCCCCTCACTCACACACACACACACTCACACTCACTCACACGCACACACTCTTACCTCTCGCACTCACTCTTTCTCTCCCTTCTCCTCTTGCGCACGTTTTTTGCCTTTTACGCTTCTCCCCACCCACCCTCGTCTCCCCACTTGCATCCTTCATTCGTGAATCACGATGGCCATTTATACTCTCGTTTGTTCCAATGTACTGTACTCTTGCAAAAGCCTCCCAGTTTTGGTTTTCCTTTTTTTTTATTTGGTGTCTTAGTCTTCTGATTCCCCCCCTTTTGAATTACACTGTCTCTTTTGCTCTAGTTGGTTCACCCCTTCCTCTATCTGCCTAACCACATCTTGCTTCCTTTCAAAATACCGGTACTCTTCTAGCTTCCCTTCCAACTTACATTTCAAGTTTCCTTAACCTGCACCTCTTCAAACAATCCTTTTTGCGTGCGACCTCGTTTGTGTGACAATGACCATCTTGTCCCCATGGTGATCGGCGCTGGTGTTTATTTGGCCTCATGAATTACCTTTCCACAATAGGGGATGTTCAGGAGAAGTACTTTAGGGATGATGAGTCTGGGAAGCGAGAAGAGGGATGACACTGGCCGATTATTTTACGATGAAAATGGTCATTTAATTTAGTCTCAGGGCTGTAGGAACACGCCCTCATCAACAGCATTTTTTTTTTATGAATTTGACAGGGCTGCGTATTTATAATCGTGGCAAACCAGCACACTGTAATGAGTGTACATAATAGCGAGGTAAAGTTTCCATGAGAAATCACTTCATCTGATTATCCCAAGGTAAAACTGCAGCATTTACCCCTAAAGCAGTACAAAATAATACCGAGGTCGCTTCTACGCGGGGAAAAAATACAAACTCGTGAAGTTGAGACTAATCATTACTGGGTTTGATGGCGACTCGTATGACCACACATGAGATGGCGACCCGTAGGGCGACTCGACTGGACGACATCGCCTCAATGAGTAATTGCCGATCAGATCCCGCTGATCCCTTTGAAGCTCAGCAAGAGCAGCGATTGGACGACGAGGAGGAAGCCATTCGCCTCCTTACGCGATTGGAACGGAGTCTAGACGCGGCTGCTGACGTGGCAGCCGTTGAAACAGCGGTCGCCGCTTTGCTGGCACCCAACGTACGCGCTGGAGCGTCGGCTGTAGCATCGGCTGTAGTGGATCGTGCGAGCAACGCTTTTTCAAAGTCGACGAAGAACGCGTCGGCTGTAGCGGATCGTGCGAGCAGCGCGATTGACGGAATCAGATATGAAGCGTTCTCCACGGGCGGGAGAGACGCCGCTGTGACAGAAGCGAAGGCACCGATATTGTCTCCTCTTCGCGTGCTACTATCGGACCACCTCGCGGCGCTCTCGCAGCTGCTCCTGTTCCGTCCGTACGACAATAGTCCCCCCCGCATCCTATTCTGCGTCCTCCTCTCCGTTTTTCTATCTCACTCGTTTTCTCCGCCGTCTCGCCGCTCTTGCATCCGCTTCTGCTCTGACCGTACAACAATAGTCCCCCTCCTTTCCTCTCCCTCTCACTGAATCCGCATCACTTTTCCATTCCCCCCCGCTTCCCCCCCCCCTCCCCTTCCCCCTCCCCCTCCCCTTCCCCCTTTCCTCCCCTGTCCCCTTCCCCTTCCAGGAGCGGCGCCAGTGCTTCCCCCTTCCGCCCACCGCGCCCTGCTCGACCCGCTCTTCCTCTCCGCCCCCCTCCCCTCCGCGCTAGACGCCCTCCTCCCCCTCCTCTCCGCCTCCCCCTCCGCCTACACTGCTTCCGCGGACGAGGAGTTGCTTTGGGGGGAAGATGGGGGGAGAGGGATGGGGGGACATGGGGCAGAGGGAAGTGAGGGGAAGGATGTTGGCGATGGTGGTGGTGGCGCTGCTGCTGCTGGTGATGTGTTGGGTGGAGGGGTGTGTGGTAGAGTGGCGCAGGGGAGGAGGAGCACCATTGCACGCAAGGAGGCTGAGAGGTAAAGCCAGCAATGGGCCGCTTGAGTGTGATTCACTTCAGTCCAACCCAATCCCCCTTCCTCCCTCCTCCTCAACCTTGAGGGAGAAAACACTCCCCCTCCTCCGCGTTTTCTCCCTCAAGGTTCCTCCCTGTACGACCAAGCTTTCCAAGACGCTCCTCCCTCCCTCCCTCATTCGCCCGCCTTTGCATCCATGCTTCTTCTTCGCCAGCAGATTCATTTGAGATCTCCAAGAATGGGCCCCTCTTCCCTGCCTCTTTTCCCCCCACCCACCCATGCATCCAGGCTGCTCCTCCTTGCAATCTTCGGTTCGCCTGACGGCCCAACAGCCGAACCAGTCAAGCCAGGCGCAGAGTGCACGCCTGCAGTTTCTACTCCTGACACGTGTCCAAATGTGACTGGAGCAGGGAGCATGGCTGGAGCTGCTGGGTGCAGAGAGACCCTTGTAACGTCAGGGGGCTTGTACAGATTCTTGGTCCACCTGGAATCAAGTCGCTGCACGTTAGCAGCGTCAGCCACGTCAGCATCATCATCCACGTCAGCAGCATCAGCCACGTCAGCAGCAATGTGGAGAGGAGAGTACAGCATGGAAAGAGTGGTGTCCCAGCTGGCGTCGGTGACCGATAGGGCGTCGTCACACGCGCCTTCTGCCCTGCATGCTCCGTGAGACTCTGCTCCTTCATAACCCACTTACCCACTTCGCTGCGTGCTTGTGCGTGTGGCACCTCAAAATTGCTCCCCTTCCCCTCCCACCCACTTTCCCACTGCCCTCCGTGCGTGTGCTTCCCCACCGCCCATCTCCCCGTCACGTTTTGTAACGTCTTAAAACTAGGGCATCCCCACCATTCAAGTGCCAGCCAGTCCGGAGATTTCTCCAAATCGACACAAGCACCCCCCGCCCCTTCTTGTTCTAAAATGCCAAAAGAAGTCGCCGCCACTTAATTGTTTTATACGCGCTGGAGCCCATTCCATTCCAATCCCCCCACTTCCCCCCTTGCCCAACCAGTCACTTCATCTCGTCTCTCATCCGCCATACTCTCACCACCGCTGCCACCATCGCTGCCTCTCGCTCCTCCTCACCACCTCCCCCTACACCTCCCTCCCTCTTAACAAGTGTTTCCTGTACCACTAGCAGCAGCGGTAGCATCAGCAGTACCACCACTAACATCACCACCACTCACAAGCACACCAGCAATATCAGCAGCAGCAGCAGCAGCAGCGGCAACAGCAGCAGCAGCGGCAGTGGCAGTGGCGTTTCCCCAGAGGCGTTTGTAGGGCAGCTGGTGGCAAGGCTGTGCCGCAGAGGGCATGCAGGTGAGTGGTGGGGTGAGGTTTGGTGGGGTGAGTGGCGGTGGGGGCAAGCCAATGTGTGGTGGCAGTTAGTAACTAACAAGGATGTGGGGCCTCCCCTCCTCCCCCCTTTCTGCCACCCTTTTCTTTTCCCTCTTCCATGCTCTCTCCGCTTCTCCTCCTCCTTTGCCCTCCCGTCCTCTCCTGCTCCTTGTCACTCTCCTGCCCTCCCGTCCTCTCCTGCTCCTCCCTATTCTCCTCCCTCTCTGCTTGCCGCTCGCCCCTCTCTTCCCAGCGACCGTGGCATCCGAGCTCGTCCACACAATCATCCGACAGCTGGCACACGCCACGTCAGCACCAGCACACAACAGCACCACTTCCAGCAGCAGCAGCAGCAACAGCACCGCCTCTACCACGTGCCACAGCAGTTCCTCCTTACCGCATCCCTCCTCTATCCACTCCACCATCATCACCTCCCTCGCTGCTGCTGACGCCTTCCCACTTCACCAGCTAGCAGAGGCTCTTCTCTCCCACCTCGCTGCCCTCTCTGCTGCTCTTCCCACCACTGCTCCCACCGCCAGCAGCAGCGGCAGTGGCAGCGGTGGCAGCACCACCAGCAGCAGTAGCAGCAGGAGCGGCAGTGTGCCAGAGACTGTGTTGCAGGTGCTGTTTCAGGGGTTGCTGGCTCAGCGACACCCCCAAGCAGTGTGAGTGGATGCATGAGGCACACATAGAATCCAACCCCTGGTTTGCCGCTTTCTTGTTCTCCTGCATGGTTGTTGTGATGCTTTCTTGCTTTGCTGTTGCTGTTTCGCTGCCTCTCTCTCTGCTTTCCCGTGTTTGCTTCTTTGCCTGCGTTCTATCGCTAAAGCCAATGGCTCAGTCAGTCTCCTGTGTGTGGGTGGGTGGGTGGGTGGGTCGGAGGTGTCTTGCGTCTCTGTTTGAGAGCAGGCTGAATCTGGTTTTTTGAGAATCCTTGAAAATCAGATTCTCGTTGAGAGCTGGCTTATCATTTCGTGCCAATGTTTCTGCTGAACCGAATCTGTTCTACCTCACCTCACCGTCAAGTCTCATTCTCTTTGTCTTCTACTATTCCCCCTCCCGTCCCTACTCCTCTCCGCAACCAATCATGGCAGGTACCTATTTACTTGTCACCTCCTCACTCGCTCCCTCCTTCCCCTCCCTTGCCTGCCTTGGATTATCGCCCTCCTTTCGTCCTCCTCCTCCTGTCACCCCCCTGCTGACGGCTCCTTGGCAATCGAGCCAATGGGGCTGTGCCACGTGGCACTTGAGCACGTGCTGCGCATGTGGAGCTCAGCAGCTCTCGTCCAATCAGCATCCATGGAAAAGCAGATCTGTGAGTCAGCAAGAAGAAGAAAGGACTTGATTCGCTCTAGTAAAGATCGATGTGCTGTGCTCATCCCTTGACTGACTGGTCACTGGAGATGACGGGGAGGGACGAGGTCAATTTGTTGCACCTCAGAGGAACGGGAGAAGTATGAAAGCATTTCCAATGGTCATTTCCTTTCCCCTTGATTTGTTGTGCTCCCTGCCTCTTCTCGACCCTGTCCTTCTGGCAGATGTGACAGCAGCAGCAGGCTTCCTCCTCTCCCTCCCCCGCCACCACACACAAGCACTGTCCTCATCTGTGCCTCGCTCCCATCCTTTCTCCATCACCTTTTCCCCTTGGTCATGCCCCTTGCCTCTTTTCTTTCTGTCTGGCAGATGTGACAGCAGCAGCAGGCTTCCTCCTCTCCCTCCCTCGCCACCACAACCCTCAAGCACTGTCCTCATCCGTGCATCACTCCCATCCCCCCATTCGCCTGCACCCATCGCTGCTCACGATGCTTCTCAAGGGGGTCTCCAGTAAGTTGTCATACTGTGAGCATGCACATACACATGCACATACACATACACATGTACATACATATACACATGCACATGCACATGCACATGCACATACACATACACATGCACATACACATGCACATGCACATGCACATGCACATGCACATACACATACACATACACATGCACATACACATGCACATGCACATGCACATGCACATGCACATGCACATGCACATACACATGCACATGCACATGCACATGCACATGCACATGCACATGCACATCCACATGCACATGCACATGCACATGCACATGCACATGCACATGCACATACACATGCACATGCACATGCACATGCACATACACATGCACATGCACATGCACATGCACATACACATGCACATGCACATACACATGCACATACATATACACATGCACATGCACATGCACATACACATACACATGCACATACACATGCACATGCACATGCACATGCACACATACACATGCACATGCACATACACATGCACATGCACATACACATGCACATACATATACACATGCACATGCACATGCACATGCACATACACATACACATGCACATGCACATACACATGCACATGCACATACACATGCACATGCACATACACATACACATACACATGCACATACACATGCACATACACATGCACATACACATACACATACACATACACATGCACATGCACTCGCATGTCTTTTGTTGTGATAGTGCAAGTGCATTGAGTACGTTTTTTTAGCCTCCTCAAAAGATGCAAGTGCATTGCATTGTGCACATTTGAGAATTCTCAACTTCTCAGTGGCTGCGCACCCCATCAGCCCACCCCTCCTTCCCCCACTTCCTCTCCTCCCCCCTTTTTTTGCTGCCTGTTCCTGCTTCTGACGTGCTGATGGGTCAGCGCCTTGCCTTTGTTTTCTCAGTGGCTGCCCACCTTGACTGACTGGCCCCCCATACCCCCCCCCCTTGCTGCCTGTTTTGTTCCTGGTCCTCACATGCAGTGCGATCGGAAAGTCCCCTCCCGCTGGTGCGTCTGATGGGGCAAAGGCTCGCCTTTCTCTTCTCTGTGGCTGTGCACCCTGACCGCCCCTGCATCCCCTCCCCCTCTCCCCCCCCCAACCCCCTTTGCAAACCCCCAAAACCACCCTTGTTGCCTGTTTTGTTCCTGCTTCTGACGTGCAGTGCGATTGGAAAGTCCCCTCCCGCTGGTGCGCCTGATGGGTCAGCGCCTTGCCTTCGCCTTCTCTGTGGCTGTCCACCCTGACCGCCCCCCCATGCTGTTTGGGGAGTTTGCATATGAGCGAGGGATAGTCTCTGGGGGGGAGGAGGGGAAGCGAGGAGGCAGAGGGGGGAGTGGGGTGAGTGAGGGGAGTGCAGCTGCTGTTGAGTCGACTCACGAGGCGGCTATTGCTGCTGCTCTTAATTTTGCAACGGGATGGGACGTTGGGGGGGTGACGGGGCAGGTGTGTAGGGAGGAGAAGAGGGGAGGGGAAGGGGCGAAGGGGGCCGGTGGGGATGGTGGGGAAGATGAGAATCAGGACGTGGAGAAGCGAGGAGGGGAGGGGGAGTTGGGCAAGGAGGAACGGGAGGAGGATGATGAGAGTGAGGGAGGGAGTGAGGAAGGGAGCGAGGAGGAGAGTGAGGAAGAGTGGAGTGAGGAGGACTGGGATGAGGTGGAAGAGGAGAGCGAGGAGGAATCAGACGAGGAAGAGGAGGATGCAGGGGGCATGGGAATGGGCGTGGCCATGGGCATGGGAGTAGGAGTGGGCATGAGTGGGGAGGGGGGTGGAATGGCGGCTCCCATGCAGCTGCGCTACTGTGCAGCAGACCTGAGGAAGGCCGATGATGTCAGTGCGGTGAGTGTCTCAGCTCAGCTTCAGTCGGTTATGCATTTGGCTACCTCTAGTCAAGAAACGTTTCTGGTCCTTCTCTTCCTCGTCTTCATGGCTCGGTAAAAAAAACTCTAGTCAAGAAACTTTTTTTTTTTTTTTTTTTTTTTGGCATTCTCATGCTTGGTCCTTCGTGAACAGATGGAGCGGGCGCTTCTCTCCCTTGAGCCAATGATCCGCTGCCAACCGGACGAGCTGGATGACGTGGCAGCTGAGCTGGCGCGCTCCCTTATCCACATGCAGTGCCAGTTCCTCTTGGTTGGGGAAGAACCGGAGGGGGAGGAGGGAGAGGAGGAGAGCGGGAGCGAGATGGGCGAGGAGGGGGGAAAAGGTGAGGTAGAGGAGTGTGAGGTAGAAGAGTGGGGCTCCTTCAGTAAAACGAAGAAGGGCAGCAGGGAAGAAGAAGGAGCCAAGCAACGGAAGGGAGGCAGCGTGCAAGGCGGGGAAGGAAAGGGAGGAGGGCAGAGAGCAGAGGGTGCAGAGGAGAGGAGGAGAGCATCGCTGGTGGCCCTGGTTGTCTTTTCCCCGGTGGCATCGCTCGAGGTGCTTCTGGGGGAGGTGTTTTCTGCCCACGTGGACCTGAGTCAGCGCCTGCTCATCCTGAACGTTCTAGAAGCAGCTGCTATCGAACTCGCCTCCCACCCCTCCTCATCCTCATCTTTCTCCTCTTCATCCTCTGCTGCTGTCACATTCACTTCGCCCCTCTCTTCTTCCTCCCTTTCCACTTCGCATTCGCACACTCCTCTGATAGTTGAGATTCACACTGGGCCGACACCTTGGGATCATCCCGCACACTCCCTCTCCCCCTCCCCTCCCGGTGCTGGTAAATGGGTTCAGCTGCCCGGGATTCTGCCCGGAGATCTCGGGCAGCCCGAGATGGCGAAGGCAATGTTAGCAGCAGCAGACGGAGGAGGGTTCGGCCTGACCGGGCTCACGGGCAGCTGGACGAAAAGTTTCGCACGGGACCTGCCCCGGCGCCCTGGCGACCGCATTCTCGGGCAGGAGAAACGAACCTCCGAAGCAATCGAATATGCAAGAGAGAAGCTGCCAGGAAGCAGCGGTCAGAACCAGCAGCACCAGCAGCTGCACAGTCAGCGTGATTCGTCCACGTGTACCCCTCCACGTGTGCGATTCGCTGACGTGGCGGCGGGGTTCATGCTGCCGCTGATGCGAGCGTACGACAGGCAGAGCCACGGGGTGGACTGGGTGGGGCGGGACTTTGTTGTTCTCGCTCACGTGCTGCTGCTGCTGGGGAAATGCCTGCGCCTCCTCGCCCCCTCTCCATCTCTCCTGCCTCTTGCAGCAGCTCTGCTGGAATTTATCAACGCCAGGTGAGTGCCTTTGAGGTTGGGCTTGCTTGGTGTGTGCCTGGTCAGTGTGTGGCGAGACTGTGCAACGTGGTGATGCGGGTGTGCAACAGGCAGGCAGAGCCACGGGGTGGACTGGGTGGGGCGGGACTACGTGGTGCTCGCCCGCGTGCTGCTGCTCTTGGGGAAGTGCCTCCGCCTGCTCGCCCCTTCACCCGCACTTCTCCCCCTTGCAGCAGCACTGTTAGAATTCATCAACGCTAGGTGAGTGGCGTGAAGGCTGGTATACAGGCAGAGCCACAGACTGGACTGGGTGGGGCGGGACTTTGTTGTTCTCGCCCGCGTTCTGCTGCTGCTGCTGCTGGGGAAATGCTGCTGGGGAAATGCCTCCGCCTCCTCGCCCCCTCGCCAGCTGTCCTGCTTCTTGCAGCAGCTCTGCTGGAATTTATCAACACCAGATGAGCTGGGGTGATTTGTGCTGTGTGCGGCTTGTCAGTGCAATGTGGTGGTGTTAGTGTGCAACAGGCAGGCAGGTAGAGCGTCACGTGTGGAGTGGACTGTTGGGGCGGAACTCTGTGGTTTTGCAGGGTGTTTTTTAGAATTCTCAATAACACCCTGCAACATTTTGGGCCGGAACTCTGTGGTTCTTTCTCCAGAGCCCTGCATGCAACGCTGTGCCATCTTCACTGCAGCCTCAAACATAGTGTTTAAATGCAACCTCTCTTTTCCATTATTCTCCCCTCTTTCCCCTTCTTCCTTCTCCCCCAATCCGTACCCGCCGCCCTTTTCCCCACCCCTGCAGTCCCATCGCCCTGCACCCAGAGCCCTACGTGCAGCGCTGTGCCATCTTTGCTGCCGCCTCGCTGCTCCTCTCGCTGCCCCCTGCTGCCGTCGCCGCCGAAGGGCTCCTCCTCTCCTCTGCTGCTTCTGTTGCTTCTGGAGGCACCGCAACCACTGGCTTTGGCACTGTTGCTGCTGCTGGTTCTGGGAGTGCAGGCGTGGGGCTGTCAGGGATGCTGCGAGTGATGGCTGCATGGTTGGGGAGACTGGCAGAGGAGAGTGGTGACGAGCAAACCAAAGCGGTGAGTGCTGAGACCAAAGCGGTGAGTGCTGAGACCAAAGTGGTGAGTGCTGAGACCAAAGCGGTGAGTGCTGAGACCAAAGCGGTGAGTGCTGAGACCAAAGCGGTGAGTGCTGAGACCAAACCAGTGAACTCTCTTTGTGCTTTCACCTATTTGGTCTTTGCTCATGCCCCCCGCTTCTTCTCTTACCTGGAAGAACACTCACTTTTCCCTGCTCCCAGCTTTTTCTCCTTTTGTTGTATGACCAGTGTCCTTCCTTCCGCTCCCCGTCCTTCCTGCTTGTCTCGCACCCGTCCAGATGGCCTTTGGGTGCCTGCAGTTGCCGTATATGATGATGTCGCCCGGGCGTGCCTTTCTGTTGACTCTAAAGTCACCACCCCCCTGTCTCTCCCACCTGTGACCTGTCCTTTCCCACCTTTGCCTACCTGTCCGTCCAGATGGCCTTTGGATGCCTGCAGCTGTACGACGATTTCGCCAGGGCGTGCCTGCAAGCAGTGCTTGGCAGCGGCAACCCCCCCACGTGAGGAAGTGGCTTAACAGGAGTCCACTCGAGTGTCCTTACAATATTGCGTGACTGCTCGTTGTGAATGCATGTGTTTTTTCTTCTTCCCCCCCTTCCCCTCTCTCCCGCCCCCCTAGTCAACTAGTCGACGAAAAAATATGAGTGTTGCTCACAATTGCATGGATTTGAGACGTCTCAAAACTAAATATGAGTGTTGCTCACAATTGCATGGATGCAAACAGTGCTTGCTGGCTCCTCCATTGGTTTGGCTGAAGAAGGGGCAGCATTCCTTCATCTCTCATCACATGCCATTGCTTGCCAGTAAACTGTGCGCCCCCCCTGTTGCTACTAGAATCAACTCTCACTTGGAGTTTGGCTGAAGAAGGGGCAGCATTCCTTCATCTCTCATCAGATGCCATTGCTTGCTTGCCAGTAAACTGTGATTCCCCCTTGTTGCTACTCGGATCAGCACTCACTTGGCAGTGCCCAGCAATAAACGAGATCACCCACTGTACAGCATTGAGAAGGTGTTTCGCAATTGGTAACTTGTTTAACAAATCACCACGGTACCTTTTTGCCCCGAGTTTTTTCATAAGGGGCAACAAGAGCTGATACCATGTCATCCCGGGAAGCCTGGTATTATTCCCAAAAGCCCTGGCCTGTAGCCCTTGCCTGGACACCCAGCTGGGAGCCCTGAAGTCTTGGAAAGCTACAGATAAGAGCAGTGGCACACACACACACATGCTGATTTCCTTCATTCCCAAGGTGATTTCCCTTGTGTGTAAGGTTGATTTACCACGGCTGATGAATCAGTGCGGTCAGAGACCAAACTTTGGACCTGCTGCTGCAGCAGTCCCTTCAAGGGTTCACATGCAACAGTAGCCTTTGTGGTCCCTTGAAAGAGTATTGTGGGTTATTGGACCCCCCACTTCTGAGCCAATAGAGAGGGCTTGTTCTTGTGCTGTCCGTTGCATCCTTTTCTTATCCTCACCCTCCTGCTGTCCTCACATCCTGCTTCTGCCCTCACACCTTTCTGCTGCTGCCCTCACACCTTCCTGCTACCCTCACACACACCCTGCTGCCCTCACATCCGTCTGCTGCTGTTTCTCGAAATCCCTGCTTCGCTGTCTCTGCGTGCCCTGCTCCCGCCCCTGCGGTTCCAGCGCCTTATGAGGCGCCCTCATAAGCCGCCTCTCACATTCTCCTGCTCTCACACCTCCTCCTGCTGCCCTCACATCCTCCTGCTGCTGTTTCTCGAATCCCCGGCGTCGCTGTCTCTGCGTGCGCTGCCCCCCCCACCTGCAACTCCAGAGCCTTGCGCACCACCAGCTGCATGCGGTTCTGGTTCACTGCGCTCATAACCTGTAGGAGGGGTGGTTGTAACGAGGATGGGCGTGTGCAGTAATAGGCTGTGCAGGTACTACAGAGTAGTAACACTAAAGATGGTTAAAATTTCTCATACTTTCAATGGCATCCAACCACCGGGCCAGTAGCCAGTCCAGAATTTAGATGTCTCACCTCACCTGCCCAACACTCGACAGTCCACAGTCTCACCTGCTGAATGGTGAGGCCGTATTTCTTTCTCAGGTGCCGCCTCCATGCAAGCTGGATGGTTCTCGCAGCGTGAGTGCGCCGGTTGTGACAGCACTCACTGGGGGGGGGAGGGGGCGGGAAGAGAAACGGGTGAGCGGAAGGGTGGGGGCAGACAGGAACTTAAAGAGAAGATGGGCAGAGAGGGGGTGGAAAAGGAGAGGGGGTGCAGAGGAGAGCAGAGGCGAGCAGAGAAGAGCAGAGCAGAGCAGACCGTAACACCTACTTGAGAGCCGCCTGGATCTTGCTGGTGGCGAGCATGCGGGCAAACTGCCGGCACACCACAGCCACATCGGTGGCTTCCAGCTCGTAGCCCTCCACGGGCCCGATGCACCGCACCGTGCGCTGCGCCGTTGGCAGCACGTCGATCGCCAAAGTGCCCAGTGCTGCTGCTGACGCTGAAGCACTCGCACCCATCGTGACAGCTGCATGGGGGATGGGGGGATGGGGAGCGAGGAGGCGCAGGAGAGAGGGGGAGGAACGGGGAATGGGGGAATGAGGGGTGAAGAGTGGGGAAATGGGGGAAAGGGAGCTGCTGCCAGCACACTACAGCCACATCAGTGGCTTCAAGCTCGTAGCCCTCAACGGGCCCAATGCATCGCACCGTGCGCTGCGCTGTCGGCAGAACGCCGATTGCTAGCGTGCCCAGCGCTGCTGCTGACGCCGATGCTGATGCTCCCATTGTCACCGCTGCATGGGGATGTGAGGGGGGAAACGGAGGATCAGATCGGGACAGATCAAATCAAATCAGCCTCAGGTCAGACTCACTTCAGGTAACGGATCGCCAGCTCTTATCACAGTCTGACAGCTTCTGAAGATACTCCACCAGCAGCTCCTCTCCTAAATAATCCCCCTTCCCCAGCAGCACACTGTCCACAAAGCCCACGTGCCCTGGACCACAACCCCAAGTGGGCACTACTAGTACTGACATCGGCCCAGGTAGCGGATGGTAGTGCCTGAGAGCCGCCGGCTCTTGTTGCCATCCGACAGCTTCTCAAGATACTCCACCAGCAGCTCCTCCCCGAGGAAGTCCCCCTTCCCCAGCAACACGCTGTCCACAAACCCAACCCACCCTTGACTTGACAACAACACAACCCCAGGAAGCCACTACTCACATCGTCCTAGGTAGCGAATCTGGGTGCCTGATCGCCGCCTCTTGTTGCCATCCGACAGCTTCTCGAGGTATTCGACTAAAAGCTCCTCTCCAAGAAAGTCCCCCTTCCCCAGCAGCACGCTGTCCACAAACCTCCTCCATGCTTACAAACCCCCCCTTTTCCACATGCCCAGGAAGGGACTACTCACATTGGTTTAGGTAGCGAATCTGGGTTCCCGACCGTCGGCTCTTGTTGCCGTCCGACAGCTTCTCAAGGTATTCGACCAGCAGCTCTTCTCCCAGGAAGTCCCCCTTCCCCAGCAGCACGCTGTCCACAAACCCAAGTCGGCCTTGACAACAACACAACCCCAGGAGCCCACTACTCACATCGGCCCAGGTAGCGAATCTGGGTGTCTGAGCGCCGGCTCTTGTCGCGGTCTGACAGCTTCTCAAGATACTCTGCAGCACACTGTCCACAAACCCTGCTCGCCCGCCGATGGATCACGGCACTACTAGTACTCACATCGGCCCAGGTAGCGAATCTGGGTGCCTGAGCGCCGGCTCTTGTTCCCATCCGACAGCTTCTCAAGATACTCCACCAGCAGCTCCTCTCCCAGGAAGTCCCCTTTCCCCAGCAGCACACTGTCCACAAACCTGGAGGGCACTACTGGTACTCACATCGTCCCAGGTAGCGAATCTGGGTTCCAGAGCATCGGCTCTTGTTGCCATCCGACAGCTTCTCGAGGTATTCCACCAGCAGCTCCTCGACCCAGAAAGTCCCCCTTCCCCAGCAGCATGCTGTCCACAAACCCGCATTGCTTCACAAGGCCCCATTATTCCACAAGGCCAGGAAGGAAGGAAGGAACTACTCACATCGGCCCAGGTAGCGAATCTGGGTGCCAGGTCGCCGGCTCTTATCCCGATCCGACAGCTTCTCAAAATACTCCACCAGCAGCTCCTCCCCTAAGAAATCCCCTTTCCCCAGCAGCACACTGTCCACAAACCTGGAGGGCACTACTGGTACTCACATCGGCCCAGGTAGCGAATCTGGGTTCCTGAGCGTCGGCTCTTGTTGCCATCCGACAGCTTCTCGAGGTATTCCACCAGCAGCTCCTCCCCCAGGAAGTCACCCTTCCCCAGCAGCACGCTGTCCACAAACCCCGCACGCCCGCCGATGGTGGTGTAGCTCTCGAGCTGGCCGCGCAGCACAAAGAAGAGGCGCGACACGGGGTACCCCTCCTTGAGGATGACGGTGCCCTCTATGTACAGCTGCTGCCGCAGCTTCTCACAAAACGCGTCCAGCACCTGCGGCTCCATGGCGAAAAACAAGGCCGACTGCGGGAGGGGGTGGTTGGGGGTGGGGTTGGGGTTTAGTGGTTGCAGTGTGTGAGTACCTCACTCGCGCACTGCAGCACTCACACACCACAGCACTCGCATACGAATCTCCCATCCACACTACCGCACTCACACACTGCAGCAGCTCAAGGCACAGGCTGCGACGCACCTCCGCCTCCTCCACTCCCCCCCCTCTCACTCCAGCACTCACACTCACACACTGAGCACTCCCACAATCATCCCATCACACAATGAGCACTCCCACAACCCCCCACTCACACACTGAGCACTCTCACAACAACCCCCCACTCACACATTGCAGCAGCTCGAGACACAGGCTGCGGCGCACATCCGTCTGAATGTCGTCTGACAGCTTATCCAACACCTCCGCCTCCTCCACTCCCCTCGTTGCCACCCAGTGCAGCCGCTGCTGCTTCTGCACTCGCCTGGCAGAGCAGGAGAAAAGAACAAGTAGGCACAGGGAGGGACAGCGGGAGAGGGCTATTGGGTTAAAATGACTTAGGTTCTGCACCCGGGGATTGAATTCCATGAAACACTACTAGAAGCACATGAAAAACGGACAAACAGGCTGTTGCGATAATCTAGTTTTGAGTCGACTCAAAACTCGACAGGCTGTTGCGATAATCTAGGTTGTATTTCAAGAGCGGACGGGAATGATATTTGTGAGAGGACTCACTTTTGGAGGCTGAGGGGCAGGTTGCGTCTCTCCATCCACGAGTCAATGTCATGTCGTTGCAACTGGTACTCGAAGGACCTGGTGAAGGGAAGAGGGAGAGAAGGGGGGAAGGCGGAAGGAGGGAGCACGGGGGAGGAGGGAAGCAGGTTGCATCTCTCCATCCACGAGTCAATGTCATGGCGCTAATTGTTTTTTCATACGTACATCCAAGAATCCAATGCAGATAAACGAATGAACACATGTAAGCTGGAGCTTCCCACCTTCTACTGAGTGCTTGTAGAAAGTTGGAGATGTTGCCAATAAGCAGCGCGAGCAGCACGAGCCCCAGCCCTATAACAAGGATGACAAAGAGCACCTCAGGATCCCACCTAGACGGCTCCAAGTTGCCTGCTAGTGTGCTCACTTGCTGTGAAAAGGGGGTTGGGGGGAGGAGAGAGGGGACCGGGGGGGAGGAGGGCGGGGGGTGCGATGGAACGACAGGGGAGTCTATCTATCTCTGAGGCGAATCAAAACTAGATGGCTTTTGAGGCGCCTCAAAAGGCACCTAAAAACTAGATGGTTGCAGTGCAGTAGATTGACTGTCTGCTGGGATGCTCAGTCGTTGCGAAGTGGGGCGGGGGAGGGCGATGGGAGGACAGGGCTGCTGCGTTTGGTAGGAGAGAAGGAAGCCTAACCTACAACGATGAGTAGTGAGTCCATCCATGGACAGAGGGAGGGAGGGAGAGAGGGAGGGGAGGTCAGAGGGAGATGGCGACACACCTGGAAGCCCCAGAAGGAGTAGATGTCCTTGGAGAGGAACATCCCTTCCACCATAAGGAGAGGTGACTGATGATGTGTAGACTCACACACTAGTTACCAGGTGAGTGAGGTGAAGTCACCCGGTGGATAAAGTAGGCACGCACCTGGAAGCCCCAGAAGAAGGAGTAGATGTCCTTGGAGAGGAACATCCCTTCCACCACAAGGAGAGGTGACTGATGATGTGTAGACTCACACACTAGTTACCAGGTGAGTGAGGTGAAGTCACCCGGTGGATAAAGTAGGCACGCACCTGGAAGCCCCAGAAGAAGGAGTAGATGTCCTTGGAGAGGAACATCCCTTCCACCACAAGGAGAGGTGACTGATGATGTGTAGACTCACACACTAGTTACCAGGTGAGTGAGGTGAAGTCACCCGGTGGATAAAGTAGGCACGCACCTGGAAGCCCCAGAAGGAGTAGATGTCCTTGGAGAGGAACGCCCCTTCTACCACGAGCGGGACTGCATTGGTGAAGATGCCATAATCGATTGGGGAAGGCAGGGCGTCACTGCTCGGATTGTCCAGCACCAGGCACGCGCTGGCAGGGCCTGCGGCCCAGGCGGCCTCTGCTGCTGTATTTTGGTAGGCGATGGCGTTTTGGTCGACACAGTACATGTACTCGGGCTGACAGGCATCGCCCTGAGTGGCACACTGGCCTGCCATACACGTTGTGAAGCGCTGCAGGGAGAGAGGAGAGGGGATGTATGTGGGAAGGAAGGACAGCCGGGGAGAAGCTGCGATTTGGTAGGCGATGGCGTTTTGGTCGACACAGTACATGTACTCGGGCTGACACCAGACACCTTAAGAGGCACAGTGCCCTGCCAGGGAGAGAGGGGAGGGAGGGGAAGGGTGCACGCGGGAGAGAGGGGAGGGGAGGGGAGGGGAAGGGTGCACGCGGGAGAGAGGGGAGGGGAGGGGAGGGGAAGGGTGCACGCGGGAGAGAGGGGAGGGGAAGGGTGCACGTGGGAGAGAAAAGAGGAAAGTGGGGGGGCGTGGGTGACGTGACGTGACATACAGCATAAAGGTCGATTGAACTGTATGAAGGATGAAGCAGGATGAAAGGAATGTGGGTTTAGAGGATTAGGGAGGGTGTTGTAGCGTGAAGTGGGGAAGGTTTGACAGCCAAGCGGCACTCACTCATCGAGGCAGCGAGGAAGTACCACATGCTGCCCACAATGTAAGACGCCATGAGGTAGAACACAAAGTTGATGAGGAAATTCGCCCACGCCGTCTCAAACACGAGCCCGGTGACGTGCGGTCCGTTGCCCGAGAGGATGGGGAAGAAGCGGATGGCGCGGGGGACGTTCTGAGCGAAGAGGGCTGCGAGGCAGAGCACTGTCATGGCGACTCCGGTGTTGGAGGGGACTGAACGGCCCATCATTGGCACTATCACCAGCATCACTATCTGGGAGGGGGGGGAGAGGGGTGGGAGGGGCGGAGGGTGGGTGGGGCAAGAGGGTAAACGCAATAAAGAGGCTGGAGGGAGTTTTTTTGAGTCGACTAAAAAATCGCCTCATCCCACGAGGGTGGGTGTGGCAAGAGGGTATATGCAATGAAGAGGCTGGGGGGAGCACAAAACAGAACACCAGGCAAGGAGAGAATGAGGAAGAAGCGGATGGCTCGGGGGACGTTCTGAGCGAAGAGGGCTGCGAGGCAGAGCACTGTCATGGCGACTCCGGTGTTGGAGAGGACTGATCGACCCATCATTGGCACTATCACCGGCATCACTATCTGCGACGGTCAGGGGTGTGGGGAAGGGCGGGGAGTGGAGGGAGAAGCGGGGAAGGGGGAGAAGACACGCAAGGAAAGGGGTGTGGGGGGAGAACAGACGGCCAGGCAACGAGAGGATGGGGAAGAAGCGGATGGCACAGAGTGCTGTGTGCAGAACAGGGAGTACCTAGATAGGTTTCACCTGGGGTGGGCCTTACCTGGGGGATGGGCAGGGCGGCCAGCACGTCAATGAGGAACCAGGAGCGCAGGTAGCGCCTGGCAATGACCCGCGCGTCAAACTCAAGGTCGCCCGGGCTCTGCAGGGGTGCTGAGAGCACAACAGGACCTGGGGTAGGCCTTACCTGGGGTAAATCTGACTCACCTGAGGGATAGGGAGAGCGGCCAGCACGTCAATGAGGAACCAGGAGCGCAGGTAGCGGCTGGCAATGACCCGTGCGTCAAACTCGAGGTCGCCTGGGCTCTGCAGGGAGCGGTCGGCCCACCAGCGGCGGAAGAAGCGGTTCTTGCGGTTGGTGGGGGGCGGCACGATGTAGGCCATGCGGAACTGGTGGGGATGAAGGGGAAAACGGGAGGTGTGGGGGAGGGGAGGGGACAGATTCGGGGGTAGAGGGGTGGGAAGGGGAGAGGAGGATGTTTGTAGGTACGAGCTTCGGGACGTTGGAGTTTGCTGTTGAAAGAGGAGAGCTGGGGGGGTGGAAGAGGGGGTGATCGCCCGGGCTCTGCAAGGAGCGGTCGGCCCACCAGCGGCGGAAGAAGCGATTCTTGCGGTTGGTGGGGGGCGGCACGATGATGGCGAAGTGAAGTGAAGGTGATGGCGATGGCTTTCATTTCAGGCGCCTCAAAAGTGACCAGTGGACGGGCACTGAACTGAACAGTGGTGGTGCGTAAGATTGTCACCTGAACGACGATTTGAATGACGTAGCAGAGGTCCACAAAGGAGCGCAGCACAGTGAAAGTGATGGCTGCCGTCCAGTCCAGAGTGAGGCACAGCATGGCCTGGCGGGGGGAGGACAGGGTGGGGAGGGATGGCTTGATGATGGCCTGATGATGCTTGGAGGTTGCTTTACTGAACCACAAAAAGCAGTGAAGGTGATGGCTGCCGTCCAGTCCAGAGTGAGGCACAGCATGGCCTGGCGGGGGGAGGACAGGGTGGGGAAGGATGGCTTGATGATGGCCTGATGATGCTTGGAGGTTGCTTTACTGAACCACAAAAAGCAGTGAAGGTGATGGCTGCCGTCCAGTCCAGAGTGAGGCACAGCATGGCCTGGCGGGGGGAGGACAGGGTGGGGAAGGATGGCTTGATGATGGCCTGATGATGCTTGGAGGCTGCTTTACTGAACCACAAAAAGCAGTGAAGGTGATGGCTGCCGTCCAGTCCAGAGTGAGGCACAGCATGGCCTGGCGGGGGGAGGACAGGGTGGGGAAGGATGGCTTGATGATGGCCTGATGATGCTTGGAGGTTGCTTTACTGAACCACAAAAAGCAGTGAAGGTGATGGCTGCCGCCCAGTCCAGAGTGAGGCACAGCATGGCCTGGCGGTGGCAGGTGGGCACAGGGTGGAGAAGGATGGTTTGAGTTGACTCAACGTAAGCAGTGAAGGAGGGGATATGCTGCCGTCCAGTCCATGGTCAGGCACAGGGTGGGGATTTGGTAAGGAATGCTCTAGTTGGGCAAAAGGATGTGGTGGATTACTTTCATTGAAGACAAGACAATAGAGTCTACTTTTGAGGCGCCTCAAAAGTGGATTTGGTAGGGAAAGGAATGCTCTAGTGGGGCAAAAGGATGTGGTGGATAACTTTCATTGATGAAGAGACAATAGAGACGGCATGCCACATGCATAGCGGCATGAGGCCCATGCCTGCAATCCTATCCCTCTCTCCCTCGTACCCTCCCTCCCTCCCTCTCTCCCTCCCTCCCTCCCTCCCTCGCTCCCTCGCTCCCTCGCTCCCTCTCACCGGCTGGGGCGCCACTTGATTCAGCGCCTGCAGGGTGAAGAGGAACCAGGGATCAATCGTAAATCCAAGAATGGATGCCACCATGAACACCTTGTTCCACCGCGCCATGAACTTGGAGTGTGGGTTCAGGATGCCCCATGGCTGCCACAGCATGCTGACGGGCTGAAAAAAGTCCTGCACGTCCTCCCACGCCTTGGTCCACCGTGACTTGCGCTTCTTGCGCTTTGGCGGCTGGGTGGGGTGAGATGGGGAGGGTGAGGGCGAGGGAGAGGGTGAGGAGGAGAGGGGGTGAGGGCTGCCACAGCATGCTGATGGGGTGAACAAATCTTGCACGTCCTGCCACGCCTTTGTCGACCGCGACTTTCTTTTCTTGCGCTTCGGCTGGGTGGGGTGCGATGGGGAGTGGATGCGTATGCATTGCTATGGAGTTGGCTGCAGTGAGATGGAAGTGAGACGAAGTTGGGATGCAACTTGGAGGTGTACGTGAAGCAGGTGATTCTGCAGAAGCGCACAATCATCCTGTGCCCCTCATAATAAAGACAGCAGGGGAGGGGAGGGGAGGGGAGGGGAGGGGAGGGGATACGAGCCTCACTCACCTGACACTGAGGGAGCAACTGAGTCTCACCTTTGACGTGTACGTGAAGCAGGCGATTCCACAGAAGCGCACAATCGTCCGCTGCCCCTGCTCCGCGTCATAATCATACCCATAATCATCATCATCATCGTCATCATCATCATCAAAATCATAATCACTATCATCATCATCATCCCCTCCTCCTCCCCTTCCGCCTCCCCTCCCCCCTCGCCTCGTAGGCCTCGCCATAGGCTCCGGAAACTCGTCTATAACCTGAGCCATGAGCTTCTTATTCCGCAGAGCATGCATTTCAGGCGGGCACGCGTTACACGTCGGATCCATGCACATCATCATCGATTTCTGCACTTTCTTAGTCGCAGTAGTGGTGGTGTTGCCTCCAGCGGTGGGGGTCATGGGCCCGCCTTGCCCCACGGACCCTGGCAGCTGCAATCCCGTGGGTTTTGAGAAGCCTGACGCGAATTGGACGGACATGCGCCGCTGCCGCGCGGCTGCTGCAGCGGCGCTGCCTGGAGTGAGCATCTGGCGCATCCCCCCCGCGCCAGGGATGCCTCCCCCGATGGAGTCGTGGCGCTGCCGGCGGAACCCCCCGGGGGAAGCGAATCTGTCCGCGGAGGCGTCTTGCGGGATACTATCGGAGCCTGTTATAGGGAGGACGACGCACAGCAGGCTCAAGAAATTATGAATGCACCATGCTTCTGCAAGGGAGTTAGTGGGTGAATGGGAACAAGCGGGACAACACAGAGGGAAGAGAAAGAAAGGAACTGGCTTGGCAAAACGAACATACCTGAAACGCTTGGTTGATTGGGCCGAGTGAAAATTGCAGAAGCAGTCGTCCGTGCACGGCGGGCGTTAGGTTTGGGCGCGAGCAAGTCAGGAGCTTCGGACGACAGCGCGCGGGAATGACGAGGCTTAGGAGGAGCTGGAGCTCCGCCTGTGGTCGAGACCGATGCCGGAGCGTCTGGAGTATCGAACTTCACCTTCCTCTCCCCCCCTCCCCCTCCGCTGCTGCTGCTAGCGCCGCTAATTCCGCCGCTAATTACGCCGCTGAGCCCGCCGCTGAACCCGATACCTGCTATGTCGCCAGCACCCCCTAATAAACTCCCGCTTCTCTCCCCTCCTCCCCCTACGCTTCCCCCCCGGCCGGCTTTCCAGGCGGAGCTTTCGGAGCGGGGAATTTCGCCAGAGCCTCCTAAGAGGCCCACGCCGCTTCCCATGGATCCCGATTCTGATTCCGAGTCTGAGTCATCGCCGTCGTCATTCCACGATAGGCCGCCTATCCGAGCCGGGAACTTAGGCTGGGGAAAATCCATCTTGCACCGAGCCTGACGACGTCAAGAACTGCAAACCTAGTGCTAGAGTAGCAGCCTAATGTACGGCTAACAGCATTGTACAGGCTAACAGGGGTTATTACTTTGACTCACGTAAATACGGCGACACCACCACTGGCTGCCTAGACGGAAGAATCCTATGGTTACTCAGGGGATTTGAAATATCGTATAAATACAACAAATTATACTCTTCCTGAAGTCCAAATGCCATACTGGCTTGTACATAGGGTCGCGCATGGTACTAAGACAGTTGAATTCCGCAAATTGCGGTTTCACAAGAAGCGGCTTTTGTCGATGAAACGGCTGCAGTTCGCTGGTTGCGGGGCTTGTTCCTAATCACGAAAATTCATAACTTTTCTGAACCCAGCGAGCAAGTCACGCATGATCACTGCATTGATTTCAAGCCACGAATGAAGGTCATTATACGGCCCTGAAGAGATCTCGCGTTGAGAATCCCATCATAAACGACCGTCCTGGAAAGCCGCAGCTCTCATTTGCCCAGGTCGCGGCTTCAAAAGTCGCTGATCGACAAGGATACGCTAGGTGAAGTGAAGCTGGGCGGAACTACCGATGTGATTGTGATATGTTGTGAATGAAGACTGCTAGTCACCAGGGTGCCTGCACTGACAGCCAGAATACCCCATAGTCCAGTTGAAAAGCGGTGAACGAGTTTATGTGATGTGAGGTAAAGATGGTGGAGAGCGGCGCTGCGTGGTGGCGAGTGGCAGGGGGTGGTGTTGATGAGATACGATGCTGGTGGTGAGGTGAAAGGTGATCCCAAGGGCCGAGCTGTATGGTCATGATGAAATCGGGAGGTTGGGACGACGAGACGACCACCAGGATCTCAAGGTCGAGGCGAAGTGGTAGGTGCGGTGACGCGCGACGGCTTTGGTGATGGCAATAAAGATAAAACCAATGCAGCAGGCATTCTTGATAACATCGAGAGAACAGCGTCGAAAGAACACTGTTCTGCTTACTTTTAAGGCTACAACTTGAAGCATATTTGCCTAGGCAGCATATTTATACCTTAATATTATACTACTGAGCTTCACTCCCAAATCAATAACGGCTTGAGGTATCTGTTCATATGCTTCACTTCAGAAATGATTCTGTCTGTGAGGTTCGGATGGATCACAGAATGGTCAGGAGACCATAACTCGGTTGAGCGTGCCATGTCACGGCTTCTGGTCACCTCATCAGTGGCTTTAAAGCGAAGCTCTGGTTCTTGATACACCAACGCAACCTAGAAATAAAACAGAACAAACAAAAAACACGGACAAGCAACAGGTATCAGAAAACATACACTGGACTCTTAATTGGAAGAGCATGGCCGCAAGCATGAGAATATGGCATCAAGGAGAAACGGCAGAAACAAGAATGTGGGCCATGAAGAATTCACATACCTGATGGCCTGAGAGCCACACATGCTGGCAGAGGTCCCAATCCGATAGCGCATCTATACCTCCATCAACCGCACTGAACCCCCCCACCTTGACAAACACGTCCCGCCTCGCCGCCATTGGCCCTGTCACCGTCCCAAGAACAAAGCTCATCCTCACCCCTGTCACCGGATCTCTCAACCTGTTCCAAAACTGATCCCCCGCGCTCCGCACCTCCCCCAGCTGCAGGCTTCCTGGAACGTTCCTCAGCCCCATCTTCCCCATCGAATGCCCTGCAATCCCCAGCCGGGGCCACGCCGAAAAAGGCACGACGAGATTCGCTGCCCAATCGCAGGAATCGGGTGGCAGATCGCCGCCCGCTAGGAGAATGAGGATGGAGCCTCGGGCAAGGAGGGAGAGGAGGTTGTAGGCTCGGGCGGCACCCATGCGGGATGGCGCGAGGATGTGTGTGAGGAACGAACCTGGGGAGGTTCGGCGGGTCGCTTGGATCCAATCCGCAGGGTTGTAGTACTTTTCGAATCCCGGCACTGTGCCTGGTATGCCTTTGCTGCTGCTGCTGCTGTTGCTGCTGCTGCTGCTGCTGCTGCTATTATCCCCACTGCCGCTCCCACCCGCACCCGCTGTTTTCCCACGGTGGACCATGGCAGAGGCGTGGTGCAGGGGAATGGATGGGCCATCCAGAAGCACTATGGCTTCAGAGGTGAGTCCTCCCAGCCGCCCACCTATGCTGCCAGCCCTCAGCCGCCCGTGTGTGCACTCGTACAGCTTCGAGACGAGATCTAGGGCGGCTGTGGTGGGCGGCGAAGTGTAGATGAGGAAGGAAATGTTCACTGCAGCTGCTGACGTGGCGGGTGATGACGTGGCAGATTCGGTGGATGAGCTGGCGCTGGATGAACCTGGAGATTTGGCTGATTGGGAGTGGGTATGAGCATCACCTGTAGCAGCATCTGTAGCAGCAGTAGAGGATTGCCCAGTTATAGATTCCCCAGATGTAGCCTCCAGTAGAGATGCCGACGAGAGTAAGGAGGAGAAGGGGGAGGAAAGGGAGGAAGAGAACGGAGAGGAGGCAGGAGATTTGAAGGCGTAGGAGTGAGGAAACGTGGGGAAGGCGGAGGGATGGGTGGGAAAGGAGAGGTCCCATAGGGGTTGTCGCCACAGAGCAGAGGGGGCTAAGGGCTCTGATAGGGGGCCTGAATCTCTCGTATGTTCTGAATCTTTAGCCCCACCATCTCCCCCTGCCACTGCTGCTGCTTCTACTTTTGAAGCCTCTCCCTTCCTTTCGTTGCTTTTCTCCATCCCCGCTCCTCCTTCTGTCTCTCTGCTGTCCATGCTTGTTCCGTTCTTTCCTCCACGCGCTTCTTCTGATATCCGATTGGCCAGCGTGCACGGAGACACGTCAGCACCCTCGGGGCTCACCCATGAGGCGCTGACGTGGCACAGCTCAGGAAGCTTCCCCTTGGCTTCCTTCACTGCAGCAGCAGCGTGGTCGGTGCGCAGTTTACGCGCCAGAACTGTGCCGTTCTGGGCGTTAACTAAGCTTTGCATGGATGAGATGCGCGAGGGGTGGTGGTCGGTAGAGAGGAATATGGAGGGGAAGTGGGATGCAGAAAAGAGGAGATCCGACCACAGTGATGCTTCTGCTGGACACATGGGAGGGGGTGTGGGGGAGGGGGATGGGGGGGAGAAAGCAGACGGGTTCAGTGGGTGTATGATGCGAGGGGTGGTGGTCGGTAGAGAGGAACATGTAGGGGAAGTGGGACGCGGAGAAGAGCAGATCCGCCCACAGTGATGCTTCTGCTGGACACATGGGAGGGGGTGTGGGGGAGGGGGATGGGGGAGAGAAAGCAGACGGGTTCAGTGGGTGTATGATGCGAGGGGTGGTGGTCAGTAGAGAGAAACATGGAGGGGAAGTGGGACACGGAGAAGAGCAGATCCGCCCACAGTGATGCTTCTGCTGGACATACGAGGGGAAGGGGAGAGGAGGGGGTGGAGGGGGTGGAGGGAGGGGGTGGGTGGGTGGTGGAGCAGGTTGGGCTGCTCTCTCAGGCGCTACACTTTCTCTCCGCTGCACGGCTGCTTGAGCACTGATAGAGCCATGTGCTAGAGTGAAAAAGGTGCAAGCAGACTCACCAGGCGCATCAAGGGAGGAGAGCAAGGCGTTTCTAGCAGCAGGCGAGGAGAGCAGGTTGGGCTGCTCCCTAAGTCGCTGCACTCTCTCCCCACTGCCCCGCTGCTTGAGCACTGATAGAGCCATGAGGCGGAGTGAGAATACAGCAAGCAGACTCACCGGGCGCATCAAGGGAGGAGAGGAAGGCATTTCTAGCAGCAGGCGAGAAGAGCAGGTTGGGTTGCTCCCTCAATTGCTGAAGTTTCTCTGCGCTGCCTGGCTGCTTGAGCACTGATAGAGCCATGAGGCGGAGGGCGAGTGTGGCGTGCGCTGCCATGTATGCTTGCATGGCTGATGGGGGGGAGGGGAGAGGAGGAGAGAAAAGAAGGGACAAGACACCGCCATTTTATCAAAATTGAAGAAAAACGATAGCAACAATAATAATAAAAATACTAACGATAATAATAATTTAAAAACAAAACCAAAAAAAACAAACAAACATGCAAGAATGTGCGGCAGGAGAATGTGGCATGAAGCTATTCCCACCGCTATTTACACTCGCCTTGTGTGTGCGCCTGTTGAGCCTCTTGGGTGTGCTGCAGAGAAGCAGCGCAGCGCGAGAAGCTGAGCCGCAGGTCAGCATGCACGGCCCGCTCTATCTCCTCGCGCAGAGACAGCACCCGCACCTGGGCGGTCAGGAAGAGGGGGGCAGCGAGGGGGAGCGGGGGGAGGGGGGATACTTGAGACGTCTCAAAAGTGTCTCAACAAGTCAGCGTGCACGGCCCGCTCTATCTCCTCGCGCAGAGACAGCAATCACACCTGTCCGGTGTGGAACAAGGGGCGGAGAGGGTGGGGTTTTCAACCATCCCACAATTTACTCCTGCAGAAAAATAAGCAAGCCCACACCACACTCATCGTCTCATGCTCTCATAGTCTCACACCCACCTGTGCTCGCGCCACCAGCTCCTCCTCCTTGGTCTGGCCTCTGCTGTGTTGAGTTTACTTTTGAGAATTCTCAAAAGTAAACTCAACATCGCGCCACCAGCTCCTCCTCGTCCTTGGTCTGGTCTCCGCTGTGCTGCCAGCGCAGCCAATTCCCTCAGCTCAACTCTGCCTGCCCCCGGCGATGGCTGGCGCCCCTGTCGACGTCCACACAGAGAAGCACCACACCACCCACCCCCGCATACTCCCACAGATGAATACGTCACACTTATGGTATCATTGTGTCACGCACACAGCCTCACATGCACCCACCTGTACTCGCGCCACCAGCTCCTCCTCCTTCGCATCCACATCCAGTCGCCTCCTCGCTGTCAGTGCAGCAATCTCCCTCAGCTCTGCCGGCAGCGATGGCAGGTGCCTGTCCTCGGCATATGCAAGCACCCACACGCACACAGCCTCGCATCCACCCACCTGCGCTCTCACTACCAGCTCCTCCTCCTTGGCATCCACATCCGGCCGCCGCCTCGCAGTCAGTGCAGCTATCTCCTTCAGCTCTGGCGGGGGTGATGGCAGGTGCCTGTCGTCCACATGGTAGGTCAAAGCACGCTGGTCCTGTACCAACTTGATCTCCTGGTTACCAGGAAGTGACCATGTGAAGGGAAAGAGGAGGTGGAACACAAACAGATCAGGGTGGCGATGGCAGGTGCCTGTCGTCCACATAGTAGGTCAGGGCACGCTGGTCCTGCACCAGCTTGATCTCCTGGTGGAACGGGGAAGGAGAGCAGAGAGTGAAGAGGAAGCAGGTCAGAGGTGGGCAGGCACGCAGGAAGGAAGGCCCGTGTCATCCACATAGTAGGTCAGGGCGCGTTGGTCCTGCACCAGCTTGATCTCCTGGTCACATGGGGAATTGGAAGAGAGCAGGAGAGGGTGAAGAAAGGGAAACAGACCAGGGCTGCGATTGCCTGTGCCTGTCATCCACATGGTAAGTCAGGGCGCGCTGGTCCTGCACCAACTTGATTTCCTGGTTACCACATGGTGCCGATGTTTGAGAATAACCATGTGAAAGGGAACAGAAGGTGGAGGGAAAACAAATCGAGATGGCAATGGTGATGGTGATGGCCATGGATGCAAACCATTCGGGGGAAGGGCAAAGTGGGAGGAGGACAAGGGGAACAGAAGTTCATGATCGGAATTCTCCTACATGTTGAAAACGAAGGTTGTTCCTCTCACATCCATGCTCAGCTCAAGAATGCTCAACATGACCATTTTTTCCAGTAGAAAGTTCTACCTTGAGAATGCTTTTCAGCTGAGCCATGCGTGTCCTTGCTTCCAGCATCACCGTCTGCCGCAGCTTCCCCAGCGCACGGCGCAGCTCCGTGTTCCGCGCCAGCAGCTCCTCTGCCTCCGCCTGAACGCCTGCCACGTCACCTCTCCACGTGGCGTTGCTGGCAGCGTCCACGTCAGCAGCCACGTCAGCCGCCACAGCAGCAGCAGCAACGTTGGCAGCGTCAGCAGATGCTGACATGGGCATGGAAGCACCAGCAGGAGCAGCGGCGGTAGCAGCGGTTGCAGCAGTGGTGGGTATGAAAGCAATCGGAGAGGAGAAACTGGTGGTTGCTACGGCACGGGAAGGCGGAGGAGGAGGTAAGACCTGAAGAGCAAAGAGGTTAGGAGAGAGTAATCCGATCAGATGATGGAAAGGAAAGGCAAACACTCATTCGTTGCAATTAATAATAACCAGTTCATTAGGCCAACTGGTCCAGTATTTCGAAAATGGTAATTGAAGAACAGTTGGCATAATGTTCCTGGAATTCAGAACATGTGGAAAGGATGCTTTGGAACAGTAAAGAGTGGGAATGAAGGAAAGAGGGGAATGCAGTAAGAGGAAAGCAGTACTCACAGCAGGAACGATGATTGCAGTTAAAATCCCTCCCAGGAGCAAGCCAATGAGAAACGACGCGACCCACCCAACAGTTGTTCTCCTGTGATTGGGGGGACGGTGGAGATCGAATGAGAGCGACAGCTGTACGAGAAGGCAGGACGACGAGGAGCTGAGATGGAATTCGGTACAGTACTATGGGGTTCGTAACACACGAACCCACTGAGTTGATGAAAGTACGGCTTCCACAGCCCACCTGTCCACCTCTCACAAGTGTTGTACGAACAGGCAGGACGATGGCGGTAAGGGCAGAGGGAATTTCCGGTGGAGCGGTGAAATGCGTAGAGATCGGAAAGAACGCCAACGTTGAGATGGAATGTGGTACGGTAACATGACGAGGCTCCTAATTTCCTGATTGGTTCTTAACGACGATCAACGGTCGCCGGAAGATCCTCGTCGTACCTTGACGGCGCGTCATCAGAGCCGTTGGACATCACTGAAAGAGCTGCCTTAATGAGGTGACTTTTGGGTTGAGTCAAAAGTCACGTCTGCTGGAAGATCCTCGTCGTACCTTGACGGCGCGTCATCAGAGCTGCTGGACCTCACTGGAAGTGCTGCCTTGGTTGCAACGGCAGTCGCTACATTTGCACCACTCGTTCGCGAAGCACCGCTTGTTGGAGCAGTACGAGTCGCACTGCCCCTCCCGTGACCGAAGCCACCGGACCGCATCGTCAAGTCCACTAATTATTGCGACTTTTTCGTCGGGAAATCAATGTATTTTGACAGGATTAGTAATTTTCTTCCTGCTAAAGAGGAATGCGAGGAACCGATTTACTAGGTCTTTCAGGGCTTCTTATGAGGCTGCAAAATCCACCCGCAGCCGGCGGCGAAACCAGCGGCCGCGAATTGCGAGCATGAAACTGAAACTGGTATTTATGGGGATTGCCGAGCAGATATGCGAAATTACAGAAGGCGAGAACGCATTCATAGAAACACTACAAACATAACAACTAGCTGCCTGAACTTTATACATTAATTACTGAACAATTCATTCGGGAAGTTTGTTCAGTACTGTACTATAGACAAGATGACGGACTGCATTAAGCTACCCTACAAATCCGCAGCATGTACTTCGAATCAAAAATTACTTATGTCAGCCCTTTCAACTCTGCAACGCCACGACAATGTATATGCCCTTGCAATGCACTGCAACTCTCAAACTTCTACCCAGTCCCTTCTCTACAGTACCCATCAGCTCAGTCCTCTGATAGACCTGTATGTTATGAGGTTATGTGCAGTCTATGTTGAGCTTTGTTCCTCTTTCCAGTGTATTACTTTTCTCTTTTGAGTTTAAATTATATTCCCTTCCCTTGCTATGAACATTACATTGCAGGTCTATCATAGAGTTGATGGGTAATAATGGTGACTGCCTGCCGCTTGCTAAAAAATGTACAAGATCTATCAATATTGATATATGATGTGTATGCATCTTCACATCCTATCAACAATATCCACTGCCAGATAAAATATACAATAAGAAGTGATACACCACCACACCACGCATCAGTATCGTTTTGCGCTTGGCACACAAGCGTTCACATCCCAGGCCTGGCCTCCTAGCGAATGCAAGGGGATATAATAGGACCTCCTGCACTGTCCTGAAGAGACTTCAATTTTGCTGCTGCTCTTTTCATGCTGCAGCCTTACCCTCTTGTGAGACCCCACATCCTGGTTCAGAAGCTCTAGGTACTTGTGCAGATTCTGGCTTCCCTATTGCAGCCATTTCGTTAGGCGAGTTTGTCAGAAAATCAAAGACTTCTTTGTTCCACTGCTGGTTACCACTCGCAGGACACGGCGCCTTGAATTCCGTCGCAAGCCACGCGTCCACGATCTCGTGCCCTTTATCTGGAGAAGTCTGAAATTGACCCATGCAGAGTACGTTACAGTTATTGATCGACCTCGCGTTCTTCGCTACGTCAGCGCTGTCGCACAGCACGGCGTAAACTGTCGGAATTTTATTCGCGAAGATTGTAACGCCGGTGCCGGTTCCGCACACAAGCAGCCCACGCGTGTCGCACGTAGGGGAATCTGTCGCGGAGCGGTCGGCTGCGACGCTTTTGGCGACGCGTTCGGCCGCCGTGTAGTACTTGTCTTCGCCGTAGTCTTCAACCTCTATGCCTTTCGAGCGAAGGTAAGTGATCATGGCGATTCTAAGAGTCGCACCGTATGAATCAGATGCCGCGTAGACACGAATCGCCGGCTTGGCGGACTCCATTTTTTTCGCAGTGAGGCGGTGCCAACTAGGTTCAATCAGAGGAGTAAAGGGAAACTTTGGGAATCGGGAAGTTTGAATTGTGGGAAAAGGAGGAAAATGAAATGGCTGCTGCTGCTGCTGCAAGAAGTGGATGTGGAAGGTGGATGGAATGCAGCTGAGCTCAAATATGACGCATTCCGTTCCATGAATGAACTCAAGTCGACTTCAAAGTTTCGCTCAGGAAGCACATTTTGCCCCTCTAGTTCGTAATCAGTTGGCATTTAGCCAAAGAAGACCACCGCAAACTGTTCACTCAGCCGTCAGAAGCTGCGGAACATGACACGTGGATAGGATTGTGAAGCTATTGGTCAACGACCAGGTCACGCAGCCAGCGCGACAAAAGTGCGCGTTTCCAGCCCCCCTGTCCCTAGAATTGTGCGGAGCGGGCATGTGGGAAGTGCCAGGATTGGTCAGCTGGTGTTGAGCCTGAGTTGGCCACGCATTCGCACTATAAGCCAACTCTTAACTGGTCTAAGAGCAAGAGCCATATGATCAAGCGCAACAAGCCTGTTACAACGATCTGAGTAAACCCAACGCCCTTATGAAGTCAGTCGGAGGTGCAACTTCAAACGTTAAAACTTCTAGTTTATGCGGGTGCACAAACCTGCTCACACAGAATAAAGAAAATTTAGGAATAAATATTGTATAACCTATAGATATAGTAAACATCCCCACCAATGACCCGTACATTGGTTCCTGCACTCACCCAAGTGTGGCTGCATGAAGCAGGGGGCGATCCAGCCCAACAATCCATTGAACCACAGACGAGCGGAGAGGTGAAGAGGAGGGCAACGATGCCAGGAGGCGAGATGAAACGTGGCGCATCGATCCACCGTACGTTTCATCGCCGATCAACGGATGGCCCAGGAGCCGCGCATGTACTCTGATCTGGCAACAGAGTAGGTCAACGAAAGCAGAGAAAGAGAGAACGATCATGGTAACACCACGCGATTGAGCGTAGCGAATGTCAAAAAATATACATACACCCGTAGGAATTACAGTTTGAAACTTTACACCCTGCATACGAGCCGTATGGCCGCACTCATGCAACTCAGACTCCTAAGGAAGCTACAACTTGGTAAATAGTATCCTCGTAACATAATTTCCCCTTTCCACTGATACACAGCTCACCTGACTGCTTCTGCTCATTCCTGACTGGACCACCGTCGCTCCCACGTGGCGCAACCCACCTGACACCTCCCACTCACCTGATACCTCCCACTCACCTGACACCTCCCACCCACCTGACACCTCCCACCCACCTAACACCCCCAACACACTCACCTAGCGCCCCCAAATTACCCAGCAAGCGCCTCACACCACCTTGTGCTTCCCACCCACCCACCTGTCCCCTCCCATGCACACACCTGGTGCGTCCTCCCGGTCTCCAGCCTCCACTCTACCAGAGAAGCTGCTCCCCCTGCCAGCGACTCCAACACACGGTACCTGGTCATCAGTCACACGCATGACAGGCAAGACAGGCATGGCAGGAATGGCAGGCATGACAAGAACGGCAGGCATGGCAGCAAATGTTCAGTTCAGTCCAGGACTTCGGAGCTTGAACTGACAAACAGAACTTCGGAGCTTGAACTGACAAACAGAACTTCGGAGCTTGAACTGACAAACAGAACTTCGGAGCTTGAACTGACATACCTTTTGAGCCTGTGAGAGGCAGCACTGCCATTATTGAGACCATTGGATCCATCTCAGAGCCGTTTCATTCCCACCTGCTCGCAGCTAGAGTGGGAAGGAATAAGACATCTCACCTGCTGGCGGCTCGTCTGCTGCGGCTCGAGCCTATGAGAGGCAGCACTGCCATGCGCTTGCGGTCCTTGGGGTCTCGACCAATAGGGGCATCCACGCGGTCGGCGAGAGGAGACGGTGTGCCTGCATGCATGCATGGGTGGGAGGGGACATGTTAGTCCCTCCAGACAGATGATTTTGTCCTTTGGGTGACAAACAACAAGGCGATCCTTCATACATGCGTTTACGAGGAAGAACACACAGGTCCCTTTTCTGCACTGTGCGCTTTGAAGCACACCCGGATGCATTTTCGGTTGACTCAAATACACTCGAGTAACCTTTGTGGTACACTGAGTTCTTACCAATGACAAGGGAGAGGTAGCTCCTGTGCACTGCGCACGCTCTGAAGTGATCACGCAGATGTCTTCTCCTCGGCTTAACATCCACAGGAGAAATTTGCGTGGTACACTGCGTTCTTAGTTCTTACCAATGACAAGGGAGAGGTAACTCCTGTGCACAGTGCGAGCCTTGAACTGCGCACTCAGGTGAGCCTGGCTGAAGGGGTCCTGGCGATGGGGAGTCAGGGGAGGGAGGCGAGGAGGTGAATAGAGGCAGGAAATGATGAGAGGTTGAGGGTGACGAACGGTTGTTTGTTTGTGAGGAGAGGTTGAGGGTGACGAACGGTTGTTTGTTTGTGAGGAGAGGTTGAGGGTGACGAACGGTTGTTTGTTTGTGAGGAGAGGTTGAGGGTGACGAACGGTTGTTTGTTCGTGTGGAGAGGTGGCTTCTGTGCACAGTGCGAGCCTTGAACTGCGCACTCAGGTAAGCCTGGCTGAACGGGTCCTAGCGCATGGGAAGTGAAGGGTGGTGAGATGAGGGGGCGAGGAGGTGACGGGTGAGAGGTGAGGGAGAATGAGAGTAAGATTGATGCAAGGGTGCTGCACCCAGCCTCCCTCCCCTCGCCTCACCTTGGCCACAACAAGCAGCCCCCTCTTTCCCTTGACCAGCCGATGCACTCTCCCAGCCTACAGCTCAGCATAAGTCTCCCCCCCCCTCCCTCCCCTCGCCCCACCCCCTGTCATCACACAGCCCAGCCCAAGCCAGCCCCCCATTTTCCTCGCCTCACCTTGGCCACGACAAGCAGCCCGCTCGTTCCCTTGTCCAACCGATGGACTATCCCAGCCCACAGCCCAGCCCCAGCCCCCCTGTCATCTCACAGCCCAGCCCAGCCAAATCCAGCCCTTCTCTTTCCCTCCGACCCGCACCTCCCTCCGCCTCACCTTGGCCACGACAAGCAACCCGCTAGTTCCCTTGTCCAACCGATGGACTATCCCTAGCCGCACATCTGGTGCCCCTGTTACGCTTGTACTGACTCTCTCCTCTGCTCCCTGCCTCTCCTTCCCCTCCTTCCCCTCCTCTCCCTCCTCCCCTTCTTCAATTTCCTCTTCGTCCTCACCCCCCTCCTCATTCTCTTCCTCATCCCAACCAGCGGCCAGAGAAGTCTGAGAGTCCCCTACCCTCTCCCCCACTCCTTTCATGGAGGGCAAATCGGACCCAGGGAATGAGGAGGAGGAGGAGGAGGAGGAGGAGGAGGAGGAGGAGGAGGAGGAGGAGGAGGAGGAGGAGGAGGAGGAGGAGGAGGAGGAGGAGGAAGAGGAGGAGGAGGAGGAGGAGGAGGAGGAGGAGGAGGAGGAGGAGGAGGAGGAGGAGGAGGAGGAGGAGGAGGAGGAGGAGGAGGAGGAGGAGGAGGAGGAGGAGGAGGAGGAGGAGGAGGAGGAGGAGAGCTGGTAATGGTGCAGTAATGCGTTCACGAGGGTGCGTTGCCAGTTGCCTGCAGCGGGATGAACCACCTGCTCTGGAGGGGAGGGGCGCATGAGAAGGGACAATGCGGGGCAATCAGTCAGGTAGCAGACAACGAGGAGGGGCCACCATGCAATGCTACGAAGAGGGAAAGGTAATAACAAATGAAAGGCATAAGAAGAATATATAAAAAGGGTACAGAGAAACCTACCATGTGGGGTGGCTTGTTGATTACTGCCACGTGCCTACCCTCATACACGATGTGCAGGGCAATGGGGGATGGCACACCTTGACGTGCATGGGGAGGGAGTAGAGAGGCGCGCATAAGACAAGGCCTACCATGTGGGGTGGCTTGTTGATCACGACCACGTGCCCATCCTCATGCACCACGTGCAGGGCAATGGGGATTACCACCACATGCATGGGGAGTAGAGAAGCGCCCATAAGACAAGACCTACCATGTGGGGCCTTGTTGATCACGACCACGTGCCTATCCTCATACACCACGTGCAGGGCAATGGGGGATGGCACAGCTGCACACGTACCATGTGAGGCGCCTTGTTGATCACGACCACGTGGTCATCCTCGTACACCACGTGCAGGGCAATGGGGGATGGCACAGCTGCACACGTACCATGTGAGGCGCCTTGTTGATCACGACCACGTGGTCATCCTCGTACACCACGTGCAGGGCAATGGGGGATGGCTCCAATGCGTGCTGTGACTGGGGAGTAGCGAATGGAAGGAAGAGAGACGCACGTACCATGTGCGGTTGCTTGTTGATCACTACCACGTGCTCATCCTCATGCACCACGTGCAGGGCAATGGCTGCTGGCTCCAATGCGTGCTGTGATTGCGGCGGGGCCAGACTGCCCTGCACCCGCTCGCCCTCCCTCACTGCGTACGATGGCTGGAGGAGGGGAGGAACGGGGAGCGGTAAGAGGAGGTGGGGGGTTTGGGAAGGAGGGAGGGAAAAGGGGAGCGACTGCGGATTACTAGCTTATTACGTAATTCCTGTTTGGTGCAAAGGTGGCTATGTTGCTTCATGTCTGGCTGCCTGCTTGCCTGTGTGCCTGTCTGCCTGTTTGGCAAAACCTGACAGCTTCAGGCTGGGCCAACTCGTCTTACCTTCTTCTGAACAGCTCCATTCACCAGCACTTTTCCTTGGCGAATGGCGTCCTGCCACCTGGCACGGCTGACGCGCTCCCCCTGTGCTGCCAGAAACGCATCTAGCCGGGATTTGGCCTGGCTCCGAGTCACCACGCCTTCTACAGCCTCCTCCGCTATTGTCACATTCTGAGGATTGGCTTGGTTAAGGTTGACTACAGTGCCTACGGATTCTCCTGCTATTGTCACATTTCGAGGCAGCGTCACCGGGTCCAACCCTTCGCCCGTTTGTGTCACGTCGCTGGCAGATTCTGTTGTGTATTGCTTGCTACCCTGCGACTGCGCATTTCTCACGCCTAGGGACCGAGCAGAGACGCAGCTTCTGATGCTACGTGTCGTATTCTGACTGGCGAACTCGCTCGTGCTGACGTGTCTGCTTAGAGGCGTGCGCGGAACGGTGAAGACGTTTCCATTGTTCGTATCTGAACGCTTGCTAGCGCCCGGAGAAATAATTAGTTGAGAAAATGAGTGAATTATGCCAGTCATGCCTAGGGAATGCTTCGAGCTCGTAGCAACATAGAACGAACTCATGGAGATTGCGGCTCGAACCAAACGGCTACTGATGTTTGAGTCTGTGTACGAATTCGAGATTCCGAAGCCTCTAGGATGAACGGCCAGAAGCGCACTGGGTGAAGTGGAGCGCCAATCAGGGGGCAACGGATATGGACTGAGATGCGGAAACGCGGCCATTAATGTGGGCATGCAATCGACGAACGGCTTCCGTGGATGCCGGAAAAATGAACGAGAATAGCATGCAAGCATACGGTGGTCACAGCAAGTGTGACGATGAGACCTGAGTAAATTACTGGTTGCCTTTCAACCAGGCGTGATGAGAGAAGTGTTGCTGCAAGTGACCGATTTCCTGGACGGAGAATTATTGTTTGGTATTATTTTCCACTCATACGCCTTCTACACTGAGTCGAGTAGCTCTGTATCCTGCAAATCTAGAAATGCTGCCTGCGTGGAGACTCCACGCGGAGCAGCGATAACGTGCCACGTGAAAGTACTCAAAGCCACCTTTTTCCAAGCAAAGCGGCACTACTCAGAAGAAGGTTCGGTTCGGTTATGCATGTTTCGATTACGGTTTAGAAGCTTACATCTGTTCCGACTGAGCCCAGCAGAACCGAACCGAACGGTACCCTGGAGAATCGAGATTGTTCTTGACAACTTCAAGGCTTTTATTTTTCTTCCTTCTCTTGCTGCACATTTTTAATAAATCCCTGACTTCCCTCCAGTCAGACCACCGTGGTTCTGTCTAATAGGGCGTTCAGGTGCCACGCATTCCCCTCACTGGCGAAACTGCTTGCTGGTGACATACTCTTCGGCTTTGTTTTCGAGGTGGAGTTCGGCCGGATACCTCTTAGCTGGTCTACGAAGTCTGAGGTAGTCCGCCGTGGTTAGCGACCTTTGAGGCGCCTCAAAAGGTTAGCGACTTCTCTGATAGTACCAGTTGCAATGGAGGTCCTTGCAGTCCCGCAAGTCCACGCACACATTAGTACGCTACCATCTAGAACCTCTCTCCGACCATCAGCAGAAGCGAGAGACGTCGCCATTAGCAGCAGCAGCAGCCTTCGACGAACCCCGCTTCGATTCACGGCAACTAGAAATCCGCGGGTCTCTTATCAACCTGGCCGTCAATCCCGCCGATCCCACCTTTACCGTCCCGACCTCCGCCGTGTCGCTGTCCACGTCAGCGCTAGCCAATCCGACGGCGATCACACGGGCAGTGAGAGCCATGACTCTGCAGCTGGTGTCGCGGAGGTACCAGCGCGCCACGCTACCAAAGACGAGATGGTCAAATTCATCTCAGGCAATGCGGAGGTGAGTTTTGAGTCGACTCAGAATTCGAACCATGACTGCTGGTGTCGCGGAGGTACCAGCACGTTACGCTACTAAGGACGAGCTGGTCAAATTCATCTCAGGCAATGCGGAGGTACGGTGGTTGAATAAGGACTCGGAGATTAAAATAAATCGATAAAACGTCTCAACTGATAGCAACACTTTTGCAGGCGAAAGAGAAGCAATGTTGGGCCTCGAACTCTGTCCTATCAGGCGTTTCTTATTAACCTGGTATTCTGTGATCCCATCCACGCATGATTCGTCAACCGCATCGACCCTCTGGTCCGTTCTGGCAGGTGTCTGTGATGGTGGTGGCGGCTACTGATCTGGTCAAAGAGGCTCAGGCACGGCACGGCATGGCCCCCACGGTGAGACGGACATCACTTCTTTGCTTCCTGCAGCCGCAGTTGTGATTTTTAGATTCAGTCAAGACACCAGCCCAGTCACAGTCGTGCCTTTCATCCTTTCCGTGAGTTCGGCAGGTGGGAACACTTACCAGGGAAGCACTGGCAATATCTGCGTGCTACGTCAAGGAGAGAGAGCTATATCCGCCTGCTACTCATATTCTTTCCTTCATGTCCGCCCCTATCACAGGCTGTAGCAGCGCTGGGGCGGCTTCTAATGGGGACGCTGCTGCTGGGGGCCATGAAGGGGCCAGACGAATCCGTGCAAGTCACAGTGAACGGTCGGGGGCCCATTGGGCAGATCACGGCTGTTTCAGCGCTGCATGGGGAGGTGAAAGGGTTTGCCGTGAACCCCCTGGCCGACCCGCCTCTCAACTCCAAGGGCAAGGTAGGCAACTCGAAGACTGCAGTGATATGAACAAGTGCATTTGTCTTTTTGAGACTTCTGATTTCTCAGTCCCCGTTCCATGCTTTAATGCATTTCCCTGTTTCTTCACTTTCCCCTTTCCATGGCCAGATGGACGTGGGGGGAGCAGTGGGAAAGGGAGTGCTTAGCGTCATTCGAACCCATCCCTCCTGGCAGTCTCCTTACACGTGAGTCTTAATAGTGAATAAAGACCATGGTGTTGGTTCATCATTTTCACCTTGATATGATGAGCCTAGGGACGTGATGAGTACTGGTGTCACGGTATGAGGCTCAATATGAAGGTATGAACCTTGATATGAAGGTATAAGCCCTTCTGGACTTGGTACAGCTACTGGCCACACGCTTTTGCACACCATGGACAGTGTAAGGTAAAATTACCATTCATCCCTTTCCGTCTCTCCACATTCCTCGACAAGCAGCAGCACTCTGTTATTGGAAACTGCAAAAGGCTTAGTAGGTTGTTACAATCAGCACTGTGCCCTGTTGTCAGGGCGTACTATTTGGTGGAGAGTGAGCGATCCAACCCAGCGTCTTCCCCAGTCCCTCTTTCCATCCATCTTTTTCACGCAATTCCACACTCAGCACCACTGTGCCCTCTGGTGTCAGGGGAGATCGCAGAGGACTTGGCAGACTACCTGGTCGAGAGTGAGAGACCCAACCCAGCTTCTTCTCCCATCCATCTCTCCACACAATGCTACCAACAGCGGCACTGTGCCTCTGGTGTCAGGGGAGATCGCAGAGGACTTGGCAAACTACCTAGCGGAGAGTGAGCAGATCAATTCCGCCATGGGGCTGGGAGTGGCTGTGGGCAAAGATGGAATCGTCAGGGCGGCAGGCGGTTTCCTTGTTCAAGTGAGTGGATCAGTTCTCAACCAGTCCTTTTGTCTCTTGTGTTAGGTCGTCAGTGTGGCCGGCGGGTTCCTGGTTCAAGTGGCTGACTTGCGGCCACCTCAATTTCCTTATTCCAGAGACTTGTGTGAAGTCTCTTTGCGCATTTCCTTCTTGAGTACGCTTCATGATCGGCCCAAAATATCATGCGAACTTCCTTCTTATGCCCCCGCCCTCCATCAACTTATCCTTTGTTTCTGATCATACATCCTCCCTCCAGGTCCTTCCTTTCTGCTCAGACGATACACTAGACAAGCTAGAGGCCAACATCCAATCACTGGGCGCCATGTCAGATGCAGTGCAGCGCATGGATGCAGGGGCCATTGCTCACCATCTCTTGCAGGGGCTGGATCCCGAACCTGTCATAGATCCGGTATGTCCGGACGTCGTGCTTGGTCTGGTGTGGTTCGAATATTTAGTCTGCCTGCAATGTTGGGATATCGCTGGTATACTGGATGCAGCGCAACATGTGGCTGTCAGCTTGCTGTTATTGCGAGCAATTGTTGAAAACCACACTCTATTAAACGTCCCCTCTCTTCCCATTCCATCCCTTCATATCGTACAGATTGTGCCTACGTTTGGCCCATGTGGTTTGGAAGACCTGAAGCCTCGCATGCTTAGAGCTGTGGAGTCACTAGGAGCCGAGGACGTGAAGAAACTCATTGAGGAAAGAGGTGAGTGGATGGAATAATTTGGTGTGTCATGCTGAGTTGAAATCTCAAGCTTCTCAAGTGTGGGATTGCTTTGGCCAATCCATTGAATGTTAAGTGCTTTTCTTTGTGGTGGTGCAGGGTCGGTGGAGGTTCGGTGCGAGTTCTGTGCAGAGAAGGTGGATTTTACCGAGGAAGATTTGCACGATCTTCTAGTGAAAGCAGGAAAGGAATGAATTTAAGGAAAATCTTAGGACTTGGTTCATGTACTTCTGGTTATATTTTTACTGCCTGTAAGAGTTGTGGTCCTATCATTAGTGAATCACTTGAGCTTCGGACATTCTTGCTAGCATATGGGTGGCGTTTCCCCCAAGGTCTAGGTCAGCCGAACGGTGCCGAACCTGTCTGTCTCTGGCCGTTGGGCATTTTGAGGGCCAGCCACGGAGCTGGGTAATAAAAGCTTGACTCGGCGGGGCGCAGGCGGGAAACTCGACACATGCTCCAATCGCTGCGCCAAATCACGCGGAGATCCCTGTGCTTTCTATGTCGAGCCTCCCTCCAAACCAGATATCTAGCCTCGACTTATGGTTAGGGAGACACAGACGCATCCTCACCAACCAGGCTTTCAGCTGCAGAAATAATTGTGATGGACGGGGGACAGAAATAACAGCAGGCGAGGAAACCCTGGTATTCCCTCGTGTGATCCTAGCTACTGTCTGTCAGTAGTTGAGCTTGTGTCTGAAGCAGGCCAACCCAGATTCACCAAATTCAGGCAAACGCGTTTCCTATCTCTCTGGCCGGTGAATTACTTTGCGATCTAAAGCTTGGATTTGTTTGTTTCTACTAGTTTAGTAGCTCGTCCAATAGTAGTATTTGTGTTGGACGTTTGTTAGAATATTGGAATCAGCAACAATGGCGAATCAAGAGGAGGTTTGGGAGAGGGATCCCGTTTTCAAAAAGCTACGAGCAAAAGCCGAGAACAAGGTTAGAATGAGTCGTCTTCGGTTATGTCATGTTGTCCCTTGTTATTTGGATTGTATCTTGGTGTGATCGCACTGGTCCACGCTCTGCTGTACTTTCTACATTGCTATGCGAATTTGTGCGAATCTGCTTTGTTGTCCCTCGCCGTTTTGTCTCAGATGTGCTTTGACTGCAATGCGAAGAACCCTACATGGGCATCGGTCACGTATGGGGTCTTTATATGCCTCGACTGCTCAGCGATGCATCGCAGCCTCGGCGTGCACGTCAGCTTTGTCAGGTCCGTTTCCACTGACCTGTCAGAATTCATACTTGGCTTTTTGCCTACTTGTTCTTACCCAGGATGCGTATCTGTTGCAAATATTGGGAATCATAAACTTGGGAAAGTTCTGAATGTGCTAGACTATGCGACCCGCTGTGTTAAAGCCTTCCGTTCCTCGTACGCAGCAACCGGTGCATTCGACGATCAACAAGGCCTTGGTGATGTCAATCGTTGTTGCTCTCATCAGGTCGACAACTCTTGACGGCTGGAGCGTAGAGCAATTGAAGATCATGGCCTTCGGAGGAAACGGCCGAGCGCGTGCTTTTTTCAAGCAGCACGGCTGGACGGACGGAGGCAAGATCGAACAAAAGTACACCTCAAGAGCCGCCGAGCTCTACCGGCAGCTTCTCGCGAAGGAAGTCGCGAAGAGCTTCGCCGGTGCACAGACATCCCTCCCGTCGCCAACATCGACTAGCCAAACAGCTGCGAATGGCGGTGCTGCTGCGGTAGCGCCTGCTGCTGAGGAGGCCCCGGCTCCTGCCGCTGCTGCTCCTGCTCCTGCTGCTGCAGCGTCGCGAGTGTCTCCGGTTACAAGGAAGACGACGAGCGTAACTGCGAAGAAAACGACCAGCAAATCGTCCGGCCTCGGCGTTAAGAAGCTCACGACGAAGGTCAGTATGCGTGGGCTAGCATGGATAGTTCGGTGTGGAACATGATCGTCGAAAGTCACGAGTTCTGGCGGTAGCAAACAAGGTAGAGTGCACCGACAGAACATGGCCACGACCGAGAGTGCAACTGCAGAATGAAGAAATACGATCTTCCACGGGATGATTACATGTGATTACCGAGCCATGAATACGTTAATGACTTCACGATCACTGTTTACACACTCCCTGACGTCACCTGTGCATGACCACAAACCAATCCCAGTCGGTTTCTCGATCGTTCCTTCATCCCTCCCCCGTCCCCGCACCTCCAGCCGAACGACAGCCTGTACGAGCAGAAGCCAGTGGAGGCAGCGGTGAAGGTGGCCGTGGTGGAGCACAAGGCGTCGCGCTTCACGTACAACGAGGCGTCCTCCTCCTCGCAGCCTGGCGCCGGGTCCGGCAGAGGCGGCCACGTAGCGGCGCCCGCGGCGTCTGGAGACTTTTTCAACGACTTTTCGGGAGGGATTAGGGCTGTTCCCAGTAACCGACCCAAGCCTCCACCTCAGGTACAGGCCCATGTCTCGTTTTGGGTACCTTCTGCTGTTGGAGTGTGGAAGTATTTGGGCTGGGATGCGTCGGAGTTGCTGGTGCTGCTTGCAACCGCGTGTAGGCCTGTTTGCATGGCATGGCATTCGTTTAGACTGTTTCACCCCAGTTGTTCGTCGTCTTCGGGATGCTCTCATTTTTGTATTGTGCGGCCTTCCTCGCTTGGGCCAATCCACCAATCCACGTGTTTCCCTCCTCTCTTCGTGTGTTGCAGCCGATTGAGGAGTCAGACGAGGCTCGCAGGAAGTTCGCAGGGGCGAAGGCGATCTCGTCGCAGCAGTTCTTTGACCGGGATAACAAGGAGCTGCAGGCGCAGAACCAAGAGCGGCTGCAGAAGTTCCAGGTGAGCAGCAGGAACATGGCCGAATGACATTTGTAGGAAGTAAGGAAAGAAATGAGAGTGAGAACCAGGATGCGCAGCAGTTCTTCCACTGGAACAGCATAGACGTGCAGGCGCAGAACCAAATGCGAGTGCAGAGGTTGGAGGTGGGCTGCGGGAACATGGCTTAAAGGCACAATTAGGACGTGGGGATAGAAACGAGGACGGGAGAACGGGAGGACGCAGCAGCTCTTTGATCCGGACAGCAAGGGCTTGCAGACAAAGAATCAAGTTCGGCTGCAGTAGTGTGAGTTTGGCCGGAACAAACATGAGCTGAGGTGGCTTGTGAAGTGGGAAGGGGGTTCAGCCCTGAATCTAGTTTACAGAACTAAGCAGGGCTTTTTTTCTGATGTTTCAGATAAAGGGGCTAAATGAGGCAGCAGGCGCGGAGAGGCTTAAGAGGGAAGGCCGTACCTGGCCTAGGACAAGAAGCACTTGGAAACCAGAACCGCCAGGGAAAAATAGTGGGAAACTTACGGCAGCTGTTTCATCCCGCTCCCACCCCCCTCCCCAATCCCCTTCCTGTGACGTTCATTTCCTCACCTTGCCATCCCTTCTTGCCCATTCCTGTGCCACCAGAACTCGTCGGCCATTTCGAGTGCAGCCTTCTTCGATCGGGACGAGGGCGGCAACCAGGGTGGCGGAGACGGCTCTCTGGACAGCGTTGCTGCGGACCTACTGGGAGGGCTCTCCGTGGGGGTGGGTGTGGCATGATCATCCATGATCCATTTCCAATGTGTGATTATTGTAGTCCAGAATGTGATGTTGTTTTCCTGAGGAGTAATGCTGCAGACCTACTTGGAGGGCTATCCGTGGGGGTGGGTGTGGCATGAAAAGCCATGTTCCGTTGACCATGCGTGTTGTAGTCCAGAATGCAGTGTGCTTTTTGGGGAGCATTGCTGTGGCTCTACTGGGAGGGCTCGTGCGGTTGGGTGTTGCATGTTAAGCCATTTTCTTGCGTGTCTATCACATAATCCACTTCTCATGTGTGCTGTATGCCTCTTAAAAACTATTGTTGCGGGCCTGGTACTGGTAAGGCTTTCCATGGGGGTGGATGTTGCATGATTAGTGGTGTTCCATTTGCTACCCATCAGCCGTTTCAACATGCGTGTCTTAACACAGCAACCCTCTTGCTTACTGCTCCCCCTTTGCTTCCCACCTTGCAGGCTGTGGCAGAGCAGACAGGGCAGGCGCTGTCATCATTTGCCTCCAGCATCCTTGCTGACTTGCAGGACCGGATTCGATAGGCAGGGGGGTGGGCGGGGGTGAGGAGGAGAGGAGGGGGCACAGGGACTTGCGAGTGTGTGTTGGAAGGGCAGGTGCTGTCATCGCTCCCCTCCAGGCTCCAGCATCCTTGCTGACAAGCAGGACCGGATTCGATGGACGGGAAGAGGCGGGTGGAGTAGGGGAGAGGTTGTATGCAGACACTGCTGATTTCGGATTCGTCAGGGTAACTCAGGTAACACAAGAAGTGTGCGTGTGTGCATGTGCGTAGGTTAATGTGCTGATACAGTGGCACAGTGCGCGATACTTGTCTCTGCTCATTCTCATGGACCTACACTGAACCACTCGCAATACACAGCGATAACATCCTCAAATACAGCAGAAGCAGGGACGATCAGAGTGGTAGATTAAGGAACAGGGTTTCAGTCAAGGCACCCAACTGTGTTCTGTAACATTGATAGCTTTGTTCAAACGCGGTCATTATTATTTTGCACCAGTGTTTGTGATCTACTAACAAGTTTATGCTCTGCAGCCTTCAGATGCAGCACCATGTTTTGGCAAATGCCCCTAGAGGACACCTCCACTAGCCTCTTCGGTAACACCTTCATAACTAAAACCGCACTAGCCTCTTCGGTAACACCTTCATAACTAAATCAGATCAAGATCTAGTTTCAATGGTCCAGCATCGTTACTGAGTAGGTGGTAGAGTCGTGTGGACCGCAGCTCAGGGCTTGAACAGAGGCGGGGAATGGAGAGGCTTCCAAGCGAGGGAAGCTTACTGTGAGTGGTGGTCCATGATCTAAGGAACGGAGAAGATTGAGGGCAGGGAGAGGGATAGGGCCACATGGATCATTAGATTGGACAAGTATGAAACATATGCAGAACGAACAGGGGGGGGGGATGGATGGAAAGGTCAAGGGATGACTAGGAGGATGGAAGGTGGAATTCGTTTATTTGAAACAGGGATACGCATGCTAGAGGCTGTTTAGAAAATGCCGATTATCGACTGGACTTACCGTAAGTTACGGAGGGGGGTAGATTGGATTAGGGCAGATCTGACGATTTTGGGGCGGCAGCAGCAGCGGCAGCAGTGGCATTAGCAGCAGCAGCAGTGGCAATAGCTGCAACTGCAGCAGCCATTGTAGCAGCATCAAGCATTGGTGGCTCAGCAGCAGGTGCAGCAGGGGGAGCAGAAGCAGCAGCCATGGTGGCAGGGGCAGTAGTTGCGGCAGCAGCGGTGGCAGTGGCGGCAGCAGCAGCAGCAGCCACAGCAGCAGCATCGGGCAATGTCACTTCGGGGCTGACAGGCTCGGCAGCAGGAGCAGCAGATTGAGTGGCCGGAGCAGAAGGGGTTACCGAAGGAGCAGGAGCAGCAGTGGCAGCTGTTGCAGCAGCAGCAGTGGCAGCAGCAGCAGTGGCAGTGGCGGCGGCAGCAGCAGCCAGAGTTGCAGCATCGGCTGCAGGGTCAGCAGCAGGAGCAGCGGAGGCAGTGGGAGCAGCAGGACCAGCAGCAGGGGCAGCAGCGGCAGAGACAGCAGCCGCAGTTGTGGCGGCAGCAGCTGCTGCAGCAGCAGCTGAAGAGACTGGTGCTGCTGGGGATGGTGAGGATGGGGGCTTGAGACCCACATATTGGGTGTATGGCGAAAGAGGTGACTGGGGGACGGGAAGAGTCATTGATTCTGATACAGCAGCGGCCACCGCAGCAGTGGCAGCAGCAGCAGCGGATGTAGCACCAGCTGCAACAACTGTAGCTGCTGCCCCTGCTGCTGCTGCAGCCGGGTCGACAACCAGAGCAGGCGCCGAAGCTACAGGTGAAGGCATGACGGCAGGCTCGGCAGCAGGCACCGCAGCAGACTCGGCAGCCTCAGCAACAGGCTCGGCAGCAGGCTCAGCAACAGGGATTGTAGCATCTTCAGCTGCTATGGCAGCAGGAGGTGAGGGGGTTGGTGAGGTTGGGGGCTTGAGGTCCGGGTAATGTTGGAAAGAGGGGAGCACATAGGAGGAAGGGAAGTCCTTGAGTGAGAGTGAGGAGTAGAGGAGAGCAGAAGGTGAGTAAGATAATAAAGATTGATGGAGGAAAGTGGATGAGGGTGGAGTGAGGTCATGTAGGAGTGAGGGCAGGGAGGAGAGGCAGGAGGTTGGAGTGAGAAGAGTAAGCGTGAGTGATAGCAGTCAATGCCCCACGCCTCTATCTGTGTGCGTGAGGATGTGAGCTCACCTGGCTGTAGGGCGAGAGGGGCCTGTCGGCATAGGGCAATTCTGAGACAGGTGGAACTGGTGCAACTGTTGCTGGTGCAGGTGCAACTGGTGCAGGTGCAGCTGGTGCTGCCACTGCTGGTGCTGGTGCTTCTGCTACTGCGGCGGCAGCAAGTGGCTCAGCAGCCGGTTCGGCAGCAGGCTCGGCAGGAGGCTCGGCAACAGTGGCAGCATTGGAGGTAGGGGGGGAAGGGCATGGCGAGGTAGGGGGCTTGAGGTCCAGATACTGCAAAGGCGGGGAGATTCGGGGGACGAAGGAGGGGAGAAGAGGAGACAGATAGGGAGGGAGGGAAGGGGACGAGGAGACAGATTGAAGTTGGGTCGAAAGTCAAGGAGAAAAGGGAAAGGATGCGGCTTGAGGTGGGGCGGGGAAGCTTGAGGTTCACATACTGCAAGGATGGGAAAAGGGATAATTATTTAGGCGCCTAAAAAAACCTTACCAGGGTGTAAGGGGAGAGAGGACGATTGGCGTATGGCAAGTCGGATACTGCTGACTCAGCCTCCGCCTTTGCTGACTCAGACTTGGTTGCAGTAGGTGCAGCAGCAGCAGGAGGAGCAGGGGCAGCAGGGGGGGCAGCAGCAGGGTCAGCGGCAGGGGGAGCAGCAGGAGCGGCAACAGCAGGTGAAGCAGCGGCAGCAGGGGGAGTGATAGCAGCAGGGGCGGAAGGGGCAGCAGCAGTAGCAGCAGCAGCGGCAGCAGCGGGCGAGGGCGAGGGAGAGGGAATGGGTGAAGGGACTGGTGCTGCTGGTGGTGCCGGCTTGGCAGGGGCAGCAGGAGAAGCAGCAGGGGCAGCAGGAGAAGCAGCAGGGGCAGCAGGAGAAGCAGCAGGGGCAGCAGGAGAAGCAGCAGGAGCAGCTGCAGCAGCAGCAGGAGTGGCGGCAGGAGCAACAGGAGCTGGAACAACAGTCGTGGCTGCTGCAGTGGCAGTGGTGGGCGCAGGACTCGTTTCCTTAGGCGGGCTCAGCACAGCGCTGCCACTCGTTGCTGCAGTGGCAGTGGCTTCGTCGGGAGGAGCAAGGGCAGGCAGGTCGGCACCAGTAGGAAGGTACTTGCGCAGCTGTGCCAGTGTCTGCTCCCTGTCCTGGGAGGGGGAAGAGAGGTAGGGAGGGGTGGGGAGAGATGGGGAGAGGTGGACAGAGGTGAGAGGAGAGAGGGCAGGCAGGTCGGCACCAGTAGGAAGGTACTTGCGGAGCTGTGCCAGTGTCTTCTCCCTGTCCTGTGGGTTGTAGAGAGGTTGGGACGGATGGGGAGAGGTGGGAAGAGCAGAGTCGGTAAAAGTAGAGCCTGCTGACAAGAACTAGCACGAGGAGGAGGGGGGGTGAGAGAGTTAGTAGGGGTGGAGTTGGGAGTGGCAATGGGAGTGGGTGGGAGTGGGTGGGAGCGCATCACCACCCGCCCCTGGCAATGAAGTGCAGGAGCGCCACTGACGCCGCCAGCTGAATCTAAGTTGGTAATTTACGCCATTTCAGCCCACGTACACGTAACGTACGCGTACATGTACGTTTACGTGTACGTACGCGTACGTACGTGTATGTACGTCGGGCAGGTCAAAAAAAAATTCTGGACGAAAATTTTATATGAAAACGGTTTCCGAAAACCTAAAAAAGAAACAAGCTTTCGATGACCTATGCTCTGTTAGCGTGTTAGTAAAATGGCGCGACGTTTTTCAAGGTAGTAATGTAAGAAACAGGAAGGTTGCTAGCTAGGGTTGCTATGGTGTGGCGACTACCCTACGTACTACGTCGACTAAGGAGGTAGAACTACGATAGCTACGGTAGAACTACGATGTCGACGAAGTCTGTCGAGAGAGGGAGGGAGGAATTTGTGGTTGCGAACGTGTACAAACTGTTCGCGATAGAACATTGCGAACTGTTTGACTCAGCTCGCGATTGCTTCGCTTGCAAGGTAAGCAAATGTCACCCGCTCGGCAGTTTCGTCACCGCCGAGCTTCACTGGTTTTGGCGAATCCCAACTTCGAGTCAAACCAATTCGCCGATTCAAATCTAAATTTACATCGAGCGACTTTCCTGCACCTTCCGTAAGACGCGCAAACGCGTGTCTGCACCTTCCGCGAGTCATAACTGGAAACTAACAATGCGATTTGACGGCAAAGAACTATTTTGCAGCTATAGCTAGTAAGTATAACAAAAGTCACCACGCTTAACCAACAATCACAGCTAGCTTATCAATCGATCTACTCAATCAACTCTCCAACAGATTATACTAGTACTATGGAGACCCCGATTCAGACCTCCGAGCATCCCGTGTGGCGATGCTTCATTGTTCCTGAGGGCGGAACGTCTGATTCTACGCTAGCAAAGAAATGCAAGCGATGTGGTAAGTCGTGGAAACTGAATGTGGCGCGAGCTCAGGCACACATTCTCGGAATTCCAGGGAGCGGAATCACGCCATGCGCCTCAGCTACACCTGAGGATAAGGAGAAAATCCGTTCCGCGATGGATGATAAGAGAAGGGACTTTGATTCTCGCGAGAAAGCGCAACAGAAAACGTCCGATGCATTCTCGCCATCGTCTACTACGAACACCAAGTCGGCGGGCATGGGGGCGAGTGGCTCCAACGTAGCGGAAAGTAGCAGCATGGCGCGCAAGAGACAGGCGATGCAACGTACGCTTATGGATACTCGCCCCAAACCCGTCGACGCGGAGAGTGCGCAACTAGCCATCGCAACGTTTTTCCACGTGTGTCGTATTGCACCGAATGTTGCGGAGCACGATGCTTTTAAGACGATGCTGAAAAAGGTTGCTGCTGCTGGTACAGGATTTACACCTCCTGGACAACGGCTAATAATGGGAAGATTGTTGGAGGAGTGCAAGGCGAACACCGACACTGCGTTGAAGGAGGTGAAGGATTCACGGAAGGATGTTGGGGTGTGCATCGCGTGTGACGGTTGGACCGACAGCGAAGGACGTCCGCAGCTGAACTTCTTAGCTGTCAATGCGATTGCATCCGTATTTCTTTTTGGGGTGGATTGCGGCACGGAGAAAAAGGGAGCAGAATTCATTGCTGGCCACTTGAAGACGGCAATGGTCATGGTGGGAACGGAGAACGTAGTCGGCCTGCTGATGGGCGGTGCGTCCGCGAATGTCAACGCTGCCAGCATCATCGCCCTCGACTACCCAAAAGTTCAGTGGATTCGTTGCGCTGCGCATTCTCTCAATCTAATGATGAAGGACATTGGCCAACTCGATTGGGCCAAGGATACCATCGACCGCACGCAGCAGCTAATTTCAACGCTGAAGAACGCGCACTGGATTACGGGGGTTCTTCGGAAGGAGAAGGCGCTACAAATCTTGAAACCTGCGAGCACTCGTTTTGGAACAAACTACATCGCCCTCGAACGCCTGCAAGCAGTGCGCAAAACTCTCGACAAGCTGGTGCTGAGTGAGGATTGGGAGGAGTACGTCAAGGGAAAGCCGAAAATGAAGGACGCATGGGATACTATTATCGACAAAGAGTTCTGGGCGCGCGTTGGGACGGTGCTCGATGTGCTTTGTCCGGTCTATAAGCTGTTGCGGAATGTTGACGGCAATCAGGAGGTGATGGGCAAGATCTATGACAAAATGTTTGTTTTGGAGGACGCGGTGAAGGAGGCGTGTAAGGAGCTGACCGAGGAGGAGAAGGAGGATGTGACCGACATCGTGCGGAATCGGTGGAACAACGACATCAACTGCGCGCTTCACGTGGTCGGACGGATTCTGTACCCGCCAAACCAATACGAGTCAATATTTGGAACGGACGTGGAGTGTACCAAGATCTTCAAGCAATTCATTCGCAATTACTACAAGGGTGAGTTCGTGAAATTGGGAGGGGTGATGGCGCCACTCGCAACCATCGTCGAAAAGGAGGACTTGACATACACCAAGGGGAAGGGAGACACTGGGGAGCAGAAAGCGCGTGATGAACATGAACTCATCAAAGCTGGGCTTTTGGATTCGGCGCATTGGTGGGAATTCAATGGCACGGACGTGCCCCACCTCTCCAAGCTTGCAAGGAGAGTTCTCAAGCAACGTGTCTCGGCCTCTCCTTGCGAGACGAACTGGGCCGTTTGGGAGTCAATCCATACAGCTCGTCGTAATCGCCTTGGAGCGAAACGCCTTGCCGACCTAGTGTACGTGAGCCACAACTATCACACAGTGAAAAAGTTGAATGAGGATCTTGCTAAGAAGCTGGTGGTGAGTGGGCTTCCTGTGATCCAACTTAAAGAGGAACCTACTGACAGCTATGGGCATCTCGATGACGACGACATCCCTGATGAGGCATATCTTGATGGCCAGGAAGCGGAAGAACCGAAGGAGTGAGGATGATATGATATTCTGCACGACGCGTGCATGATGGTACTTTTGTTATTTGGGAAATAACGAGGTTGTAATGGAATGTTTTTACTATATGATGGAAATCATGATTACGAGGGAGTACTGTAAAAAAAATATACATATTCGGGCAGCCCATAATTTTTTCCACCTGCCCGTACATTAGGCCTCCAACCCAACAGCCGCGTAAACGTACGTACCCGTACATGTACGTACGTAAACGTAAACGTACATGACCAACTTAGAGCTGAATGCCCCCCCTACGAGGACAGGACCCATTCACCCTACCCTACCTTAGGTCACGATTCTCAGTAGTATCCATCCCCCCACCATGGCGCATGCACGCATCACCCCACCTACCTTAGTGAAGAGCAGCTTGGTGGCTATGAACTGCACGAGCACCATGGAGGCGAGCAGGCCCTGCAAGTGAGTCTTTCCTTGTGTGGAGCTTGCCCCCTCACACCACCCCACCACCCCACCACCACCCCTCACCTTGGCGAAGAGCAGCTTAGTGGCTATGAACTGCACGAGCGCCACTGACGCCACCAGCGTTAGTAGTGCCTCCGCCTGAAGGGGTGAGGGGTTGAGAGGTTGAGGGGTGAGAGGGTAACGGGGTGAAGGGGCCAGGGAAGAGGGAACAGGGGGGGATGGGGGCAAAAGAGGTTCTGGTCTGCATTAGCGCACTGCAATGAAACATCGCCTGCAATGAAACATCGCCTGCAATGAAACATTGCTATCACTGCACAACAATGAAACAGCATTGCTGTCGTGGTGCCGAGCCGACAACGCGGTGAATGCGAACTCTGCCAGCACTGCGTTGCTGTGAGTCGACCCAAAAGTCACTTGAATGCGAACTCTGCCAGCATTGCCACGGATAGCCCAGCAGCAAAGATGGCCATACCACACTGCCATCTCCTCTCCCCACTTCCCCCCCTCCCCACCCTCTTGGCCCCCCTCTTCCGAAACTAGGCCATGACATGACAAGTACGAGTGAATGAATGCGCACCTCTACCAGCACGGCCACAGAGAGTCCAGCAGCAGCGAGAATGCCCAGTGCTGCACTGCACTACCATCCCCCCCGGACCCCACCACCCGCCTCCCGATAGACCAAACCAAACCATGCCCACCACGAGTTTACGCGCACCTCTGCCAGCACTGCCACGGATAGCCCAGCAGCAGCAAGGATGCCCAGTGCTGCACTGCCATCCCCCCATCCATCTCACCCCCCAATCAATCAAACCCTGTCACCCACGAGTGAACACGCACCTCCGCCAGCACTGCCACAGAGAGACCCGCAGCAGCGAGGATGCCGAGTGCTGCAGGAGCTGCTGATGCTGCTGCTGACGCTGTTTTTGATGCACCGCTCTGGATGAAGGTAAAGGGAAGAGACATGGGGAAAGTGGAAAAAGGAGCTGTGAAGCGGTGTAATTAAAAGATGTAAAAGAGGTGGTTGGTTAAATGAGTTCTTGTGAGAAGGAGCCTATGTTTCAAGCCAGAGGAAACTCTTACCTGCTAAAAACCGCTTGCACTGTAGAGTCGGACTCTTCAAGGTTCAAGGAGGAACGTTCTTTTTTTGGGTATACTTAAACGGGGAGGCTTGATGGAAAAACCTTGTCGTAACCTCACCCCTTCGGTGAGAAATATTATATTTTCCAGCTGTAGAAACAGGTTGATTCCTTGTTTGAACAGGTGGAAATAATTCTGTGTCAACTCATAAGAGTGATTATTATCAGCTCACCTCTACAGTGGTGAAGACCTCTTTCACTGTAGAAACGGAGTCCTCGAGGTTGATTCCGAGGTTGAACGAGGGGAGCGAAGGGAGCGAGGGTAGCGCAGGCGTGGGCAGGCGGAGGAACGGTTTCTTCCACGGCAGCCCCCCTTCCTGCACGAGCGTCGGGAAAGGGGGAAGAAGGGTGATAAGGGGGATGAGACAACGGGGAGATAGGGGAAAGTTGGAAAGGGGGGAAGAGGGGAAGGGGGGGAGGGTAGAAGGGGAAACTAGTTGATTGGATGAGGCGCAGGGCGCTTTTGTTCTCGGCACTGGGGCTGGTTGGGGAAGAGGGGAAAGAGGAAAAGAGTTGCAAGAGGAAACTAGCTGGGGGGGTGAGGAGGATGGCGATTTTGTTCAAGGCAAACTGATGCATGGAGCCACTGGAACTTTCCGAGATAATAATTCAACTGCTGCAAGGACACGCCAGCCAGTACTTGCCTGCCACGCGTCAGCTCCTCCAGCCACGACGAAGATATTCTTGAAGCCCGCTGACGTCAGCTGCTTGGCGACATCCACGGCGTCCTCCCCGGCCCTGGTTGGGATAACAAAGGGAAGCGCGAGAGTTGAGCAAATGGAAGATTAATTTAGGGTAGAAATTAACCTTCAATTTAGATTGGTGTAAATCGACGTTCCCAATTCTGGTAAGAAGAACGCAAACGTGACATCACATACTTATCAATAACGATGATAGTAGATCCTTCCGACACGGCTTTAGCGTCCTTAACCGCGTCGAGGAACCCCTCTTTACGATCACCCAATTCAATCACCACGTCGTCCTCCCCGTCCCCCTCGCCCTCCTCCGCTTTCCGCTTCACAGAGTCCTCGCGATACGCCACCGCCACCAGCCGCTTCGGCGAGCTTTTCAGCGTCGGGTTACCCGATCGGCTCTTCTCCTTGCCGTCGCGAATGTCCAGCAAAACAACCGCTTCGCCCTCTTCCTCCCACTCCTCCCCAGCCTCTTCCAGGGCCTTTTCCAGAGCCGCTTCTGGGGTCAAATCCCCCGCGTACTGCTTCCGCGTAAGAAACGAGAACGCCCCAGCGAGCAGCGCCGTTGCTCCCGCAGCGGCCGCGAAAGCGAGGGCCACTTCGGCGTCGAATACGGCGGCGGAAGCGGCGGCGGGGACGGCGCTGGTGAACAGGTCGGCGACTCCAGCCGCTGCGGAAGTGACGGCAGAAGTGGCGGCAGAGGCGGCGGCCGACGCGGCTTCAGTCACGGCGGCAGGTGCGGCGGCAGAGACGGCGTCGGATACGGTGGAGGCAACGACGCTAGCGGCCTCCCCAGCGGCGGATCCGGCGGCAGCAGCTCCGGCGGCCTCCCCAGCCGATGTGGCATTAATGGGCCCAGCGGCAGCGGAAGTGATTGTAACGACGGAGCGCTGCACGGCCTTGCCGGCGATTTGCTCGTAGCGGGAGAGCGCGTCAGAGTCGACGGCGAGCGCCGCAGGAGCGGTGAATGCGGAAATCGCGGATGCAGCAGCGGTGACAGCTGCAGCTACAGCTGCCGAAGCCGCTTTAAGGGTGAAGGAGGCTGGCTTGTTTTGCGAAGCATCCGGCTGCGACGATTCTAACGAATCATCCTGCGTCGAATCTGATTGGCGAGCGACGACACGCGACGTGAGCGCGGCATTTCGCTGAAGCTTCGCTGACGCGGCTGCCGCGTGGGCGATTAGCGGCAGCGGCACGAGCGACGCGAACTGATAAGCGCTCAGGTTCCTCTGGGAAAGAACGCACCCGGCAGACGAGACATTGAGATAGCGGGGTGAAACGCGGTGAGGCGAGGTGCGCGTTCGTCTGTGCAGGGGAGGAAGGCCTGCGACGATGCAGCCACCGCACGTCGTGGGAAGGATAAGCGCCATTCAAGCTAGCTATGCGGCCTGGCGAAGCGTTGGCGAGCTACGCAAGGGGAGCAAAACCAGATTATAACAGTAGGCACGTCGCGAGAAACAGTCGACGACAAACACGACGCGGCAATACCGAGGTCAGGAGTAACTAACGTAGTGAATAGGCGCCTATTGATCCTCATTGCTCAAGTCACAACCAGATACATGGTGAAGCTTGACATTCACCAAGCGGAACCATATTCAACCGCCTCGAACCTGTAAGAGGCAAGGAGAGGAGGGATGTGGAGGGGAAACAGGGAAGTACAACTCCCAAGAATGGTGAATCAACGATGCGCTTCGCCTTGCTGGCGGTTCTTGAGAAGCCTTCACCACGCAAAATGCTTCCGAGAAGACGTGGAAAGCCAACATGGCAAGCTGTGGCCTCGAAAGCGAACCAGGTTGTGGCGCAGATTTCACAGCATAAGCCAATGATATATTTCCTCCATAAACACATGTCACATCAGCCTGTGTATGACTTCAAGATGAGGTTCCGAGGAACAGTGCGGTGCGCACAAACCAGCACAGCAAATCGCTCAATCCTTCTGCGAGGAGCACCACAAAGCTTCAATCAGATATGACATAGAAACGGACTGTAGAGTTATTTACAGGCTATTTACAATGACAAATCCAGAAACAAAGCTCCTAGCATAGACCCCTCATGATCCATTCAAATTGCTGTCACACTCATTTTGATGCTGCATGGCCGACATCGAAACCCCCTCAGAGACGAAGTAGAATGATCCTGGAGGCGCCAACGCCAAGGTCGGTTCAGAACAATTCCTGTTTCCATGCTGCTGGTGCAACTCATCCAGCTGCAGGAGAGGTTCCACCAGGGGTGATGCATGAGGTACCAGGACACGGTCAGGTAGTACAGTGAAAAGATGGTGGAGTAGCTGCTGATCAACCAATGGCTCTTGCTGAGATTGAGTTGCTGCTTCACGAAAAGGCTGCTGAATCTGACTGTTCTTCACAGGAATTTCAGTAGGTTTTACTGTTGTTGTCGCTTTCAGGCAGAGAACCTCTGCAGAACTTTCAGCAATGCCGGAATTTTCCGATGATAACGATGCTTTATGCAGATCACATAAGCTTTCTGCGGCCTCTCGGACCACCGCCTCCGCCTTCCTCTTGTGCATTTCCTTTAGCCTCTCCTCTGCAATCAGAACCAAGACGGTAAGGCAGAAAAATACACAACAAATGCAGAGGATTACATATTCATGCAAAACTCTAAAGCAATGTTTGAGCTGAAGCAGCGGCCCACATACCTCTCTTATGTCTGGACATGTGTTCGCCCAAAGACTGAGGCAGGGTGGATGGCAATTTAGGACCTGCTCCCAGTAGCTTTCGAAGTTCATCCTCGGGAAAAAAATAGGTACGAGCTGGATCCACGCAAGCAGATGGCGTCACATCAATGCGTGGGATGGAGCCTGAGATGCCTGATAACTTCAGGTGGCTGGAGGATTGCAAGGGGAGACTCCCAGTACGGAGGTTAGTATGGCTCAAAGACTGTAGATTTCCCCAAAACAGGTCCCTGTGGCCGGATTGAGCAGGAAATTTTCCAATAAACGGGCCGGCTTCGCTGGTTGATTGCAGTAAATGAATCCTGGTATGCAGGTCCGTACGGCTAGATATGGGAGGAAGCTTCCTGGTAAAGGGGTCCATGTGACTGGAAAATTGTGGAGGGAGGTTCCTGGCAGAAAGGTCCACATGACCAGAGGATTGCACCGAAATATTCCTGGTTAGAGAATCCGTATGGCTGGAAGATTGCACAGGAAGGCTTCCAGGGAGATGTTTCAGATAGCTGGACGACCTATCAGGAAGACCCTGGAAAAAAAGGCCCACATGGCTGGTGTCTAGCGCCAGAAGGGGGAGGGAACTAAAAGAAGCCGTGTTAGGGTCAGGCATAGGCAGCTGGGATGAAGAGGAGAGAGCAGCAGTTGCTGTGGGATTTGAAGATAAAGGGAGAGCAGAGGGCCAAGTTGGAGAGGGGGAAGGGAGGTTGACGGGAGGCCGTAAGGCTGCAAGAAGGCGTGCTCGATGGATGATGCCTTGTAGCGCTCCTGCAGTGGTGAATCGTGGAGTTGGCATGAAGAGAGAGACACACAGAGATGCGTTAGAAATGGGAAGGCACAAGCAGCAATTTATGATCAACTGGCAGACAGGCAATTCAAGAATACAATAAAGAGATGTTACCATCTTTGCCTATCTTTTGAGCCCCATGACCACCAGAGACAGAAAGCATCATTCTCAAGCCGAGTAAAACAACACGTGTAGAAGCAGTCACCTGTGAAAGCGGCAGACGGGGAAGGAAGAAGCCTCTTGGCGATCAGGCGAGCAGCAAGAGCCTCATCATCATCGCTAGCAGCGGCCGCCTTAATCTCCCCCTCGCTCGGCAGTGGATCTCCGCGCGACCTCTTCCGCTTCCGGTTCCCGCTCCCGCTGGACGGCTTCCGCTGGCCTTCGAAAGGCTTCCGCGGCCTCAATGCTCCGAGCTCCGGCACAGGAGGGAAGGCGTGACTATGTCCCTCCGCAATCGCGGGTAATTCTTGATGAGGAATCCGCCATGCGGAATCTTGATGAGTCGAGATGTTGCTTGCGGTAGTACTTCCTCGCGCCGATAGGACGGGCTCGTTCCAGCGGGGCTCGTCTTGTCGGCCATACCTCTCGAGTGCACGATACCTCCTGTCATATAGACCATACCTCTCCAGCGTTTCACGAGCAGTGTTCCTCGCCCTTAGCAAGAGTCCCTGGTCCATCTTACGGAAATGCGGTGGTAAGGCTGCTTCGGCTGGCGTCTAGCTTGTTAACGTGCCGAAAATGCGGTGGTAATTCTGCTTGGAATGGGAGAGTTCTTGGATCGATTAGTATTCTCATCCCTGCTCAGCAAATGGCAAATCCTTCGCGGCTTTCGAAACACTAGTGTGGCAGCTTGGTGTGAAGGAAACAGATAACAGCCTTGTGGTTGAGAAGGACCACACGCGGATGGGGCCATCCCTAATGATTGCTCTTGCAGGATTTTGACCAGTTTACCGCCTAACAGCTAAACGGACGCTGAGTTCACGCGGCAAAATCTGAGAGCTTGGAAGAGCTGGCGAACGGTCCCGTTATCCCATAGGGCTCGGATGTGAACGGATGAGCAGGATAAGCCTGGATGGATGGAAAGCGAAGATTCAGATTCGTGGATAAAATCTGAAGCGGCTACCAGGAAAGATGGAGCGTAGAGGTTTGTAGCAGAATTCAGCGTCTCTGTCAAGGAGAGATTTGCGTGACACGTTGCGATTCGGAATGAGTGATAGGCATGTGATCGTGCAGTCTGGAGCCTCTAAAACTCGTCTAATCAGACTGTCGCTGTAGCCGAGCACGCCGACTGGGTGCTCGGCCTTCAGAGGTTTAGGGCGGCCATCTGACAAAGCTGGTGTGAGAGGTATCATTCACAGCATCCCTTCGCGCATGCTGTCCACTCCGCTCCATAGAACTCCAAACGGGAATATGGCGTTGTCTCAATTGCGGGGCTGCATGTGATGCTGGCAATCCCGGTAAGCAGAGACGGCTTAGCTGTCATGGCGGTTAGGGATGAAAAGCCGCCGAGATCGCTAATGAGGCACGTGTAAAGCAAAAGCAAAGCTCCCAGTTTTGGCTGGGCCATATGATTCCTCGCGTTGTGCGGCTTTTGCGGCTAAGTAGCGCGGCGCCCTCGGCCCTTCATTACACGTACCTGAGTCTCTGCAAGAATCCGCAGCTTCGCTTGGAGTGCTTCGCTGTTTAGAAACACACAGTCAAACAAAAGCGTCTTCAATGCATTTGCTAAACATTCAAACTCAAAAGGGCACTTGGTGCTTATCTTAAATGCATATATAGAAAATATCTATACAATGCACACACTCCACAACGCAGATGTGTCCAGACCAGATATTGCAACCCATCAAAACCCGCACGCCTAGATAGCAGTATCAGACATGTTTATTTTCCATTTTACACTGTTAAAACTGCAAGAAACTGTCAAAAATATATATTTGTATGTTCTAGGCTATAGTGATGCATGCATTAGAGTATAGGTTGTTAGGGTTTGCGTTTGTACCCTCCACCTTTCCTAATCAACCATTCCGTTGCTAGCTACTCTTCAGATGGTATCACGAGTAGGTTCGTTCTCGACCGTTCCTAGCCTAGCGCGCACTCGCACCTCCGCACATCCGCGCCCTCCCCTAGTGCACCCGCCGCGCCCTCCGCGCCTAGCTCGCGCCTCCGCGCCTCCATGCCTCCGTGCGCCCTGCCCCAACCCGTAGCGTCGCCTGTGCGCCCTGCCCCAGCCCGTCGTGTCGCCCGTGCACCCTGCCCTAGCCTGTCGTGTACCCCGTGCGCCCTGCCCCAGCCCGTCGTGTCGCCCGTGCGCCCTGCCCCAGCCCGTCGCGTCGCCCGTGCACCTTTCCCCAGCCCGTAGTGTCGCCCGTGCAGAGCAACGTGCGCCCCTGCAGTGCAGCGCGCGCCAACGTGCAGGGCAGCGTGCGCCCTAGCAGAGCAGCGCGCACCACCCGGGCATAGCAGCGCGCGCCCCTACCCAGGAACGCGCACCTCAGCCAGGAACGCGCGCCCCTGGCCATACATGCGCGCCGCAGCCAGAAACGCACCTCACACCTCCTCCTACCCGCCCACACCTCCTCCTAGCCGCCCACACCTTCTCCTAGCCGCTCCACACCTCCTCCTAGCCGCCCACACCTCCTCCTAGCCGGCCACACCTCCTCCTAGCCGTCCACACCTCCTCCTAGCCGCCCCCACCTCCTTCTAGCCACCCACTGGCACCTCTTGCAGCGGCTGGCACCTCTAGCGCGCCACGTCCCGCAGCAGGCCGCTCTCGGGCTTTCTCACCGTCGATTTTCCCGTTCCCTACCGTTCCTTCACTGGGTTCACTGTTCCGCCACGGCTGGAGGCCGCTACTCCTAGTCCTTGTTTCACATGGCGCTCCTAGTTGCTCTCGTTTCATGCTCCGGCCGTTCTTCGCCTAGTTTCACTTGGCGCTCCTAGTTGTTCTCGCTCCTCGGTCCAGCCGCTTCTCGAACCCGTTGTTTCTAGCCTGCCATTTTTAGCTCCGTCCGTGTCTCACTCCAGCCGTTCCTGTTCCAGCCGCTTCTAGCTCACTTTGCTCCATGCTTCGGCCGTTCCTCACCTAGTTTCACCTGGCGCTCCTAGTTGTTCTCGCTCCTCGCTCCAGCCGCTCCTCGAGCCCGTAGTTTCTAGCTTGACGTTTCTCGCTCCGACCGTGCCTCACTCCAGCCGTTCCTCGTTCCAGTCGCTTCTAGCTCATTTTGCTTTGTGCTTCGGCCGTTCCTCGCCTTGCTTCACCCGGCGCTCCTAGCTGTTCTCGCTCCTCGCTCCCAGCTCAGTTTTCTCCGTGCTCCGGCTGTTCCTCGCCTAGTTTCACCTAGCGCTCCTAGTTGTTCTCACTCTTCGCTCCTAGCTCCAATCACTCTTAGCCTGCCGCTCCTGCACCCTGCTAGCCTTTACCATGGCGTCCACTAGAGTTCTCCAGCACCAGGGACAGCAGCAGCGGCAGTTTCAGCAGTGGGAACCTCAGCAGCAGTGGCGCCTGGCACCCTCAGCAGCAGTGGCGCCCTCAGCAGTAGTGACGCCCACAGCAGCCGTGGGGGCCTGGTGGTTCGGGTAGCGTTGGCTGCAGCAGCGGCCCAGCCAGCTGGGGGGCTCGTCGCGGTGGCCGCGACGTCGGCCCCTGTCAGTACCGGATCTTGACTGGCCCGGGTGCTGGCACTAGCTGCTGGCGTCCTGACCAATCTGCAAAGCGCTGCTACAGCCGCCTCGACGACTTATACCGTGAGCGTTTGGGCCTGAGTCGAGGCCACCGATCTGGCCCGGTCTGTCTCGTAGTGGTTACCCTGTGTTTGATATGTCTATAGATGTTGTTTATTCTGTCTCGTATGGATTTCTTGGCTTGCGTGTACCTAGCTTAGGACCTTTGCCTGTTGCTAGTGTAGGTACTTGTGCTTTTAGTGTAGGTGCTTGTGTAGTCACTAGTCCAGCCGTGACGACTGCTGACGCGTCGCTCTCCTTCATGCTAGACTCAGGCGCGTCTTAGTGCTTCTTTCGCAACCACACCATTGTCACGCCTCTTTCGGCTCCAGACCTAGTTGCCCTGGCAGATCCTACTTCAGGACCAGCAGTTGCTCGCAGCTCGACCACTCTCCCGTGCTCGGCTATCCCTTCTGGTTTCCTCACTGGTCTCTACATCCCCTCGTTCTCTCGGAAATTGGTGGGAGTTGGATAGCTTCAGGACCGTGGGATCACAGTCACTTTTCCTGCGCACGGGAGGACGACGATCTGTTCTAATGCTTCCATCGGGGCACTTCTTGCCACGCTCACCAGGGAGCCCCACTCAGGTCTCTTCGTTCTGCACACTACGTCCCACCAAGCAGGCCAGGTTACTGCGTCCCCCCAGGTAGCAGAGTCCGGTCAGGTTACTGCGTCCCCTCTGGTTGCTGTGAGAGGTCAGGTTGCTGCGTCTGGTCAGGTTGCTGCGTCTTGCTCCTGTCAGTCTCTCGCCCACCCGACCATCTTGTGGCACCACCATCTTGGCCACCCGACGATCCCCCGCCTCCGCAGCATGGCTAGTCACCGTCTCGTCTCGGGTCTCCCTCGCATCTTTGCGTCGCTCCCTCCCTCGCCTGCACCGCCGTGCACTCCTTGTGTCGCCGACCGCCTGCGCGCCACTCCGCACTCCTCCTCCCTTCGTCCGGCCACTGCTCCCTTCTAGACTCTCCACTTAGACGTCTGGAGCCCTGCTCCTACGCAGGGACCTGATGTCAGAATAGTAGCATAAGTAGGAGTTGAGTTTAAGTTAGGGCCTAGGCTTAGTAGCCTAGGCCATGGTGGTATCGAGGAGGTTGTGCCAAGGGGAGTCGAGAAAGAATGATGTGGTTTCACTATAGCACTGAGGTACATATAGCAAACATGAGAAGGTGCACCACAAATAGTACGAAAGCATAACTACACTAAAGCTAAAGCTACAGGCAGTTAGAAATATATATAAAATGTATATCGCAACACCTGAGAGGGAGCGCTACTTTCTGGTGGTCGTCGACAACTACTCCAGGTTTACCAAAGTGTTTCCTCTCGCGAAAATGTCAGGGGTGAATTCTACGCTGATCCGGAGGCTTCTGGCCACTGAGGGCACTCGTGGCAGTCGTGTCTCCTGTCTCCACTCCGACCGTGGGGGCGAGTTTCGCTCCGGCATTCTTTGCGGATTCTTCGGCGAACAGGGCATCTCACAGTTGTGGACGCTTCCGGATTCCCCACAGTAGAATGGGGTTGCTGAGCGCCGCATTGGCTTGGTCATGGACATCGCCCGCACGTCCATGATCCATGCCAGTGCGCCCCATTTTCTGTGGCCCTACGCGGTTCGCTACGCCGCTCACCAGCTGAACCTCCAGCCGTGTGTCTCTCGACCAGAGGCTTCAGTGACCAGTCTTTGGACCGGGTCCCCTGGTGTTGGGTCGGCCTGTTGTGTCTGGGGCTGCCTTGCGCTTGTCCGCGACACCTCTGCGGACAAGCTCTTGGCTCGCGCCATCCCCTATGTCTTCCTTGGTTTCCCGGTGGACTCTTCCGACTACACCTTTTACCACCTGCCCCTCCACCAGATCTTAGACTCCCATGACGTCCAGTTTGACGAGTCAGTGTCCTACTACGCTCGCTACCCCTGTCGAGGTCTCCCGGTTCCTCCTCCTCCCGTTTTCCTTGCACCCTCTCCTCCTCCTGCTCCCGTTCCTCCGGTATCCCCGCCTCCCCCTTGTCCTGCCTCGTCAGGTGTGTCTCACGCTACCCCTCTACCCTCGGTCACGCGCCAGGTAGCGCCTCCCTCCCCGCTGTCCTCCTCACAATCCCCTTAGCAACCTTTGGCACTTCCGCGACAGGTTACTGTGGACTCCGGGGGTGTTGGAGCTGGAGGTACTGGCGCTGGAGGTGCTAGGCTGTTTTCTCCTCCGGACTCGGCTCTGGCTGTTTTCTCCTTGTCAACGGGAGTTGTTGTTGGCCCCGTCCTCGCTTGGGCGAAGCCGAACTTGGGGTCAGGTGTGAGGAGTGCAGCCGACCTGCAACTGGGCGAGCTGGTCGACGGGCCTAGTCGACCTGCACAAGGGCCACTGCAAGGGCGCCAACTTTGGGAGGGCGCCAACTTCGGCTGGTCGACTTGGGAGGTCGACCAGTGGAGGGCGTCGACTTGGGTGACGCCGACCAGGGGAAGCCGACTGGGTGTGGTCGGCTGACAGGTGGGTTGTCGACCTGGAGTTGGTCGACCAGGGGAGTGGTCGACCTGGTAAGGTTGACATGTGGTGGTCGTCGACATGGGCGGTCGACGGGCCTGGGATGACACACCTGGTCGACATGGTTGCCTGGTTGACCAGGTTACCCGGACGACGAGGTCTGCGAGGTTCGCGACTGACGCCCAGGTAGATTGGCAATGTCGACCTGCGGTTCGGTGGCACGTGGTCAACAGGACTCCTCAGGTGCAACCGTCGACATGTGGTCGACTTGGCACCTGCGCAATGTGCGTGGCGGTGCATGTCGTTACCGTCACCTTGCACTTGCGAAGTAGGTGCGCGCACATGAGCACGTGTGGTGACCTGTGGTGGCCTGTTGTTGGTGTGCTGGCACACCAGCCTTGCAGGTCGACTGAGGACGCCTGAGGATGCCTGAGGTCGCCAGCAGGCAAGTCGCCTTCGTACTGAGCTGGTGGTCGACTTGTATGCTAGGCTTTTGATGTAGTCTACCTTGCCAATTTAGTTGCTACCATTGTTCTCAACTTTTGCTAGTAAAACTCTTGCAGTTTTGCCCTATGAACGCACAAGTGCTAGAGAACGACTAAGTGAATGAATGCAGATATCCCTCCTACCCCGTGCCTAGCCCGTAGTCTAGCTCCCGTTGATAGAGTTATCTCCACATGGTGCGGTGAGCGTGGAAGGCACACGACTTACCCCTTCAGTCAGGTCGACGTAGTGGTCACTTACCTAATTCGTGTTTGTAAGCCGGCAGCAGTGCGGGAGGCATGTCGAGGCAGCGATGTGTGATACACGCCGATGAGGTCGGCGGTGTTCAGGCGCAAGGGATGCGGTCGTCGGCGGCTGCAGGCTCCTCAGAAGGCGACGTCGGAGGTCGACGAAGCAGTTTGTCGCCGATGTCGGCGACCCACGTGACAGAGGGCGGGATTGCACCGAGCTACGGCTACTTCAAGTTTACGCCGGAAAGGATCTCGGTCACACCCCTGCTTGTTGGTCGACGTGATATCCTCACCTGGAAGGAAGCCATCGAGCCCCAGCTGGAGATGGCCGGGCTGATCGGCTTCGCTAGGGGCACTGTGGCAACGCCGGAGGAACACTACCCCAACTTGCGTGCGGAGTTTCGCGCCGTGCAGTTGCTGACCTTCACAGTCATCTCGCGGTGCTGCTCGCCGGGCGTTCAGATCACCTTGAAGTCGTGCAGGGAGTTCCTCGACGCCGGCCACCAGGCATGGCACTTCATCGAGTCGACGTACCAGGTCACCGACGACCTGTAATTTGGCCAACTTGAGGAGCAGTTGTCGCACATACGGATGGGCGAAGAGGAGACGGCGACTGACTACTGCAACCGGGCTCGGCGAATTCTCGCCACCATGAAGATGGCCGGCGTGCACTACTCGACGGCGTCGTACCTTACACACGTTATCAAAGGGCTCACGGGCAGCTACAACCTGTTGAAACGACTATCGTTGGCGCCGAGTACTAGGGCGACACTCAACGAGGATTCTCTTTCCTCGTACATCCTGCAAGATGAGGCGATGCAGGAAGCTGAGCGGCCCTTGGAGCTCCTTGCACAGGTGAACTACGTTGCCCTGGTGAAGCAAGGTGGTCGACCGGGGCAGCGCGGGCAGTCTGGCGGCGGTGGTAGCAGTGGCTGGAAGCCGACCAAGGACGCTGACAAGAAGAAGTCGGCCAAGGATATCAGTCGTGGAGGAGGAAGTCGACGTCGGGAGTGCTGGCTGTGCAGCGACCCCGACCACCTCTCCTTCGAGTGCCCCGACCGCAGTCACTCCGACAACGACGACGCCAAGGGAGGCTGCGGGAGGTCTGGCAGCTGTTGTCCCCGTCGAGGCAGAAACCAGCAGTGCAAGGAGAAGCAGTCGACCAAGTCGTCGACCTCGGCGAAGGACGCCGACTCCTCTGCTGGCGGCAAAGGGCGAGACGACAAGGAGGTGTCGTGCTCGCTAGTCGGCGTCGTGGAGCCGACCGTCTCGCTGGCGCCGAAGGCCGGCGAGGACTTCCAGGCGATGGCGGCAGCCGTGCAGGCAAACCCGGCGGTAGTTCTGCTCGATAGTGGTTGTTCCCACAACTTGATTGGGACGAAGGAGGTCTTCATCGACCTACAGCCGAGCGGCGACATCAAGCACGTGCGCGGATTTAATGGGGCGCTGCAGGACGTCAAGGGCCGCGGCACTATCGCTCTGCAAGGGGAGGCCGGGAGGCAGGTGCTCATCCCCGATGTGCTCTATGTCCCGGGCGTGCGAGCGAACCTGCTTTCGGCCGGTCAGTTGAAGGAGAACGGCGTGAAGCTGCAGGAGGACGGCAACGGGATATTGCTCGTCTTGGCGGCGGGAGACATCCTCGATCGGGCGTCCTACACCAGGCGAGTCCTCTGCACCGACCTGCGTCCTTGCTCAGCGAAGTCGACAACGCCCACGACGGAGGTCGTGGCCCTGCGGGCGATCGTCTTGGTGACGAAGTTGACGCCGGACAGGCTGCATGCAAGGCTTGCACACGTCGGCATGAACACCATCCGGAGCTCGGCAAAGCACGAGGTCGCCACTGGGCTGGACCTCAAGTCGGCGTCGGGCGCCAACTTGCCGTGTGTCTCGTGCGTCGGCGGGAAGCTGGCGCGGCACACCTTCCCCGACCAGGGCTCCAACGCCAACGACGTGCTGGCCGTCGTGCTCGTCGACTTGTGCGGGCCATTCCGGGTGGCTGCCAAGGATGGCAGCATGTACTTCTTGCTGCTGAAGGACCGCAAGACCCGCTATGTGTGGATGAGGCCGGTCGCCAAGAAGTCGGATGCGGTGCAGGAGTTTGTGCGGTGGCTGGCGGTGACTGAGCGGCAGACGAAGAAGCCGGTGTTGATGCTGCGCTCTGACCGGGGAGGGGAGTTCCTCGGAAAGCAGTTCACCGACTTCGTGAACGGCAAGGGGATTTTCCACGACCCGACATGCCCCTACACCCCACAGCAGAACGGCATGGCGGAGCGCGAGATGAGGACGGTGGTGGAGTCGGTGCGAACGATGCTGCTGCACATAGGCGTGCAACACCACTGGTGGCACCTTGCTATGTGGCAGGCCGCCTGGGTCCGCAACTTCCTGGAGCGGTCGACGCTGCAGCCGGGGATGACGCCATACCAGCTGCTGACCGGGAAGAAGCCCGACTTGTCGCTGGCACGGGTATGGGGCTGCATGGCGTAGTTCTTGGTCCCCGAGCAGCAGTGTGGTGGAAAGCTGAAGCCGAAGGCCAGGTGGGGCCTTCACCTCGGCGTGTCGGAGGAGAGCAAGGGCTGGGAGCTCCTCGACATCGCCGACAACCGGGTAGTCACCACGTTGGACGTGGTGTTCTACGAGAACATGTCGTTAGAGGTGTGGAAGTCGGAGCACGGGCCGGCGTCGGGCCGGACGCCGACCACCCCGCCGACTAACACCTCGACGGCTACACTCCCTCTGCTCGCCGAGGTCGATGAGCCTGCTGCTGAGGACGTCGAGGATGTCCCCTTTCCCTCCCCCTCTCCTGCCCCCTGTGCCCCTCCCCTTGTGGCCGACCTGCATGGGCTGAATTCAGTGTCGGCCTCCGGCGATTGGGGGAGAAGTGGGACGTCGCCTTTGGCGCCGGCTAAGAGCATCGCTGGTGGCCAATGTGACGAGCAGAAAGTCGACGTGAGAGTGAAGTCGACGTTGATAGGGGAAGAGCAGGCCGAGGAGGTGCAGCCGACTTTGGAGAGGTCGGTGAAGAAGGCACCAGCAGGGCAGCAGCCGACAGGGGAGCAGGCAGCAGTGAAGCCGACCAAGAATCAGTCCGCAATCAGGCAGTCGGTAGAGGAGATGACGGCAGGAAAGCCGGCTGAGGTGCAGCAGGACGATGAGGGCAGTGAAGCTGGTGACGATGGAGGGGACGCTGAGGAGTCCACCGACAGTGACGTGGTGGAGGTCCAGCGTGGACCACGGCAGTCAGGCCGAATTCGGAGGCTGCCCGACTTCTACGTACCGGCTGCCTTCACCACGGCGTACGACGAGGTCGATGTCGACTTGCAGTACGACGACACCGAGGAGGACGAAGACTTTCCGGAGCTTGACCCCGACATGTGTGCCGACCCTGAGCACCGCTGGGACATCTCGACGATGACGGTGAAGGAGGCGTTGGTGAGCTGGAAGGGCAAGGCGGTGAAGGCCGCCATGGAGGAGGAGATCCGCAGCCTCGTCGGCATGGGGACGTGGGAGCTGGTCGAACGCCCGCCGGGAGTGAACATCATGAAGAACCGGTGGGTGATGACGACGAAGTACCACATCGACGACACCGTCGAGCGCGAGAAGGCAAGGCTGGTCGTGAAGGGCTTCAAGCAGGTGTATGGCGCCGACTACGACGAGACGTATGCGCCGTTGAGCAGCAACGTCACGCTGAGGATCTTCCTCAGCATCGTCGCCATTCTCGACCTCAACCTGATGCAGCTCGACATGAAGAATGCCTTCCTGCAGAGCTAGCTCGATTGGGTGCTGTACATGTACCAGCCGGACTACTTCAACGACGGGACCGGCCGGGTGTGCAAGCTGTTGAGGAGCCTCTACGGCCTGAAGTAGTCGCCGTTGTTGTGGTACAGGGCTCTCGACGGTGTGCTGATGGGCGCTGGCTGGAAGAAGAGCCAGGTCGACACGGCGCTCTACTTCAAAGTCGGCGACGGCAAGGTGACCTGCTGGGTGCTGGTCTACATCGACGACCTGCTCCCTGCCAATATCAGTGCAGCGATGCTGAAGGAGCTGAAGGAGCTGAAGGAGCTGCTAAAGGCCGCCTTCGAGCTGCGGGAGATCTCGCCGGTGCAGAAGTACCTCGGGCTGGAGATCATGCGCGACAGGTCGGTGAGGAAGCTGTGGCTGCATCAGCAGGGCTACGCCGACAAGCTGCGTAGGCGGTTCCTCGATGAGGAGCAGAATGGGCGCACCTCGAAGACGCCGGTCTTGGTCAACGCCTATGCCACACTCACCTTCGATGACGAGGAGGCGCAGGTGCGCCAAGAGGAGGAGTACTGGCAGAAGGTCGGCTCGCTGCAGTTCGCGGCGACGACGATGAGGCCGGACATCGCCTTTGCCTGCAACAAGCTGGGGAGCGGTCTCACTGTGAGGAGCGACCAGCATTGGCGCGAGGTCGACCGCTGCCTCGCCTACCTTGCCAACACCCGTGACACCGCCCTGGAGTTCGGCGGTGGAGCAGAGTCGCTGAAGCTGGTCAGCTACGTGGACGCCGACGACGCCGGCGACAAGCAGAACCGGACGAGCACGGGCGGCTACGTGTTTGTCTTTGGAGGGGCCGCCGTCTCTTGGTCGAGCCAGCGCATCAAGTGCGCAACGCTGTCGTCGACCGAGTCGGAGTACGTGGCGGCAACCGAAGCCGGCAAGGAGGGACGTCGCCTTCGGTTCCTCATTGCAAAATTCCGGCAGCTGGACGCCAGGACGCCGACTGTCCTTCGGGTGGACAACAAGTCGGCCATCACAGTCGCCGAGGGCATGGGGTTGACGGGCAACCTCAAGCACATGGAGTGACAACAAGCCTGGCTGCAGCACATGGTGAAGCGCGGGAAGTTTTCACTGAGGTACATCCCGATCGCAGAGCAGCCAGACGACTTCCTGACGAAGGCGCTGCACTATCTGGCCTTCAACCGTTGCTCCGTTGCAATCGGTCAGGTGCGCCTAGTCGACGTGGGCGACGGTGACAACTACGTGCAGCAGTAGGTGCCATGCCCTCTTGCATGGCTGGTGCAGTGACCGGCGTGCTGTGTGTTGGGTGCACGCCGACGAGCTATTCTCCAAGTAGTGCTGCCGTCTAGGCTGGGGGGGCCAAGCGTGAACACGGCAGGGGAGTGTCAACAGGAGTTGTTGTTGGCCCCGTCCTCGCTTGGGCGGAGCCGACCTCGGGGTCGGGTGTGAGGAGTGCAGCCGACCTGCAACAGTGGGCGAGCTGGTCGACGGGCCTGGTCGACCTGCACAAGGGCCACTGCAAGGGCGCCAACTTTGGGAGGGCGCCAACTTCGGCTGGTCAACTTGGGAGGTCGACCAGTGGAGGGCGTCGACTTGGGTGACGCCGACCAGGGGAAGCCGACTGGGTGTGGTCGGCTGACAGGTGGGTTGTCAACCTGGAGTTGGTCGACCAGGGGAGTGGTCGACCTGGTGAGGTCGACATGTGGTGGTCGTCGACATGGGCGGTCGATGGGCCTAGGATGACACACCTGGTCGACATGGTTGCCTGGTTGACCAGGTTACCCGGACGACGAGGTCTGCGAGGTTCGCGACTGTCGCCCAGGTAGATTGGCAATGTCGACCTGCGGTTCGGTGGCACGTGGTCAACAGGACTCCTCAGGTGCAACCGTCGACATGTGGTCGACATGGCACCTGCGTAATGTGTGTGGCGGTACATGTCGTTACCGTCACCTTGCACCTGCGAAGTAAGTGCGCGCACATGAGCACGTGTGGTGACCTGTGGTGGCCTGTTGTTGGTGTGCTGGCACGCCAGCCTTGCAAATCGACTGAGGACGCTTGAGGACGCCTGAGGTCGACCAGCTGGCAAGTTGCCTTCGTGCTGAGCTGGTGGTCGACTTGTATGCTAGGCTTTTGATGTAGTCTACCTTGCCAATCTAGTTGCTACCATTGTTCTCAACTTTTGCTAGTAAAACTCTTGCGGTTTTGCCCTGTGAACGGACAAGTGCTAGAGAACGACTAATTGAACGAATGCAGAGATCCCTCCTACCCCGTAGTCTAGCTCCTGTTGATAGAGTTATCCCCGCACTCCTATGTTTCCTCCTCCGGACTCAGCTCCGGCTGTTTTCTCTCCTCCTCAGTCACAGTCGCCTCCTCCTGTTCTCCCGCACGACTGGACCACTCGTTGTCCTCCGCGTGCTCGTCCCTCATCTCCTTTTGACGACATCAGCACTGTCTTGTTTCGTTCTAGTCCTCGTCGTGCTTCGCCTGTGTCTGTTCTCCCGACACCTCCAGCCTCGTCTCTCACTGTCTCCTCTCACCCTATCACTGACTACTACCTTGATGTTCGTCCTGTTGTCTCACGTGTTCTCGCCTCTCTTGTCACCGACCCTCGTGCCTCTCCGTCGTCTGTCTCGGCTCTTACTGCCGCTGTCATTGACTTTGCTTCCACCCGCCGCCTTGAATTCACCACACGTGTAGTGGCTGCTGGCTGCTCCGCTTGCCCGTCCTTTGTCCCCCGGGGGTGAGTTTGCCCTTGGCTGTGACGTCCTAGAGTACAAGCAGTTTGAGCTGGAGTTCCTGGCAGCCGCTTCTCCTTCTCTCTGTGCCATGATGCTTTCCCCTGAGGGAGACCCCGACGCCCTTGACATTCCGACTCCTCGCACGTACCGTGAGGCAGTGTCAGGGCAGTGGGCCTCTCAGTGGAAAGCGGCCATGGACTCAGAGATGGCGTCTTGGAGATCCACAGACACCTACATCGACGCAGTTCCCTCTCCCTGGGCGAACGTAGTCGACGGCATGTGGATCTTCAAGGTGAAGCGACCGCCTGGATCGCCGTCTGTCTTCAAGGTGTGCTATGTGGCTAAAGGTTTCAGTCAGCGTGAGGGAGTTGACTTCTTCCAGACCTTCGCCCTGACCCCGAAGATGACGACTCTTTGGGTACTACTTCACGTTGCAGCACAGCTAGACTACAAGCTGCACTCCCTTGACTTCTCCACTGCCTTTCTCAAGGGCAGCCTGCACGAGGAGATCTGGTTGCGTTGTCCTCCTGGCTTCACTGGCACTTTCCCGCCTGGGACCCAGTGGAGCCTGAGACGACCAGTCTCTGCAAGAATCCGCAACTTCGCTTGGAGTGCTTCGCTAATTAGAGACACAGTCAAACATGTTGGAAACATATAATTCACGCTTCTGATGTGTCGAGCACTATAGCAAGAATGAAGCAGATCCACAGCGAAGCAACACCGAGTCAACCAAGCTACAGCAAAGCGGTTGACAAAAGCGACTACAGCAGGAGGTTGAAGCGAAGGTCAAAGGTCAGCAACCTTTGACTTGACGAAGCAGCACGACAGCAAGGACAAATAACTGACTTGCTATTGAGCAGTTACCAGAGTCATCGCTGTATCGAACCGCATTAGCAGTTACAATTGCAATTAGTGAAACCTTTCATATTCCCTGTAATAATATAAAAGCACTGTATCCCTATGCCATAATTAACTCATCTTGTTCTCACATACCCGTGCAAGGTGGTTCAACTAGTCTATTGGAGACGCTTCCGCCAATACATCATCATCATGAGCCTTAGTCATTGAAACGATCCAAAGGGCTTTCTCAGCCCAACAAAACAAAAGCGTCTTCAATGCATTTGCTAAACATTCAAACTCAAAAGGGCACTTGGTGCTTATCTTAAATGCAGATATAGAAAATATATATACAATGCACACACTCCACAATGCAGATGTGTCCAGACCAGATATTGCAATCCATCACAACTCGCACGCCTAGATACCGTATTCTCCCGGACTGAACACCCCCCCATAATTGTACACCCCCGGGTAGCTTGTGCGGGGTGGGTGTTATGGGGAGCCTCGTTTTTACTATACCCCCCTTTTTGCCTGATTCTCTATAAGACCCGGGGGGGGGGTGTTTGACAAGGCAAAAATACTGAATTTGCTTACTGTACATTGCATACAGGGTACTTTACAGGTACCGGTACTACAGAAGTAATGTGCCAGCACATAGGCATCGACAATGTCACCTAGACTGCAGAAACATCACCACAAGAGCACCTCACATCCACAATTTCACCTAAAAAAACTCTATACAAAGTGCCTTCTACTCAGAATCGTCTCCTGCATGCCATTCTTCACAGTCTTCCCCGTCAAAGCGGACAGGGCGCCACCATTCGTCATCGCTGGGCTCTTCTGCCTCCCCGCCTTCCTCAAGCACGCCCCCCTCCTCCTCTGCCGCCGCCGCTTCCGCGTCCTCCTCAGCGTCGTCAGCCTCCTCTGCCGCCGCCTGCAGCACCTCGGCCGGCATGGGGACTTCGGCGTAGAAGGGGTTGACGACGAGCTCGTCGTCAACCAGGTCGTTGACGTCGTCAAGGACTTCCACCTCACCCTTGTCCCGCATGTGGGCAAGGATGAGGTGGTCCTCGCTGCCATCGATGGGGGTGGAGATCCCACACGTGACGAACGCCTTCTTCACGAGCTCCTCTGGGATTGCTTCCCAGGACTCATCGATCCAGCGGAGCACCAACTCCGCTGGCGGCTTCTTGAGATTGCCTGAGGGACGGGGAAGGGTAGACAAGGACGAATGTGAATTTCCAGAGCGTAAGCTGACATTGATTAAAAGTCACGCATGCGAATGTCATGGTTCAACTCACCGCCCTTGGTGGTGGTGTTGATTCCTTCTTCTTCGAACCAGCTGCTGTAGCGATGACGCACACCGCACTTGAACGCGCGGTTTATCGACACATCCAGAGGCTGCACTAGCGGGGTGCAGCCCCCTGGGATGACAGCCCGTGACAGCCGAAACATCCGCATGGTCTGCCCGACCGCCTCAGTCAAGTGGCCGCGGTAGGAGTCGAGCACAACCAAGGCCTCCCTGCGGCGTCCAGTTGATTCACGCAAGGGCTTCAGAAACGGCACCATCACCTGGGTGATCCAGTCCTGCACAAGTGATTCGTCCATCCACCCTTTGTCTTGTGCACGGACCACCACACCTGCCAAAGAATACCGGTACGTCAGGGTCAAATTCGGTTGCGACTGTTGACAGGCTAGAGTAGTGACATCATCCTAAACGTGCTACGCTTACCGGCAGGGATGGGCACCTTCGGTATGGTCTTGCGCTTGAACACCACGTACGGCGGCAGCTTGAGCCCGCTCGCAGTTACTGCCAGCATGACAGTAACACGCTCCTTCTCATAGCCCGCACTCCGTACGTGAACCGTCCGCGCTCCCTTCATTTCGAGCGTGCGCTCCGCCGGCATCTCCAGGAAAAGCGGGGTTTGGTCCGCGTTCAAGATGAGGTCAAGCGGGTAGTCGTGCAGAGAGCGCATCTGGCGCACAAACTCCCAGAAGGACTCCACCTTGGCCTTGCAATCTGCAAGCAAAGCCACGAGACACATTAGCTCAGCACTGAGATGGCAATCAAGGAGCACGACGGCGCAACACTTACCCGCTGCCAACTTCTGTCCCATCTTCGTCTTCACCCGCCTTGCCAGATGCCAGCGCGCGCGGAAACGAGTCGCCCAGCGGAACGATGCGCGCCAGTTGACCCCGGGCATCCGGTGCTTCATGTACTTGGCGCTCCACTTCTGGAGCATGCTGGCCGAAACGGCGAGCCCCCTCCCCCTGTGCTTGAGGAACTGGCGGTAGACCGCCCGTTCCATGAAAGGGAACTTGGACTTGCGGCCAGCTCCCATGAGGCGACGACGGCAGCTGGAAGAGACCTCCAGCCGCTCCCTCATCTTCTTCCAATCGCGGATCTGGCATGGCTGCACCTTCGCGAGCTTCGCCAGGGCGCGATTCGACAGGTCGGGCTGCGAGTCCTGCATCTTCAACCAGTGGAGCTTCTCCTTCGCGGTGATTCCCTTGCGCTGGCGTTTCGTCATGCGATGGCGAGGGGATGGCGGGTCAGCATCGGCGTTGCGCTTCTGCTGTCCCTGCGGGCGGTTCCGCTCCGGGAACGTGGGGACAACCACTCGAGGAAGGGTAGGGCGAGGACGGTCCAAGCTACTGCTCGGTTCATCCCTGGTAGAAGCACTACCGGGAGCATCCGGCTGAGGAAAGATCGGGCGAGGAGACGTCCGTGCGCGTGCATAAGCGCTAGTCTGATTGGTGGAAACAGGCCGCTGCCGCCTATCTACCGTACTGCTAGAATCTGGAGATGAAGCCATGCTTGGGAACTAAGGCAGGTCGATGTCACTCGCCATGGGAGAAATGACTTTAAAGACGATACCCTCGTGCACAGGAAGGAGACGCTCTCACAGCCTGCCGAGCACTTGTCAAAGACGTGCACTGGAACCGCTTGACGAAGAGAAGAGCAAGCTTGGGTGAGGAAGCTTGGACATGACTACCGTACACGGCAGTCAAGGGGTCACAGGTACAGTGACAACACAGCACCGTGCGCGATTCCGGCCTCGTACTGCATGAACCGAAGCTGCGCGAGGTTGGCATTGATGTCAACCAATCAGGTGGCACAGTGGGCCCACTGGAATTTGCCATGTGGCAGGTTCCAATGGAGGCCGACGTTATCCTCGTAGACGCGGTTTGGCGGCCCTGATTTTAAAAATAATAAGGCCAGACCCCTGTTTTTGTTTCCATTCATTTCTGCTTATAAAAAAATGTGCAATATAATAAGACCCGAGTATTATGTATTTTTTTCCTATGAGGAGACCCCCCCCATTTTTTCCCTGTATTTTTAGCTATACCCTAGGGTGTTATGTCCGGGAGAATACGGTAGCAGCATCAGACATGTTTATTTTCCATTTTACACGGTTAAAACTGCAAGAAAATGTCAAACATATCGCAGGCATAGCATAGCATGTAAACAGAGCATCAATTGCGAGTTAGACAACTACCCCCATATAATCCTTCTGTTCTCCATTCCAGCTGACACATCCAGTTCGTGTAAACCTATTCCTCTGAACGGCACTGTCTCTCACGCTCGGCTACCACCTCTCTCTCCACCTGCTGGCTCAAATCACCGCACCACTCACCTCCTTTCATCCCCACCAACCCCTGCCTCTTCAACTGAAGCCCCTCCTTCCCTGGTTGATCCCTTATAGGCTGATCCTGTAAGAGCAACAACTGGCGAAGCTGTTCCAGCTGTGCCAGCTCATCCTCCTCGCTCCTTCCTGCAGCCTCTCCTTGCAATGGCCGCCCTGGCAGAGCCCCAACCTGCTGCTGCTGCCTCATGACAGGCCGAGAACTCAGAGGTTGCTGCGACTGTTGCTGGCCGCCAAGGGCGAACCCGGTGGTCCATGGCTGTTGCTGCTGCTGCTGCTGCTGCTGCTGTGGAGTGACCACGGGAGCAGTGGCAGCAGGAGTTGAAACGGCAGACCCAACAAGCACCGGAGGCCTAACTGGGGAAGGCGTAACCAGAGGAGGGGCAACTAGTGACGGTGCAACTAGAGGAGGTTTAGCCAGAGACGGTATGAATGTGGATGGTGTAACTGCAGCAAGAGCAGAGGCAATAGCAGAGGCAAGAGGCCCAGAGGTGAGGTAAGGAACGGCATGAGAAGATTCAGGCAGGGTGACAGCAGGCACAGTCACAGCAGGCACAGTCACAGCAGGCACAGTCACAGCAGGCATAGTCACATCAGAAATAGTCTCAACGGCCATTGTTACATCAGGAACAGTCACACCAGGAATAGTCGCAGCTGGCATAGTCACATCAGGAATAGCCACTGCAGGCATCGCCTCAGCAGGCTTGGTGAGGCCAAGGAGGCGCGAGGCTGCAGGCAGCCAATCCAAAGCACTGAGACCATGCAACGTCCCCTCTCCTCCTCCCACTCCACCCACTCCTCCCATCCCTCCCACTCCTCTCACGGCTCCCTGGCCAACATTCAGTGGCACCAAACATGCTTCTGCTTGACTGCTACCCCCTTGCAGAGGCCCTGTCTTCCCCTGATGCTCGAACACCCCACCCATGCCTGGCTGTGCGTGCTGCTCTGCCAGTGCCAACAGCTGACTCAACAACTCCTCCTCCTCGTGCTGCTGCTGCTGTTGCTGCTGCTCATGCTGCTGCTGTTGCTGCTGCTGCTGCTGCTGTTGTTGTTGCTGCTGCTGCTGTTGCAGGTCAAGCTGCCGCCTATGTGGTAGCAACCATGACACATCATCCCCGCCAGTTCTCTCCATGAGCTCTGGACCTGCCCCTGCCCCTACACCTGCTGCTGACCATTCTAGCAAAGAATCCCCCTTTCCTGTCACCTCTCCTGAAATCTTTATTGGCTGCTGCTGCTGCCACCACTGTTGCTGCTGCTCTTGATTTGAAACTTTCTGCTGTTGCTGCTGCTGCTGCCACCACCGTTGCTGCTGCTGCTGCCACCACCGTTGCTGCTGCTCTTCTCGATTCAACACCTTCTGCTGTAGCTGCTGCTGCTGCGTCCCCCCCGCAAGACTCTCCTTCTCCTGCTCGCCTGCTGCTACAGGCGGGGAGGACACTGGCGGCCCAGCTGTAGTGCCAGATGTAACGCCATCTGGGAATACAGAAGAAGTAACCCACGCCGCCAACAATTCAGGTGGTATTGCTTCCAGCTGACTAGTGGGTGCAGGTGGGGCAAGATGGGACTGGTGCTGAGAAAAGGTGGCAACCGGCGATATGTTTACTGACGGTATGGTAACCGGTGGCTTGGTTACGAGTGGTACAGAAGTAGCAGGCAAGGGTGGAAGCGAGTGAGGAACAGAAGCAGGATGAGCAGGTGCGAAGGAGGATGCTGTAGTAACCGAACGAGGAGTTACAGGGCCAGCAGCGGCTGTTTCAGGGGGGCATGAGCTGAGGAAGAGAGACTGGAGGACCTCTGGGGAGAGGGTGGAGAGAAAGGGGTCCGTGGAGGAAGGGAGGCGTGGATGCTGTGGTGGGGATGGGTTGGAGTGGGTGGAGGTTCCCATGGCAGGGTGAATGGGCGGCAATGAGGGAGTGTGAGGAGACAGGGAGGTGGGAGTATGGGGAAGAGATGAAGGTATAATTCTGTAAAGCCTGCTGGTAACAGCCTTGGGTGGCCTGGGCTGAGCAAACCCTGACTGCTTATTCCCCTGCTGCAGGTGAAGATATTGCTGTTGCTGCTGTTGCTGCTGCTGTTGTGGCTGTTCTTCTTGCTGATGCTGCTGCCACCGCAGCTGCTGCTGCTCTTGCGTTTGCAGGCTCCGCAGTTGCTGGTGCTGCTGCAGGTGACGCTGCAGCAGCTGCAGCTGCTCTTGACGCTGCCGTTGCTGCATTGGCGGATCTATCAGCATCTGATCCTCTGGCCACACTCCTTGACCCATGGCACCAGATGCCCCCATGGCAGCAGGAAGGCTGTGTGGAGTCACAGCGGAGGCTCTGCTTCCAGAAAAAACGCTGGCGTCAGGAAAGGGCTGCTGCGGTTGCTGCTGTGGAGCGAAATCAAGCGACAGTTGCAGCGGTTGTGCCTGTGCTGCTGCTCGCTGTGGCTGCTGCTGCTGCTGCTGCTGCTGCTGCTGCTGCTGCTGCTGCTGAAACAGCTCCTCGAGTTGTTGCTGTTGGAGCCGTGGCTGCTTTGCCTGCTGCAGCAGCCACTGCTGCTGGCTGTGCAGGTTCTGCAGCAATAAAGGCTGCTCCTGAACGTGTAACTGCACGCCTTGTTGCTGCTCTTGTTGCTGCTCTTGTTGCTGCTGCTCTTCCTGCTCTTGCTGTTGCAGAAGCAGCTGTAGCTGCTGCTGTTGGCGCAGCTGTAGCTCAACCCTGGCTTGCGCCGCGGCCTCTTGCAAAAACTCGTCTTCTAGCTTGCGCTCTGGCCATTGCACATTGGAACAAGCACAGGGAGTAGCGAGAGCAAGAAGTGTGATGAGTGCAACAAGAGGAGAGAAACAATTGCAACAACTGCAATAAGTGGAACAAGTGTGCATCAGGCCACCAGAATGCATGCACACACGCAGGCAGGCACGCACTTCCCCCCCCCCCTCCTCACCCCCAGCACACACACACACACACACACACACACACACACACACACTCACACACACACACACACACACACACACACACACACACACACACACACACACACACACTCACACACATGCAGCCACCTCTGCGCAGCCACACCCACACATGCACATGAGTGGGCCAGTCTCACCCTTCCTGTGCAGATTCATGTGCCCTCCAAGCGCCCGAGGAGAATCAAATCCCTTGCCGCAGAATCGGCACTCATAGTCCATCACCTTGGGACTGCCGCCAAGCCACCCTCGCCTCCACAGCCCTCCAAAGCCTGGCACTCTGCTGGCAGGTAACGCAGGAAACTGCTGCTGCTGCTGCTGCTGCTGCTCCTGCTGCTGCTCCACCTGAAGCTGCTGCTCCTCTTGCTGCTGCAGCAGCTGCTGCTGAAGAGGTAGGTATAACGCCTGCTTCACCTGCTCCTTTGGGACTTCAGACTGTTGCTCCTGCTGCACCATCCGTTCCTCATCCTCGGCCAAACCTGTTCCTCCTTCAGCTCCTCCCAGCCCTTCACAGAAGCTCCAAACATGTGACGGCGCTGCTCCTGCTGCCGCTGCTCCTGCCAGCGCGTCTCCTGCAACTGCTGCTCCTGTTTGCACTACCCCTGCTCCCGACCCCCCTCTGTCGCCCCCGCCATTCCCTCCCACGAGAAGGGCTCGTCGCAAAGTGGCCCCAAGCGTTGACCAATCAGTCGCAGCCTCCCTCACCTCATCCTCGCTGGGAAGCAACCGTTGCTGCTTCTTGGGATTTCCACCTTTCCTGCGTCTAGTGCCACTTAGCCAAGAACTTCTCTTAAAACCATTAGGCCGAAGGTCTGTCCTCCCAGCCTCTGCCTCAAGCTGTTCTATGCTCATACCCCGTGCTCTCAATCCCTCCCCACCAACCATAAATCCGTCTTTCTTCTCCATACCTCCAGATTCCTTGCTTCCTACAACTTTTCCTCCTTCTTTTCCTCCCCCTCTCCCTCCTCCTCCTCTCCCTCCTCCTCGCTCTCCTCCTCTCCCTCTTCCACTTCCTCCTCCTTCCTCATGCTCTCCCTCCCTCGTTTCTGGAAGCTTCTTAAACTCCTCATGCGGTTGTAGCTGTGGGTTTTGACGCGCCCTCCTGCTACGGCTACTGGTTAAGCTACGAGCCAGGTTACTCTCCGCAGTACACTCCAGGGACGCATAGGGCGCTACAGCCATAGGGCAGTGTGCTTGTAACGGGGATACATGTTCATCTAGTACAGCCAGCAGCCCTGGCGATGACAAGGCTTTAGCAGCAAAGTGAAAGGCTTCCGGAACAGAAAATAGCCCAGTTGAAGAAGGCAGATGTGCTTCTGAGAGAGAAGGCCTTGTCACAAGAGCAGAAAGACCAGCAACAAGAGAAGGGTCTTGGATTGGTACGCCAGCCGCAAAGGCAGGAGGGAGAGCAGGGGGTGAAGAATACGCTGCAGAATCCGCGCGCTCTTCTGTGAGATCCATGCTGCAAAACCCCCACCAATAGCGAGACGTGTGGCTGCGGTTCGGTTTTGCAAGGCCTCACAAAATACGCCTCCCTTCACACAGAATTCGTGTCAATCAGTTGTTTCTTCAACTTTTTGCTGGGGCGAATCTCTTGATCCAACTTTCACGGAAACAAATGATATCCAGCTCCAGTTCCTGAAGTCACGGTCTTTCAATGTCCTCTTGAACTGCAACAAGAAGAAAAATAGGTTCCTGAGTTCAGCGTGCGAGCTGGTACTCAAACAAAAGTGGCCAGTTGAAAGAGAAAAGTGGTGGCGACGAGGACTCGCAAAGCCAAGTCGGAATTTGCTTCCAAAAGTCTGGGAAGGGAAACACGAACCTCGGTTCTAGCGTCTCGCCGTCTGATCAACTAAGCCGTTCACTGAAGAGAACAACTTGCTTGTTCCACAGCTTGCGTCTTCGAGAGGGTTTCCGGCTGGCATGGCTACGAGCAAGAAGCAGCTGATGCCTGGAGTTGGAAAGCAAACCATTGAAACTCTTTGGACGAGAATCTTATCCGGATTGACGATTGTAAAGTCGGAATATTGCAGGAGTCGCAAGGATCGAGCCGAATGGCGACTCGCGATTCTTGGTCGGCGCTTGATGGATGGCTGCACAAGATGGCCCGGATCGCAGAAACGTTTCCCAAAACATCATCACGTGGAGATTACATGTATGGGTTCTCCAGGCAGTTACCGGTGGAGGGCCGAAGCGTGACTGGAATGTTTGGGACAGCAGAACTTCCGTCATTGCTTCGGCCACGGGAAAACGGATCTTAGATTTTTCTGCAATTGCAGGAAGCTGGTGAATTAGTTAACGACAAGGCATTCGGAATGACATGCACCTTCTGGACAAACCCAACGCATTCTTGGTGGGCGGGAGTCGTGGGGACACTGACATGCACGACTTTCCCAACCGATTGCAACGGCAGTGGCTGCCATTAGGATTCTCGAACACGACGAACGCGTCGCCTGACTGTAAGGTCACGCGACCAGTCGTGTGCTCGAAGCGACCTTCATCCAAACTCGATGCTCGAAACCTCACGTGCCTGTCTGCATGTGGTCAGTCGACGAAAGTTCTCGGGAAATATCGCTAACACCGCCATGTCAATGCCGTCAGACGCCCCACGCAAAGCCGCAAGCCGTGCCAGTGAGCTCCTCAATGAGCCGAGGAGCCATTGTGACGTCAGCGAGGCTTCTGGGGAGCGACACGAAGAACTCTAGGTAGCGCGGAGAAGATACTGACGAACTCGATGGCTGAAGTTTGTCAGGACTTACGAGGGGAGTGGAAGGATGTCAGTCATGCACCTGCGAAGTTTGAACGACGAGGTGCATGTACAGTATTGTGTTTCAACCAAATGACAAAAGTATGAAATGAATGGTGCACTTTGGCATGGTAATGGTCCTGTTATGGATGTTATAATTGAGATGTGAGAAGGGGGTTAGCTAGCATAGAATATTACCTTCTATCGTGAAGCAGGCTTTGCACTGAAGGCCTCGTTATTGTGTCGAGATCTCATCCTGAATTTAGGGTATATAGGCTGAAAACTGTACTGCAAATTTGGGTCTGCACAAAAACAACATTGGCAATTGGATCCCGCGTTGAATGAAAAGGTTAGCACAACCATCAACCTTTCTCACTGCAACAGCATTGCATTGCATTCCCATGGATGCAAAATACAGGACCATGCACTGTACATAACTCAATTAATTGGGATCTGAGAATGCATTGCTACACCCACGACCAAAGGCAAAAGCAGAAGCAGAAACAGGGCTGGCAGCAGCAGCAGCAGCGATACCAGCAGCAGCGGCAGAAGAAGCGACAAGTGCAAGACTAGAGGGATCCATAGGGATTGTCACGGAACCCAACGCAACAGCAGAGGAAGGAGCGGCATCGAGAACAGCAGAAGCTGAAGCAGTACCATTACCAGTCGCAGTAGCAGTAGCAGTAGCAGTGGCAGTGGCTACGTGGGAAGGGGTTGGCATGAGGTGTGCCGGCTGGGTCTCAGATGAGGGCCGGAGAATCGCCACTTCCTTGCGCAGATCCTGTGATACGGAAGGGAGACCGAGAATGGGTAGGGAGGGGAGAATGGGTAGGCGTACACGCGTTGTGTGCCGAAAGATTTGCCCATTCCTTGCGGAGAGGAGAGTCGCCACTTCCTTGCGCAGATCCTGTGATGCGGAAGGGAGAGAGGAGGAGAATTGGCAGGTGTTGGCATGGCAGGTGTTGGCATGTCGTGTGCCGGCTGGGCCTCAGATGAGGGGCGAAGCATCGCTATTTCCTTGCGCAGATTCTGTGATGGGGAAAGTGGAAGGGCGAGAGGGGAAGAAGGATGGAGAGAACTGACAGGTGTTGGGATGGGTTGTGCTGGCTGGGTCTCAGATGAGGGCCAGAGCGTCGCCACTTCCTTGCGAAGGTCCTGTGATGGGGAAGGGAGAAAGGGGAAAACGGAATGGGTAGGGACGGGGAGAATGGGGGCAGGTGTTGGGATGGGGTGTGCTGGCTGCGTCTCAGATGAGGACTGGAGTGTCGCCACTTCCTTGCACGGATCCTGTGATGCTGAAGGGCGAGAGGGGAAAGGGGAGGGGGAGAATAGGCAGGTATTGGCATGGGGTTTCCAGGCTGGTTGGCAGACAAGACGAGGACCGGACGCTGCCACTGCCACTCCCTTGCGCAGGTCCTGTGATGGAATAAGGAGTGGGGGAGGGGAGATGGGGGGAAGAGTGCGAAACATAAGATTAGGAGCAGCAGAGTTATCAACAGTGTCAGCTGCAAGATTGGCAGGCGTTCACACAGGGCGTGATGGTTGGGTCATCTTAAGATGAGCGTTTGATGCATGTGTTGGCAGACTCGACTCGAGTGACAGACTTAAGAAGAGATCCATCAGGAGCCTCCAAAAACGCCTCCCCATGCTCACGACAGCCGGTCACAGACTGGTTCGCATTGGAGAGCCTTTTGATGAAGGCGATGGGAGACTCGACAAGGGAGCTATTCGGCACTCCCATGGTTATCCTCATGCCCACGTCACCCAATCACGCACCTGGTTCTCTCAGAAGAGGTGCTCGATGAAGGTAATGGGCGGCTGGAAAACAGAGGCAGGTTGAGGCGCCTCAAGTAGCGACAATCACAACCAACCTGGTGCATGAGAGAGCGCAGCAGCACGCACCTGGAACCCGAGGGACCAGCTTACTCACCTGGTTCTCCCGGGAGAGGCGTTTGATGAAGGAGATGGCGGACTCGAGAACAGAGGCAGCTTGAACCGCCTCAAGTATCGACTGTCCCACGCCACCCCTCGTGCCTAAGGAAGGAAGCATGTCATTGACACTTACATGGTGCACGAGGGAGCACTTCACACATTTGGTGCACGAGGGAGCACTTCACACATTTGGTGCACGAGGGAGCACTTCACACATTTGGTGCACGAGGGAGCACTTCACACATTTGGTGCACGAGGGAGCACTTCACACATTTGGTGCACGAGGGAGCACTTCACACATTTGGTGCACGAGGGAGCACTTCACACATTTGGTGCACGAGGGAGCACTTCACACATTTGGTGCACGAGGGAGCACTTCACACATTTGGTGCACGAGGGAGCACTTCACACATTTGGTGCACGAGGGAGCACTTCACACATTTGGTGCACGAGGGAGCACTTCACACATTTGGTGCACGAGGGAGCACTTCACACATTTGGTGCACGAGGGAGCACTTCACACATTTGGTGCACGAGGGAGCACTTCACACATTTGGTGCACGAGGGAGCACTTCACACATTTGGTGCACGAGGGAGCACTTCACACATTTGGTGCACGAGGGAGCACTTCACACATTTGGTGCACGAGGGAGCACTTCACACATTTGGTGCACGAGGGAGCACTTCACACATTTGGTGCACGAGGGAGCACTTCATACATTTGGTGCACGAGGGAGCACTTCACACATTTGGTGCACGAGGGAGCACTTCACACATTTGGTGCACGAGGGAGCACTTCACACATTTGGTGCACGAGGGAGCACTTCACACATTTGGTGCACGAGGGAGCACTTCACACATTTGGTGCACGAGGGAGCACTTCACACATTTGGTGCACGAGGGAGCACTTCACACATTTGGTGCACGAGGGAGCACTTCACACATTTGGTGCACGAGGGAGCACTTCACACATTTGGTGCACGAGGGAGCACTTCACACATTTGGTGCACGAGGGAGCACTTCACACATTTGGTGCACGAGGGAGCACTTCACACATTTGGTGCACGAGGGAGCACTTCATACATTTGGTGCACGAGGGAGCACTTCACACATTTGGTGCACGAGGGAGCACTTCACACATTTGGTGCACGAGGGAGCACTTCACACATTTGGTGCACGAGGGAGCACTTCACACATTTGGTGCACGAGGGAGCACTTCACACATTTGGTGCACGAGGGAGCACTTCACACATTTGGTGCACGAGGGAGCACTTCACACATTTGGTGCACGCACCTGGTTCTCCCGGGAGAGGCGTTTGATGAAGGAGATGGCGGACTCGAGAACAGAGGCCGCGTCGCTGCGAGCCCTCTGCGGCACCAGCTTCTCCAGTGCCCGGATGTGCCTCGTCAACCTCTCCCTCCGCTTCTGAAATGGGGGATAGATAGAAGAACGAGGGGTATGAGAGCATGAGCAGTGTTGTGGGGTCGCTGCGAGCCCTCTGCGGCACCAGCTTCTCCAACGCCCGGATGTGTCTCGTCAGCCGCTCCCTCCGCTTCTGAAATGGTGTGGAGGGGGAAGAAGCAACAAGGGGAACGAGAGTAGGGGCAGTGTTGTATGGTCGCTGCGAGCACTTTGAGGCACCACCTTCTGATAGCGTGTATGTGTGGGGGGACTGGGGGGGGGGGGGGTGGAGGGATGTTGCTGTGTGGTTGCTGCGAGCCCTCTGCGGCGCCGCCTTCTCCAGCACCCTCATGCGTCTCGTCAGCCACTCCCTCCGCTTTTGATAGGGTTCATGTGTGTGGGGGGGGGGATAGAAGAGGAGCGGGTGAAGGGGGAAGGTAGGAGAATCAATGAGGGGAAAGGGATGCAGACAGCAGTTCTGTGCCTTGATCGCCTCCGATAGGGTGTGTGGGGGGAGGAAGGGGAAAGGTATGCGTGTGTGTGTGTGTGTGTGTGTGTGTGAGAGAGAGAGAGAGAGAGAGAGAGAGAGAGAGAGAGAGAGAGAGAGAGAGAGAGAGAGAACGATCCAGACTCACACCCGACCCTCGCAAACTTTTCGCCACCGCCCTGCTGGTACCTCTGCTGCGGTTGGCGAACGATCCAGACTCACACTCTGCTTGGGTCGTCCTCTTGTTCCTCGCACGACTCACACTTCGCCAGCTGTCACCCAGGCGTCCAGATTGGAAGGCAGTCAGCGCACGACTTAGCAAATTCATGTGTGGGGACTGGGATGAGCTGTACAAGGACACCGTGGACTCACTGACCCGTCCCCAGCCACCCAGACACCAGCCGGATGACATTGGGGTCATCGCGAGAGCTGAGGGGCTAGCTCGACGTGGCAGCCTGCGACGGGCCGTCATGGCCTTAGAGGCCACGCCAGTTTGCACGCCATCGCCGGCTGTGCTGGAGGCACTACGCGCCAAGCACCCACCTGCGCCCGCCTCCCCACCTGACTGGATATTTCCCACACCAGACCCTCACCTCTCGGCGCCTTACGAGGTCTTCTCCAAGGTTTTGGGTCGGTGTGAGATGGGAGTAGGAGCTGGGCCATCAGGAACAACATTCGAACACCTGCGGGACGCATCTCTGATCAACGCTTCAGTGGGGAAGCACCTGCATGCGCTAGTCAACACCATACTCACTGGAAAATTACCTCTCGCAATAGCCGAACTCCTCACCGCCTCTCGCCTGATTGCCCTTACCAAACCAGGAGGGGGGACGAGGCCGATAGCCATCGGCGAAAGCATCACTCGCCTCGCTGCCAAAACAGCTCTTACCTTGACGGCGGGCGCCGCTCGAGATTTCTTCTTACCTCATCAATTCGGTGTAGCGGTTCCAGGGGGAGCAGAGGCGATCATCCACATCACGCGAACCTTTCTTACCGTCAACCCTGGAGCGCTCGTTCTGCAGGCCGACCTGGCGAACGCTTTCAATAGTGTTAACCGAGGGGCCATCGCGGAGTCGCTTCGAGGTTCGACGCTAGCTCCGCTACTGCCACTCGTGAAACTGTCATATGGCCACCCCTCTTCCCTATGCCTGGATGCCGGATTTTCGCACCCACCACTCTTGAGCGAAACCGGGGTGAGGCAGGGAGATCCCCTCGGCCCCTTGCTGTTTGCTGCCGCCATTCACCCCGCGTTGACAAGCACGGCACTTACCTTCCCGTCCGTGGTATGCCTGGCATACGCGGACGACGTCACTTTTCTTGGAGAAGCAGCGGCTTGTGCGGCGGCGTTTGGGCACTTCACAGGAAGCCTTGGGGAGATTGGGCTACAACACAACCCCGCTAAGTGTGCGGCATGGTCACAGGCAGGCCGTCAGTCAACACCCCTGCCGCAGGGCGTACCTTTCATTGATGACGGCGTGAAGGTGCTGGGCAGCTTCGTCGGCGGAAACGACGCAACTGCAGCGTTCCTACGCGACAGCCTTAACACAATGGGAGCCCCACTTCGCCTAATTGCGAGAATGGAGCCACAGCTGGCGTCTCTCCTGCTTACCAGATGCATCTCGCGGCGAGTCTCCTATGTCGCGCGCACCACTCCGCTCTCTCCCTTGCCAGTGGAGGAATGGTCGGACTGGGGCAAGGGATTGTTTGACACACTGTTGACGGCTTGCGGCATTCGACACCCACGGGGGGAGGCTGAGATAGCACGGACCTGGGCCCAAGCCTCACTCCCGATCTCACTTGGAGGCTTGGGTCTGACGGACCCGTCGGAGGAGGGTCGCGTAGGGTTCTTGGCGAGCTACACGCAGGCGCAGCATTTGCTCACCTCCATTGACGAGGCGGCGGTCGGCGCCTTGGCAGAAACACGGATCCAGATGGCGGGACCCTACCTCAACACGTCCCCGCTGTTTGACTGGTTGGAGAGGTGCGAGGAGATGTTGCCGGAGGACGGGAAGGAGCTGCTGCAGAGCGACCGCGCCGAACCCAAAGGCATCAAGCTGCAGCACGGGCTGGCAATCGCGGTCCACGGACGCCGCTACGCCGAGCAGGTCCAAACCACGCGCGACATGCCGCTCAACCCCCTTAGCGGGCACACGCAACGTATGCTCTCCCTCTCGGGGTATGGGGCAGGGGACTGGCTCAACGCGGTCCCCTTTAACAAGTCGCTGCGCCTGGCTCCAGATCACTTCGCCCACGCACTGCAGTTCCGAATGGGGCTTCCCTCCTCTGCACCTGGGGCTTGTGACTGCCGCAACAACACGGCAATCACAGACCGACGGCTGCCCAACCACCTTCTGCGCTGTGACACAGGGAAGGGGAGGACCAACACCCATAATGAGCTGCGGGATGAGTGCCTCCGGATGGCCAACGACGCGGACTTCATGACTCATGGAGAGACAACCGCATTCTGCCCCGTCACTAGGAAGAAGGCGGACATAGCAATCAGGGACAAGTCCTCGGGGGCGGTTTGGATTGGGGACGTGACAATCACGGACCCCATCAGCACCCGTGACCCCAACGCAGTCAAGGGCAGGGGGTGGGCAGCCCGTGAAGCGGCGGAGAAGAAGAACTCCGACTACGAAGGCTCAACGGCTTCGTGGGTCGGATTCTTCCCACTCGCCGTTGACACCTACGGCTGCCCTTGCGAGGAAGTGCCCCAATTCTTCAAGCTGTTAGCCGAGACCGCCGCCCGCAGGCTCTTCAACGCGGCCCCCTCATCCTACCAGGCTACGAAGCTGCTGCACCAGTTCCGCCAGAGGTGGTCCGTGGCGCTGCAGCGTGCTCAGTCGGTGAGCTTTATGGAGAAATGCAACTACGCGGCACAGGTGGAGAACCCACCTGCGGAGATGCCAGGCGAGGGCATGTCCCTTGGGGACTGCCTGGCCATCTTAGAGCCGGTGCTGGAGCTCCCTTAGACGGAGCAGAGGGGGAGGGGGGTGAGTGGGATGTGTGGGTTAGAAGATGATTTGTATGAGTAGCATCTCTATCCTTTGCATGTCTGTATTTGCTTGGATCTAATACACGGACCGCTTGAGAGAGAGAGAGAGAGAGAGAACCACAGCCTGGCGGGGGCAGCAGCAGCACTCACCCGTGCGTTCTGGCAGAAGTGGCTGACCGGCCCCTCCTTCCGTTTCGGCCCCGGCTTGCGGCTCGCACACCTGTCCATTGGCCCGCCCAACCCATTCCCCTCCATCCGCCCGCCCAATTCACTCCCATCCATTCGCCCATGGTTGTAACCATGCCCATCCAGCCTATCCTCCTCCTCCATGCCTTCACCCTCCATCCCCTCGCCATCGTCACCACCATCGCTCCCCCACCTTCCCTCGTCCCTGCCGCCCCCTGCCTGCCCCTCATCCCCCACCCCATCCAACGAATACAAGTCCAATCCAGAGCTGTTTCCCCTCAGTTCCCCCAAGCTGTCTCCTCTCTGAAACCCCTCCCATGCTTCACTCTTCCCCACTCCGCTTCGTCCTCTTTCCAGCCGCCTCGCAGCCCCGTCTCCAATTGATGCATTGCCAGCAGAGGCAGCAGCACCAGCCCACGCCCCTGCCGCTGCTCTGGCCCCTTCACCGCTGCTTGCTCCCTCTCCTCCCCCCGCACCTGCTCCTGTCCATGCCCCTAACCTTAACCGTGCATACCCTGCTCGTGCGTCCCCAACCCGTGCGTCCCCTTCCCGTGCTTCCCGTGCCACACCTCCCGCCTCCCCCTCCTCTTCCATGTCAGCCATGGCTTCTTTCATCTGCTCGATCTCCTTCAGCTGATCATTGCTCCACATGAAGCTACGAGCCAACCGCGACCCGCCGCCCAGCCCGCCGCCCAACCCGCCGCCGCCGCCGCCGCCCAGGCCCCCGCCACCCAGCCCACTCCCCCCGAGCCCACTTCCGGCCAACCCACTGCCGGCCAGCCCACCGCCGCCCATCCTGCTGCCGGCCAGCCTGCTGCCGCCCAATCCACTGCCAGTAAAGCCACTCGATGGGAGAAGCCCGCCAGCTCTACCAGAACGAGCTAAACCACCAGCAGAGGCACCAGCAGGAGCAGCAGCAGAGGCACCAGGACTAGCAGCACCTAGACTCGCAGCAAGAGCACCACCAAGAGCAGCAGCAGTGGCGGCAGCTGTAGCAGCGGCAGTAGCAACGGCAGTAGCAGCAGCTGTAGCAGCAGTACCCAGGCCGCTAGCCCCTACCCTGCTGCCTCCCCCTCCTCCTCTGACCTCCCCTTCTCTCACACCCACTCCCTCAACCCCGTTACCCCCTTGCTCACCCACCCCCATGTCCATGCCAATCCCCAATCCCACTCCTCCCCCCTTGAAAATCCCCATGCTGTTAGCTTCACACCCCATGCTCGCCCTCCGTTCCAGATTTCCACTCTCCAGACCTGGACTTCCCAAGCCAAAGTCCCCCGTTCCTGCACCTGCCGAGCCTGAGTTTCCCAAGCCTGATGGCCTGTGTCCGACAGGGCGGAGGCCAGCTTCGGCTTTATCGATAGCTCCGGTGGCAGCAGTGGCAGGGACGGCTGAAGGGATGTCGTCAAGAGAGAGGGAGACGGAGGGGAAGGAGAAGAGCGGCCGAGGAGGGGAGGTTGGCGTGTCGTCTACTCGTCTCCCACTGAAGAACCCACCAGGAGCAGCAAAAGTACCACCATAGAACGGGACACTGCCGTCGCCAGCAGCAACAGCACCAGCAGCAGCAGCATCACATTCGGGACCAGCAGTATCAGCCATGTTGCCAGGGCCACTGCTGCGTATCAAGCCCTTGGCCCTCTTCCCCTCTCTCTCTCCACCTTCCCCATCGACCTGCATGCTGCCGTATGCCCGCTTTACCCCACTCCCCACTCCCTCAGAGCCCCCCCCTTCTCCCCTCCCCACTCCAGTCTCTAGCCCTTCTACTATCCTGCCTTCCCTTACCCCTCTCTCCCCTCCTCCCTGCTCCCAAGGGCCACTCACACTGCCTAGTCTCTGGAGCGGGACTTCCCTTGTAAGCGAACCCCCTCTGTAAAGCGCAGCCTCCCCTGAAGGCAAACCTCCCCTCTCCCTCTGTAGAGAGATATCTCCAGTAACGGAGCCTCCCCTGTAGAGGGGTATTTCCCCTTGAAAACTCAAAGAGCCAATGCTCGGCCCAGCTCTCTGCAGTGCAGCAGCACGGGAAGCCATCCCAGCTGCCTCTAGATTCAAACGGTCTATGCTGGGCCCTGCCCTTTGCAACCCCGGCCTTTGCAACCCCCCACTTTCTACCCCCCTGGGACGATGGTCTCCCTGCGGAAAGGCAGGAGGGGGCGGAGGGATGGCAGAAGCAGCGCCCTGAAAATTGAGGCGGTCTATACTTGGGCCCGCCCGCTGCAACCCCCCCCGCATGCGGGCATCTCCTGGAGAAGACAGAGGAGGAGGAGGAGGAGGAGGAGGAGGAGGAGGAGGAGGAGGAGGAGGAGGAGGAGGAGGAGGAGGAGGAGGAGGAGGAGGAGGAGGAGGAGGAGGAGGAGGAGGCAGAGCAGAGGGGCTGTGTAGGTTCAGACAGTCTATGCTTGGTCCTGCTCTCTGCAGCCTGCTGAGTGGCTGCGACGGTGGGCTGTTGAGGGCAGGAGAGAATGGGGGGACGACTGGTGCCACTGAATTCGTACCAGCAGCAGCAGCAGCAGCAGCAGCAGCAGAAGGTGAGTGCGGACGGGCAGCTGGCGAAGCAGTAGCAGCAGCAGCAGTTTGTGACTGCTGCTGCTGCTGCTGCTGCTGCAGGGTGTGGTGCTGCTTCAATCGCAGCACTGCCTCCTGCTGTTCCTGTAGCAGCCCAGACAGCTGCGGTCGCAGCCGTACCCGCAGACTCTCCAGCACTTCCAACCCCCTCGCTCCTGCCTCACTCGCCCCTGCCCCAATCCCACCTCCCGCAATCCCCCCTGCTCCCGACCCACTCCCCCCTGTCCCTCCCCCACTCCCCCCTGCCCCGCCCCCACTTCCCCCTGTCCCTCCCCCGCTCCCACCCCCACCGCCACCGGACCCACTCCCCCCTGTTCCTCCCCCGCTCCCCACTACCCCTGCCCCTCCGCCACTCCCCACTGCCCCTCCCCCAATCCCCCCTGCCCCAGTCCCTGTCCCACTTCCCCCACTCCTACCTGCCCCAGTCCCACTCCCTCCACTCCCCCCTGTCCCTCCCCCACCCCCACTTCCCCCAGTGCCTCCCCCACTCCCCTCTGTCCCTCCCCCACTCCCTCCTCCCCCTCTCCCAGTCGCACCTCCCCCCAGAGCATCCCACAGCCGGCGCGACCCTTCCGCCGATCCCAGCCGTCGGAGCCGCGAGGACGACGATCCAACGGTCTGTGGCGTCTCAAACCCTGCTTCAGCCGAGCACAGCCGCCGGAGGCGGAAGGAGGTGAAATTAGGGTTGATAGACGCATCTAGCGCCTCTGCTGATGCTGATTCCTGCCGGGCCAGGAACCTTTGCCTGCGGCTGCCGTGCCACAGGGGGGGTTGCCCTGCTGCTGCTGGTGCTGCTGTGTTGGAACCAGCGGGGTTGCTGCTGCTAGTGCATGGGGTAGCACCCGCATAGGACCCAGCAGCAGTAGCGGCAGCAGTAGTGGTAGCAACAGCAGTAGCAGCACCAGAAGCACCAGCACCAGCAGTTGCAGCAGCACCACCAGCAGCAGCACCAGCGGAAGCAGCAGCAGCAGCAGCGGGAGCAGCAGCTTCCGTACCTAATCCCCACGTCCATTCGTTTCCCGAACCTATGCGTGAGGTCAGGGAGCTGCCGGCACGGGAGAGAGGGGTGAGAGGCTCGGTTCGGGTGTTCAGAGCAGCAGGGGCCAGTGCGTCTAATCGACTGGTAGACCAGTTCACAGCCAACGAACCTTCCAACACTCCCCCTCTAGCTGCCACCGCTCCTCCCTCTCCTCCCACAACCCCTGTTCCTCCCCCTCCACCTCCCTCCCCTCTCATTTCCCCTGCTGCACTCCCAGCAATCGCGGCATCAGCAGAACCAGCACCAGAACCAGCAGCAGCAGTGGTAGCAGCAGCAGCGAGGGTGGAAGGGGAGTGGGGCGATGGGAAGGAGGCTTTGTAGAGGTCACGAGGAGCAGATGGGAAGAAGCGGGAGGGAGAAGGGCCGGGCAAGGACACGGCTCGAATTAGCTGATGCTGCTTCTGGAACTGCTCCTGCTCCTGCCCCTGCCCCTGCCCCTGCCCCTGCCCCTGCTCCTGCCCCTGCCCCTGCCCCTGCCCCTGCCCCTGCTCCTGCCCCTGCCCCTGCCCCTGCTCCTGCCCCTGCCCCTGCTCCTGCCCCTGCCCCTGCCCCTGCCCCTGCTCCTGCCCCTGCCCCTGCCCCTGCCCCTGCCCCTGCCCCTGCCCCTGCCCCTGCCCCTGCCCCTGCCCCTGCCCCTGCCCCTGCCCCTGCCCCTGCCCCTGCCCCTGCCCCTGCTCCTGCCCCTGCCCCTGCTCCTGCCCCTGCCCCTGCCCCTGCCCCTGCTCCTGCCCCTGCTCCTGCCCCTGCCCCTGCCCCTGCTCCTGCCCCTGCCCCTGCCCCTGCCCCTGCCCCTGCTCCTGCCCCTGCCCCTGCCCCTGCCCCTGCCCCTGCTCCTGCCCCTGCCCCTGCCCCTGCTCCTGCCCCTGCCCCTGCCCCTGCCCCTGCTCCTGCCCCTGCCCCTGCCCCTGCCCCTGCCCCTGCCCCTGCCCCTGCCCCTGCCCCTGCCCCTGCCCCTGCCCCTGCCCCTGCCCCTGCCCCTGCCCCTGCGCCTGCTGCACCATCCCCTGCCCCTGACCTGATCCGCTGCTCGCGCCCTGATGCTCTGATGCAGGTGCTGCGGCTTGCTGCAGGCTGTTGCCTTGCTGCAGGCTGTTGCCTTGCTGCAGGCTGTTGCCTTGCTGCAGGCTGTTGCCTTGCTGCAGGCTGTTGCCTTGCTGCAGGCTGTTGCCTTGCTGCAGGCTGTTGCCTTGCTGCATGCTGTTGCCTTGCTGCAGGCTGTTGCCTTGCTGCAGGCTGTTGCCTTGCTGCAGGCTGTTGCCTTGCTGCATGCTATTGCCTTGCTGCAGGCTGTTCCCTTGCTGCAGGCTGTTGCCTTGCTGCAGGCTGTTGCCTTGCTGCAGGCTGTTGCCTTGCTGCAGGCTGTTGCCTTGCTGCAGGCTGTTGCCTTGCTGCAGGCTATTGCCTTGCTGCATGCTGTTGCCTTGCTGGAGGGCGGTGATAGCAGCCAGGAGGGCGGGGAGAGAGGAGAGGCTCAGCTGGGATTGAAGCCCCCCGAGGTTGAGAGACTGGGCGAGCACTTCGAAAGGGAAGGCGCTGGGAGCTAGATTAGGTGTAGAGGCAGCAAGCAGAGGAGTTACGGTGGGTGCAAGGGCACGAGCTGGTACAGGAGCAGCGGCGGAACGATACGGCAGAGGAGCAACGTCATGAGGAGGAGGACGAGGAACGGATGGAGGCACAAGGGTTTCTGCTGCGCCTGGAAGATTCACCGCAGCGACAGCTGGCGCAAGGGAAGACGTAGACCTTGGCGTCGCAGCCGCTCCTGAAATACCAAAAGCGTTATCGGAGGCAGCATCATTACGTGCTGCACGGGCAGAAGCTGCGGCAGGGGCAGAGGTAGCAGCAGGGGCAGATGGAGCAGATGCTGTAGGGACTTCAGCGGATTCTGTTTCCTCTCTGACGGCTGCTGCTGCCATGACCACTGCTGCCGCTGCTGCTGCTGCCGCCACGTCTAGCAGCTTTGACATGGGACCCCCGCCGCCTGAACCTTCCCGCATGCCAGCAGCAGGCGAGGCAGCAGCAGCAGCAGCAGGGTCCGTACCCAGTGTACTGCCATTTGTCCAGATCTGATTGGCAACAGAGCCACGAGAGTCGCCACCGAGGCTGGCAAGCAGGCTCGCGCTGGCGCCGGCGCTCTGCCTGCCAAGGCTGGAGAGGAGCCCCGAGGCTTGGGAGAGGTAGTGGGTGAGGCGGACGTGGTTCTTAGCTGCTAGAAGCTCGCCGGTTCTTGAGCCGTCCTCCAGGATTTGAAGTAAGTGCTGGAGTTGAGGCGAGGAGTCAGTACTAGTGGGGACAGCCAAGGCAGCAAAAGTCTGTGTGTTGGTGTTTCGAAGAGGGGCTGGACTAGACGGGAGGGCTGGGCTAGATCGGGGGCCTGGGCTAGATCGGGGGGCTGGGCTAGGTCGGGGGACTAGGCTAGTTGGGAGGGCTGGACTAGATCGGGGGCCTGGGCTAGATCGGGGGACTAGGCTAGTTGGGAGGGCTGGGCTAGATCGGGGGCCTGGGCTAGATGGGAGTGCTGGGATAGACTGAAGGGTGGGGAAACCATTGGAATGGGTGGGAGCGCGAGCGAATGCAACCGGTGCTGCTTCCGGTGCAGAACCTGCGGTTGTTCCTGCTGCTGCGGCGGCTGCACCTGCTGATACTATCGACAAAGCTGTCCCTGTCTCTGTCCCTGTCCCTGTCCCTGTCCCTGTCCCTGTCCCTGACCCTGTCCCTGTCCCTGTCCCTGTCCCTGTCCCTGTCCCTGTCCCTGTCCCTGTCCCTGTCCCTGTCCCTGTCCCTGTCCCTGTCCCTGTCCCTGCCGCTGCTGCTGGTGCCGTTGCTGCTGGTGCGGCCGCTGCCAATGCTGCTCCAGAGGAAACCCCTGAAGCCGGATTCGACGGACCAGCCGAAGCAGCAGCCGTGCCCCTTCCTCCTCCTCCTCCACCTCTGGCTCCCCCTTGGGTGGATAGAAAACCCGTGAGGAGGGACAGCGCGCTGACAAGTTGCTGCTGCGCGCCTGACGGGCGGCCGCTGGACTGCACGACATGCGACATGGACAGGACCGTTTGCGCCATCTGTGCTGCCTGTGTCATAGCCGCCTCTGTCGTTGTTGTCCGTGCTGCCGCTGCCTGTGTCGTCGCTGTCTGTGCTGCCGCTAACTGAGTCGCTGTCTGTGCTGCCACTAACTGTGTCGTCGCTGTCTGTGCCGCCGCTGCCTGTGTCGCTGCTGCCTGTGCCATCGCCGCCGCCTCTGCTGCTCTGCTGCTCCCCCGGCCGCCGCTGCTGCCACTCTGGATAGCACCGCTTGAACTGTCTCCGACTGTCACACCTCCGCCTGTGATACCTCCGCCTGTCACACCTCCGCCCATCACACCTCCGCCTCCGCCTATGATACCTCCGCCTGTCACACCTCCGCCTGCCACACCTCGCCAGGTCACACCTCCGCCATACAGCGATTCTGCTGCAGCAGGTGCGGAGCTGAAGGTGGTTCCGGCGGGAGGGGCCGCACCAGCAAGATGATTAGCTTCCAGTGGATGGTTGGGTGGAAGGGAGGTGGAGGGGAACAAGGACAGAGTCATACCGGCTTCAACCGCTGACTTATCCCCCCTGTTAACTGCTTCGCTGCCTCGCGCTTGCGGCTCGTCAACCTCCATTTCTTCCTTCATTCTTGAAATGCTAGCCGTAGTGTGGTCAACCTTGAGTTGGCGAAGGGATCCGGCGTTTTCACACGCTTTCGTATGGTCGTATGGCGACGCATTCGTCGCTAATATGGTCGCGCGCGACATCTCTTCGGCACGAGCGGCGAAGTTTCCGTCGCCGACTGGTCCAGCAGTACGGTCGATCATATTAGAGTTGGTGAAGGTTAGCGGAGATCCCGGGGGGGTAGTAACAGCTTGTTCCGAACCCTCCTGTAACGGAATGAAACTTGAGAGAGGCAAGTCAGCAACATTGCGAGTGAGTGGGTACCGACAAGAGTGAACAGAGTGCTGATCCATCGACAACTAATTCAACAGTATGTGAAGAAAAAGAGAGGAAATGACAGCCTTTTCAGACGAGTACTAGTACTAGCTCGAAAAATGTGCTCTCAGCTTTGAATGCAACTCTTTCAGCGAACATGGCCTCTCTAGATGGCCCTCATCGACGTGACTAGTTGCTGGACTAAGCACTGATTCAAAGGCACTGTATGGAACAAAAGTTACCTCCTTTCTTTGACGAGATTAAGTAGTGTTAGAATGTGGCGAGCGAATGTGGCTGACAAAGACCGAGACTGATCAGCTGGTGAATTGTCGGTTAGTTACGATAGTACAGTCTACTCTTTGTTGCCGCGTTAGTGTACTCGGGAGGAGCTTTACGCGTGACTGACGGTCGTTAAAGGATAATGTTACACGGCCTAACTGTACAGTGCAGGTTGGTATTGTTCTGCGCTGGCACCACCTACGTTCATGTTGTTCTCTAGAGCCAAATACCCGCGGAATAACGACAATCTTCAGTATCGAGGAATTGTTTTCCACCCATGCCACAGGCCGAGGCTCGGCATCGAAAGGTGATGGCACGGACATCGCTATTTCCAAGATGGAAATGGAAGTGTCATCAACCTAGAAGATTGGTTTGGGAGTGTACTGTAATTCAGCTTAGGTGACTCGCGCGCTTTTTGTTGCAGGTTGGGATGGGGGTGTCGCACGTGGACCTAGCAAGCAAGCCCTGGAACTGCTGACGTTGCCCGACACCGTGCCACGAGCCAAGTGGTTCGTTAACCCGCTTCGGTGCACTGTAGGGACCGAACTGAATTCTGCAGACACGCTTTTCGGGTGTGGGTAAGGAGAAGCGAGTAGCTGCTGCCTGGAGAGAACTCAAGGTTTCAAATCTGGTTACGCGGCATTTCGTGTTTGTTTTACGCGTCAGAAGAATTGTAATTGTTGGCGACAGTGATTTGACACCCCCCCCAGCCCCCCCCCAAAAAAAACACAACACTAATTCAATCCAGAACCTGTGAGTGGGTGATAACGCGTATACTGGCTAGGGCATTTGGCATTTAGTTTCCAGCACGCGGCTGACTCCGCTGCCGCGTTCCATAGTCCATCACCCCAGCAACCATGCCGCACGGAATCAGCAGGCCCGCAGCAGTCATTTTCTGGTTCACTCTCCTCGATTTCGCAATCCAGTGGACTGCGTGCCTCTTCTCCGCAGTTTACCAGGTCGGCTTATCTCTGCAGAATTCTTATTCCGCTCGTCATGCCAGTGCGAAACCATTATCATGGAAACCTTGCCTCATGTTAGGTTAATTCTGCGGTACTAGTTCAGCCAACCAAACCCTTCCCCGTTTTTCCCCCGAATTCCGCCTACCGGCGTAACCCTTTCAGACGGAGCTTTTCTTTGATTTAACCGGATCCTGCACGTTCCTTCTCGGCGCCTTCCTCTCCCTCGCTTTAGGAGGCTCGCTCCATCAAAGACAAGTATGACTCACGTTTCTTTATCGAATCCGCCTCTCCATTCATCGACCGTCTGGACTCCATCTATCTTGAATCCTTCAAATTGCTCCCTCAAGCGTAACCTTAACTCTGATTGGAAGTCAGGCTTCTCTCCTTATGAGGTGCTTTCAGAAAGTTCGCTATCAGTCGATTATGGAATAAACTCACAAAGCCACTCTCGTCTTTCCTGCCACCCTCACCTGTCCATCCATTTGCCCTTCGATTTGCTTCTTCATTCACCGCTTTGAGCGCATTTGGTTCCTTTATCCGTTCACTGTTACGCCTCGTTGTAGTCACAAATCACTCTTTCCGTGAAGCCGCGTTATAGCCACATCCAAACTTTTCATGACACCTCGTGTTGCAATCACATTCGGTTCGCTCCATGACTCGCCCCCTTCAATATCAGGTGGTAGCATCATCGCTCGTTTCAATCTGGGCCGTTCGTCTCGGAACATTCCTCTTCACCCGCATCCTCCGGGTAAGTACCCCCCCTCCCCCCACCCCCCTCCTCTCCTCTTCTGCACCATGCACCACCTCGCTGCCTCCCCACTCCGCCTCTGCCTCCGCCTCTACCTTCCCCCTCCGCGTTTACCTCCGCCTCTACCTTCCCCTCCGCCTCTGCCTCCGCCTCTACCTGCCCCCACCACCTCTACCTTCCCCCTCCGCCTCTGCCTCCGCCTCTACCTTCCCCTTCCGCCTCTGCCTCCGCCTCTACCTTCCCCCTCCGCCTCTACCTTCCCCCCTCCGCCTCTACCTTCCCCCTCCGCCTCTGCCTCCGCCTCTACCTCCCCCCTCCGCCTCTGCCTCCGCCTCTACCTTCCCCCTCCGCCTCTACCTTCCCCCCTCCACCTCTACCTTCCCCCTGCCCCTCTGCCTCCGCCTCTACCTTCCTCCTCCGCCTCTACCTTCCCCCTTCGCCTCTGCCTCCGCCTCTACCTTCCCCCTTCGCCTCTGCCTCCGCCTCTACCTTCCCCCTTCGCCGCTGTCTTCCCCCTCTGCCATTACCTCCGCCTCTTCCTTCCCCCTATAAGTCCTTTCGCCTGTAAAGATCTTGAAAACCGCCCCATGCACCTATTGAGGCGCCTTAGTAAGTTATTGAAAATTGTCCCATGCACCTCTTGAGGCGCCTTAGTAAGTTCTTGAAAATTGTCCCATGCACCTATTGATATCCACTCCCATGTGTTGCTCACCGTTTCACTGCCGCACTCCTGAACCCTTTCCCTGCGTGTTTCACCTTCGAGAATTCTCAAAAGCGGCACAAGCACCAGTGTTCCCGCACTGCATTCTTTGTCTGTTCCCCACTTCTCCTGTACTGCGCTAGCACTTCTCGCCTCCCTACCGATTCGTGGACAAGTTTTGAGCCGTCTCGAAAGGCATGGCCTGTTTGATTCCTTCTCCTGCCCCTGCGCTCGCGCTTCCCTCCTCCCCACCGTCCTGTGGCAGAGGGGGAAGGACTCTCGGTTCGATGGCGTGAGGGACCAGCCCATCTACCTCATGATGTTCTGGACCGTGCAGGTGGGGTGGGGACTGGTGCAGTGCGATGCATGCAGATGCGGGTATGTTGTGGGGCATGTATGCCTGCTGACAGGGGACCAGCCCATCCCTCATGATGTTTTGGACTGTGCAGGTGGGGACTGGTGCGGGTGGGGACTGGTGCAGGTGGGACTGGTGCATGTGCGGATTGGTGCAGGTGCGGATTGGTGCAGGTGCGGATTGGTGCAGGTGCGGATTGGTGCAGGTGCGGATTGGTGCAGGTGCGGATTGGTGCAGGTGCGGATTGTTGCAGGTGCGGATTGGTGCAGGTGCGGATTGGTGCAGGTGCGGATTGTTGCAGGTGCGGATTGTTGCAGGTGCGGATTGTTGCAGGTGCGGATTGTTGCAGGTGCGGATTGTTGCAGGTGCGGATTGTTGCAGGTGCGGATTGGTTGCAGGTGCGGATTGGTGCAGGTGCGGATTGTTGCAGGTGCGGATTGTTGCAGGTGCGGATTGTTGCAGGTGCGGATTGTTGCAGGTGCGGATTGTTGCAGGTGCGGATTGTTGCAGGTGCGGATTGTTGCAGGTGTGGATTGTTGCAGGTGCGGATTGTTGCAGGTGCGGATTGTTGCAGGTGCGGATTGTTGCAGGTGCGGGTTGTTGCAGGTGCGGGTTGTTGCAGGTGCGGGTTGTTGCAGGTGCGGGTTGTTGCAGGTGCGGGTTGTTGCAGGTGCGGATTGTTGCAGGTGCGGATTGTTGCAGGTGCGGATTGTTGCAGGTGCGGATTGTTGCAGGTGCGGATTGTTGCAGGTGCGGATTGTTGCAGGTGCGGATTGTTGCAGGTGCGGATTGTTGCAGGTGCGGATTGTTGCAGGTGCGGATTGTTGCAGGTGCGGATTGTTGCAGGTGCGGATTGTTGCAGGTGCGGATTGTTGCAGGTGCGGATTGTTGCAGGTGCGGATTGTTGCAGGTGCGGATTGTTGCAGGTGCGGATTGTTGCAGGTGCGGATTGTTGCAGGTGCGGATTGTTGCAGGTGCGGATTGTTGCAGGTGCGGATTGTTGCAGGTGCGGATTGTTGCAGGTGCGGATTGTTGCAGGTGCGGATTGTTGCAGGTGCGGATTGTTGCAGGTGCGGATTGTTGCAGGTGCGGATTGTTGCAGGTGCGGATTGTTGCAGGTGCGGATTGTTGCAGGTGCGGATTGTTGCAGGTGCGGATTGTTGCAGGTGCGGATTGTTGCAGGTGCGGATTGTTGCAGGTGCGGATTGTTGCAGGTGCGGATTGTTGCAGGTGCGGATTGTTGCAGGTGCGGATTGTTGCAGGTGCGGATTGTTGCAGGTGCGGATTGTTGCAGGTGCGGATTGTTGCAGGTGCGGATTGTTGCAGGTGCGGATTGTTGCAGGTGCGGATTGTTGCAGGTGCGGATTGTTGCAGGTGCGGATTGTTGCAGGTGCGGATTGGGCGATAGTTGCTTGGTGCAGCTGTGTGGTGCGTGAGGGACCATCCCATTTACCTCACGATGTCTTGGGCTGTGCTGGTGGGGATGGAAATGAGTCACGCATGCCCATCCGTGGGGATTGAAATGAGTCACGCATGCCCATCCGTGGGGATTGAAATGAGTCACGCATGCCCATCCG